ACATTATTGTATGGCACTCTTCCATCTATTACTGTGTTTGATTCTTACCAGTTACCACCAGCATGCCATGGTTGTCTTGGGGAGTGAACTATTACTACCCAGCCATGTGAAGTTGAATTTGTTGTTGTGATTCCAGATCACAACACTCCATCCCATCTGCTTTTCATCAGCTATGGTGTTCATACCCATCCAGTACCACCACCAACCAAAGTTCCAAAACATCTAATTGGTGATATTCAACACATTATCCAACAGATTCATGACTCATTGTTGACAACTAGTAGATATCAGTAACAATCAGTGATTAGAACATGCTGACAATATAGAGTGATTTTTGAATCATTCTTTGTTCATTGAGTACTTGAATTCAGAAGAAGCAGATACCCCAAGTGATCTTCATTCTGAACTCAACAACTGAAATGTTCTGTAAGAGATTCTTCAGAAGAAGCAGTTATTACTACATTCTGCTGGTCAAGGCCCAAATGATATTCCCCCTTACTGGTGACTACTGGTTATGTATGCTAAATACACAGTAGCACTCCAACTCAAAATGGAACTTGACAAGAAAAATAACAAAAAATATATCCACAAGATCTACAATGATGGCAATCTGTTTATTGCTATATTACTACTAAAAGAACAAGCTGAACTTCTAGTTGAATCCAAATTCTTTCAGATGGATATGACATTCTCAAAGATTACAGATGACATTAAGATCATTGACTTTGTGACAATGCATTCTTGTTTAAATTGAAGTATGTTAACTGAATATTTCTCAGACCATCTGGTCACTGCTGATGAATACTAATCTGAATTGCATGCATTCAGTAATAACCCTTGGCTGACTACTGATTAATCAGAATACAAGTGCCATGTACTACAAAGCATTTAAACTGTTTTTCTATGAAGTGGAGGTACTGCATGGTAGAGAGATTGAATGGAAACACATTCATGATCAGAGCATTGAAGCTATTATAGTAGATATGTGTCCCAAACAAGCTTCTGATAACAATCATCTACTCTCAAAATGTCCTCACAGGTACTGATTATATCTGGTAGGGCTAGATGGTTATCTCAAGGATCTTGATTCATTCTGGACATGGCAAGATTATGTTCAACATGTGCTGGCTTTCTGCCTTGTACATTATGCTCATGGTGTTAACTGGACACAACCTGATATATCCCAGCAACACCTAATGGAATCAATACCACATTGTTCTAGTAAGAATGTTGTATGACAGTCTCTTGATGAGTTGGTTTGGGATTCAAACAGTAAGATATCTGAGTGGGCAGCCCATAAAAAATCACCATGGATTCTAGCTGGGCTTAATGGTGAATTTAACAAAATGAATTATCTCACATTCAAAAACCTTCAGAGAAATACCAATGCTATTGAGAGTAATCATCATCAACTGAATCTTACTGATACCAACATCCCAATCATCTCTGCTGTTGAAGAGTATGTTTGTATTCCAAGACATATTCTATCAGACACACTACTGATATCATCCAGATGCTACCAATTGGATGTTGGTGACATTTAACAGTTAAAAACATTTGAAGAGACTGATGTTCAATCTGAATATGGAGATCAGAGTGCTGAGCAATGGGCTCATAGAAGCAATGTCAATGGTAGGAACTAGTAACTATTGATATGAATCACTACAAACCATATGGATATTAACTGTCAATAGTCAATTGAAGATGTGCAGCCCATCAACAAACCAATCCTACAACACTAACACAAAGCAACATGAACTCATTGGTAACTACTAGTAGAACTAGCACTAGAAGAGGTCAAAAGCAACAGGCAGATACTATGACTACTGATTCATCAGCTCAAAGAACAAACAGAAGACTGAGATTTGATCAATTCTCATCATCTGAATGTCCAAGTAATTACTTCTCTTATCCAATCCCTACTGGTAGTTACTGATGGTTTGCTGACATTACCAAGAAGCATCAAGTGCCTCCATGTCCAGTTCAGTTGACTTGACTCAAGAAGATGATGATACAATTCAGAATGAACCAAATACTATCAGTGATAGCTTCTCAAGAGATATTGAAAATCTTAATGAGTTTCAAATTGCTTATAGAAATTTAGAATTGAGAAAAAGAGCTTTGGCTCTAGAGCAGAAGAAATTATCATTGAGAGAGAGAGAACTAGCAGCTAGAAGATCTTTACTGAATAATACTGATAATGCTCAGTAGAAGATAATATTTCATAGAAGAGAGTGTAGTGAAGATATATTATTTACTCAAGAAATATTGAATAATAAGAGGTAATATTATCAATTTGGACCTCATCAACATAAAAACCAGTAACTATCAGTAAAAAGCAAAAGTCTCCATTTCTTCCCATAAAAACAAAGTCTTCAACCCAATAATTATCAGTAAAAACCAAGTAGAATCAATCCTCTATGTCAAATTGTTCAAGACACATTATTCAGTAACCTTCAATAAGAAAAGAAGTTAGCATTGGGTGCAAGAGATAGCTGAAGTGCAGGGATGGAATTTTCTATATTGCTAGTCAGTAACTGATAAGATCTAGTAGGGTAGGATAAAGATCTACCAGCAATTTTCATTTGTAGATGAGCAAGTTGAAAGAGATCTTTTTGCACAGCTCTGGCAGCAACCCATTGCCCTGCTATTATCAGTAAGAAGCAGTATCATCAGTAACAAGATGTCATTTACTGTTTATGACTTTTTGAAGTTGCAGAAGAAGAGGTTGGAATTCACTGTCAAACACTATTGATCTCATCAGCTGAGCTGACTGAACAGTGTCTATCAGTTGTAATTAGTAACTTCAGTAACATTCAGTAACACACAGTTAGACTCACATAGTGCCTTGGCTGCCACCTTGGTCACCACCACAGCTGCCACCACAGCTGCCACAAGCATGATCACCACATCCACATTCACATCCACACACAGATTCTGAAGTTGAAACAGCAGAAAGTTCATTCTTCTTCTTCTTCTTCTTCTCTTCTTCATCATCTTCATCCTTCTCTTTCTCTTCAGATTCTTCTGAATGAGAATAGATATTCTCACTATTATCAGTAAGTATCAGATGGAATTAATAGATTGTATGACTGTCACTTACAGATCTTCATCCTCACTATATTGAGTTGATTGGTAAGTCAGAACATTGGAGTTATTACTGATTGTGACCACTTACTGCTGATAACATTCAGAGATCTCTGGCATAACATAAAGATTGTGAAAATGAGTATTCTTCTTATGGTTCTACATGTTACCAGTTAGAACCAGTTGTAGTTATTTAACATCTTCAACTTATAATATGTGACTTTTGAATATGCTTCCAAATTGTTGCACCCTGACTTATTTTGGATGATCTATTGTAACTGATAAGTACTGGTAGTAACCCACTATTATTGTTGTGGTCATGAATGTTTCATATGTGCAAAAGAAACATCAATGAGCACATGCCATAATCTTCTAATAAAACTGTTAGTGATCAGTATAAAGTAGAAGTCTCTATACTTACAATAGTACTCTTGACTCAAAAACATTGGGCTTTGTGTGCTTCACAGTTGCAGAACTTTTTGATTCTACCACATATTACTGATTAGTACTGATCTATCAGTAAGTATTAGTAGCAATTCAAAGAAACTATTGTCTACAAGTCAGCAAGCTTCTTTCTCTTTTCTGGCTGAAGTGGCACTGTGCAGTCAGCTTTTTTAGATTCTTTTGTAAGCACAGCAATTGCTGCTAGAGCTGTCAGGTCACTCAGGCCAGTTAACACTGCAAGAGCAGCTGTATGTTGAGAGATGACAGTAGAAGTAGAAGTAGAAGTGGGGACTGTGGGGATATTCTCAGTTTTCTCTGATTATAACTGATCAGAAGCAGAATCTTGTTCTGCTGATGCTGCCATAATTAGCTATTCAGTAATAACTAGTAGTGAATAATCATATCAATAAGAATGTTGGTAGTGAATCAGTGAGAGAATAGGGGAGAAAAGATGTCAATCTATTATCAAAAACAACTGATTAGTTACTAGTTTCTAGATAAAGAGCCAAATAAGAAGCAAGATTCAAGACTTGATCTCAGATCAAAGCTGAGATCTCTGTTCACCCCTGCATAAAGAACTCAATTTTATGTGCATAGTGAGAGACTGTAATAAAATTGCTTTCAAGCTCAAATTGAGCACATTTAAAAGCTTGAAAAAGCATGCAGTTTAATATGGGAGAATCTGCTTATCTTTGTGATGTTGCAGTTGTAAAGAAGAAGAAGAGAGTGAGAGTGAGCAAAGTGAGAAATATTATTAGTGTGGGGGGGGGATTTGCACACAAAATCAAGCTAGGCTATATTAGAAATAGTGTACACAATGTGTTCTTTTACATGAGTAAAGTGAGGTGAACTCCACATATTGTGTTCTTTACATAAGCTGGATCATGTGGACTCAGTGGAATCTTCCACTGAGTTCTTTCTTATCAGTAGTAACCAGATAGTAGAAAAGTATGGTCATCTGCCATCTTACAACACCATACTGAGCATCTTTGTAAGTGACTGTTTTGTTACAGTTACTACATTCTAAGTCCTTCCAAGACCTTCTGATACTTCTAGTAATATTCAGTAACTTAATCTGATTATATAAGACCAAGACCTGTTGAGTCACTTCACAACATCTGGGGACAGTTCAACCCACATCATATCAATTGCACACTGGTAACATCCATGTTTGGAACCAGTAATTACCAGTTAAGACGCCTGTTGACCACACGCCTGGGCACCTGGGGACCCTAGAATTCCCACATAATTATGTAACTAACTGTGTAATGACTAGTTAGCTAGCTGTAACCACGAAGTATGTTACTATAACTATGGCGTCCAGATTACACTGTTTAGGACACAAACCTAACGCGTGCACGCGATGATCCTTAAAACTATCCCTTACTTAGCTACCCCACGGTACAAAGCACTGCATTCACCTATGAAACGGCTTGTTAGCCAACACATATCGTCTCCTCGATGTCGCGATGGAACGACCCGAAATCAACTGCTGCTGTGGCAGACTGGACTGCGCTTATCTCCAACATAACAGCGCCGCGCTGGCAAGTCTGGAAAAGGACGTTCACATCGCCGCGCGACTTGGCCAGGTATGTGTGCCCAATCGGACCGGTTTGCGTTGGCGGCCTTGACGAGTCATGACGGAAGCCACAGCTAACAATATACCTTAATTTCTAGGCTCTACTAGGACGCCATGAATCCTACATGGCTGAAGCGGAAGCCGATCGCACCAGGATGATTGCGGAAATTGAGAAATTAGAGGAGCAAAAGAAAGAGGCGCAGGCCGAAAATGCTAAGATCATACAAGAAAACAGAGGCCTCCTAGACCAGTTAGAAGGTCTGAACGATGTCATATCGGAGTCCGATGCCCATATCAAAGCTCTGAACACCTCGTTGGAAAGCGTTCAGCTCGAGGTGCGACGATTGACGGCTGCAGCATCAAGGGCGACCATTCTTGAAGCGCAGCTGACTCAACTAGAGGTTGACCAAGCGCGGCTGCAAGATACGCTTACTGCAACTGAAGAAAATGAGCGTTCTGCCATCCACCGCTGGCGACAGGCGGAAAGGACACTGAGAGACTTACACGAACAGGTAGAAAAAATCGAGAAGGAGTCAAGGGGTGAACGCGAGAAGCATGCGGAGCTACTAGCCCAAATGGAGCGGCGGAGAACAGTAGAAAGAGAACTAGATACGGCTGCTGGAAGACTTAAGGGCGCCGCCGCAACCGCCTCTCTGGGCCGGAATACCAGTGGAACAAGCATCGTGTCTCATTTCGTGCGAGATATACTACAAGACAATGCCAATCTTCAGTTCAGCCTCAATGAGCTTAAAGAGTTGTTACAAAGCTCGGACGAGGAAGTTCGATCTTTAAGGGATAAACTAATGCTCCATCATCAACAACTGTGTGGAGGAGAACAGGAAGCTTCGAGTGAAGGTGCTTCCCATGTACTTCTCAGCGAGGAGCTACAGAAGGTTCAATCTCCCTCGCAAGAATTTCATGTCCACCACCACTATCACGCTTCTATTGGGGCTACTTCGCAACGCAAAGACCGAAACCGCTTCTCGCTGCACCGTCCGCAAAAGAAAAGAAGAACTATTTTTCCAACCCTTTTTGAATCTCCGCCGAAAGGCTCAACTGGAAGCCCATTATCCCCCAACTCACGGCACCTGACTTCTCCTTCAACCGCATTGGGAACACCACCTTTGTCTACGAGTGCTAATCACTGGGTAGACCAAACACCCGGCCTGGTGTTCTCGTCTGGCCCAAGCTCTCCAAGATCCACGTACAAAGCTTCCTCGTTGTTTGATCGCTCTGATGTTGGTTTTGATTCCTCTCGCCCGACAAGTCCCGAAAGTGGGTTTGCTTCCCCACTTAGCAGGCCATGTCATCGAAAGTTGCCATCAGATACTTCGATACGATCCGTCCTAGACGAGCGATGGCTGGACGACCTACCCTCCATACCCCTTACTTTCCCGCGATCGAGGGCAGACTTGTCCAGCAAACCGAACATTCTTACTGAGAACGACGAGTCTGGAAACAAAGATGGAAGCTTTCCAGGGCTCCCAACCCTAGAAGAACACGAGGATAATGCGGATACTCGTGCTTGCTGTGCTGCTGATGATCAAGTTGTCATGCCACTTCGTTCGCCTCAGTTACATCGATCTGCATCCCACGAGAGTCTTTTATCCATTTCAGGAATGGATATCCATTCCACAAGCGAGTACTTGAGCAATTCCTTCTCTCACACGGTATTCGTTCCCAAAAAGCCTCGGCGAATTGCATCTGCAGGCACGATATTTTCATCTACCCTTCCTGTCACTTCACTGACCGACGTCACGGTGTCCAAAGTTTCAATCAGCAAGAGTAAATCTCCACATTCTCTCTTATCATCTGTAGCCTTTTCTACGATACCATCGAATACTGCAACCAGTGCCACTTCAACCGTCAGCAAAACCTATTCGGAGCCACAGTTGTGTCAGGATCCCCAACCAACAAACATAAAAAGTCGCATGGGAAGCTGGATTTTGGGGAAATGGTCTTCCCCGTTAAGGCCTACAGCTCGTCCTGATCCCGTAAACCCATCCGCATCGACTATATTCACCTCATCTTTACTTTCCAGCTCTCCAGCCAGTAAAGAGTCTGCACGATCGCCCGAAATACCACTCTTCAGGTCGCCAGGTGTAAACCAGAAAGGACTCATTCTTGGTTTAAGACCCCCTGAAAAAACACCTATTTCTCTTCATCCAGAAACTATTGATGAAGCGTTATTACGAGAGAGCTTAGAAGAGTAATAGTATGCTCTCTAATAGACTCACTGATATGAAGCCATCTGTTTTTTCTTTTTTTTTTTTGATTTCTGTTTATCTTCCAGCTACACTCTCTACTTTCTACTTCAATATGCCCTGTTCTCTGAAACACCCTGAAGTCTTACTTCATCTGTATATTTTCATTTGTCAACTATATTATCTCCTTTACATAAGTGTTCTGCACATATTTCTCGCGCGACAATTCATTTAGAAAGCAATATTCTCATGCTTTTGGTCTTGTGTACTGGCACAGGTAAACCATGTTCATTTGCTTTGTTAGGTTTATACTTGTATGATACCCATTTGTGTAGTGTGCTAGCTTTCCTTCCTTGGTGTACAACCTGCTTTCATCCAGCAGTTTCTTTCCCCTATGTCACGTTTTTTTAATCATCTCAGATCCATGGGATATAAAGAGGAATAATAGACTTAAGTCATGTATTCCAATCAATCACCAATGCTCTGTAGCTCCTGTTTAATTGTTTTAGAAACAATCTCCTTGCTGGATTGAGGAGTTTTGTATATGGTTATTTTACCCTTTTTGGCATGTGCAACATTGTGGCAATATAGGTTGAGATGCATGTTGGGATTGCTATATGGGGGGAGTCAAAGGATGTCTGGGACACAGACTTTTATGATTGCTATCACAATGATTCATTTCCTACAGGATTGTGGTACAGAAAGGCTTGGAGGGACGCAAGGGTCGGGATAAAACAAAGGCTGATTGCCGTCCTGCATGACCACCGGCTTGGCCGATAAAGGCTTGGATTGCGAATGGACAAAATGTATCACAATACTGTGAGAGTTACACAGAAAGTCCCCACTTTTCGCAAAGGAGAGTTGCGATCTTGAAGTGGCTAAGCAATTGGCAGTGTAAGCCATGGAGAAGCGAGGCTGGTTACCGGCCTGGGGGCCATGAGACCTAATTGTACGACATGGCCCCGCTTTGAGCTTCTGGCAATCTAGCTATCACGAACAGAATTTAGAAGTGGCCTGGGCTATTTGAGCGATTAATTAAGGTACAGTCGTAGGGAGAGTGTGTAAAAGCGGCCTATCCGAATCAACGATGATTACGCAAAGACCCTCTAATGCCAACAACTTTGGTTCGACTGCCTGGCTGTCATTGTAATGGATACAAGCTTGGTATTTAGATAGACCTAAGGTCATTGTGAGATTTGCAGGTAATTATCCGATACGTTCTAATTGGCACATCAGTGCCATGGAAAAACCCATCCTGTAACTGCCGAGGAGGAGATTGGAAGTGGATTAATTGTGCATGTAGATTAGTTTTTTCTGATGCCGTCAAACATTAGTACAATGTATCACACAATCACTGGCCTTGAAGCTAAATGGAGTTTCGCACCACAACAGTTGAGAAATGTCGTGAATGTTTCCTGATTACGGAGGGTAGCAGATATCAAAAACTCCTTGAGATTATAGTTTTCAAATAGGTCGTGCAGTGTTGACACAAGTACAGGTATAAGGTCTGAATCATATATCTGTTGATTTGAGCCAGACTTAGTATTCACAGACAACTCTAAAGATGAAGCACACTACTATAGAGGAATTCATACCAAATCTGCACCAAGTGCAACATCAAAAGAGGTTGGTAGATCCGCACTAGACTCATCTAGAACTGTCAAGGGTCTACCCCACTCCCAAATGTGCGTACGAAAGCGGGGAGAATTTAGGTTATTCCGCGAGACACAGTCTTGAATGTTAGAAATCAATGCTGGCTCCCGATCCGTGGCAACCACGCTGTTAGTACCCAGGCATTTGAAGCAGTATAGTGAGATGAGGCCTGTTCCAGCACCTAATTCCACAATATTTTTTCCTGATACGACAGCCTTGCCGGATGGAGTGGAGAGATATGTCCCTAAGTGTAAAGCGGCCTCCCACGTGCGAAATCCGGTAGTACCGGAAGATAAAATGAGGCCACGATTTTCGCATGTTATCACAGACCGAGAAATTCCTAGGTCCCATATTCCTGGCGGTGAGTACTTGATGTAGGACAAGTCTTGGGCTTCGTCAAGTGGTGACCGTTGAGGACGGGTAATCAGGTCGGTCCAGACATTCATGAGATCTTCTGTGATCTCCTACTCAAAAAGCAAAACCGTCAGGATATATTTGACGACGTAGTAACGGGAGAATGAGTCATATCATGCGGGTATGCCCATGGAAAATAACGCAACAGTTTGCTTTAGGAGAAGGCTCATACATCCTCCTCTGGGTCCGTAATTGAGCTTTCAAGCAGAGATAAAACCATTTTTAGAACCCGACAGCGGTAGCGCACTGGTGGAATAGGCCAGATCTCGACCTCATTGAACATGTTCTCATAGATCCAGCATTGGGCTTTAGGCTGGATAAGAACGCCATTAGGTGGGAGCATCAAATGCTGCGGTTCGAGAATTTGAAAATACTGCGCGGCAAAGATTTTGAGACTGTGCTCGCGGTCCTGTGAAGCTGACGCCATTGCGCCTTTCGTAGTGAATGGCTCAGTGGGTAGGAAGGCTTATTGTCGTTGTCGTTTCCAATTACCTAGGACGTAGTCTTGTGTGCGGTATGAGACCTTTCCGTATTGGGACTAGCGTAGATATCCATTCTTGGCCCTAGGCGAAAACCCACACCCGGCAAAGTCGAAATTCGCGATTGAAGACCTTGAGAACGACAGCGACCACTCACGCCAAAAGCCGCCGGCAAACGATTTGAATCGACTCGCCTGCTTGCGCGAATCTCTCGTCTAAGGCAGATTCTGATCGATTTATCGGCCCCTCCGCAATCATGGCTGACGCTCCTATTACCCTGCGTACGCGCAAGTTCCTCCGCAACGCTCTCTTGGGCCGTAAGCAGATGGTGGTGTAAGTGCAATTATCACCCTTCATGGAACGGGATCATTCGTCTCCCTCGTTGAACCCGCACTGGACGGCTCGTTGGGTCAATCTTTGACAGGGCAACATAGTTAATGATAATAACTTTCTAGTGATATCCTCCATCCCAACCGCCCCAACATCTCCAAAGACGACCTCCGTGGTAAACTCGCCGAGTTATACAAATCAAACAAGGACCAAGTGTCTGTTTTCGGCCTCCGCACACAGTATGGTGGTGGAAAAACTACCGGCTTCGCCCTCATTTACGACTCAAGCGAAGCCTTGAAGAAATTCGAGCCCCGCTATCGCCTCGTCCGGATCGGTGCTGCTGAGAAGATTGAGAAGGCTTCTAGACAACAGCGTACGTTTTGACCAACGTTCATTAATCGCTGCCATTGGGTTTTGAATATCATTACTAATAATTGATTTTTTTTGCGCACTACTAGGTAAACAACGAAAGAACAGATCAAAGAAATTCCGGGGAACGGCTAAGACCAAGGGCCCCAAGAAGGACAAGAAGGGCAAATAGGCAATATGAGATTCGGTGTTATTTGGTCGCAATGGTGCTTTTCCTCTTGTTTCGATGGATTATTCAGCCACTCTGGATGATGCCTTCCAGGGAGATTGTTGCTGTACTCTAGCTACGAATCAAGTCATATGGTGAACATGTTTCGTCCTTATCTTTTACTACAAGGCAAAATTCGGTTTTTGACCTATGAAATTGTACCTCCGTTCACACGAAGTCGATTGTCCTATCTTCTGCTACTAGGCGGCAAAATTAAATAAAACCATGAAATTGATTAACCTCTTACCCCCAAAACGCAGATTCGCTACAATTCAAAAACACTAGCCTCCCTTTTTCTGAGAAGCAAGCGACCCACACCATATCTAGTCCAGAAAGTGCATATCTCGATGACCAAACAAAATATAGGAGAGAACCGGGGTTTTGAATCCCTTGAAAATAAAAATCAAATAAAAATCAAATAAGAAAAATAAGAGAGGTGGAGGTTGAAAGTGTGGCTCGCCCGAAAAGGGTTTGCGCAATCTCTAGAAACAAAGTGTGTATAAGTTGCACAAGCCCAGGGTCGCAATATCAAAGCGTTCCTCCTTGGCGAAACAAACCCGTTTTGTGTCTGTAATATTATTTCCGATTAACTTAAACAAAGTACTAGCAGCTAGCTAAGGCGGCTTTGGCTTTCTGGGTTAGAATGAAATCATTTTTAACACAGGGAGCTAAAGTATGGAGTATATAGATTCAAATGTTATTCAGTGCGGGGATCGGTGTTGGTCGCCTAATTGAATCCGGCCTGACAATAGAAATTGGCTCGCTATCAGCGGGATTTCGTATGTAAATATCACCGCTTACTAGATTTCCCCTGGAGCCACGGCATCTTTCGTACCCATACACTTCAGATGTGTAAAAGTCTGGGATTTTTTCTCTGAGAGAAGCTTTTGAGCATTTCGGTTCACTTGCCGTTCGAAATCTATCTGAAAAGGCAATGGTGTCTGCAAATGTACATGGAGAAGTGACTGCCGGGCCCCTTGCGTGGCTAGATATTGGGATATACCCGAATCCAAGGTCAGGTGGACTGGCGGGTGGCTTGCATCTTTCTAAAGACGTTGTAGAGCTACCTGCACTTGAACTGCCTCGCGGTATGCTGAAATCACTTAAGAAATGCTTGTCAAGTCCCCAGGCTGACTTTAAATTCGGTATGTTTCCCTGAAAGGTATTCAAATTTTCCGAAACAGATGCTGAAGGAGGAAATGTGTTATTTCGAAGTCCAGCGGGGGTTGGTAGTGTTCTGTCGGATGTGAGGCTGGCTGATAATGGATTCATGAGAGGAAATACTGATACATTATCAGTTGCCGCAGATTGTTGCAGCAAAAATGGATAGCTCGAAGTGGCCAAGGTGTTGTTTGCATCACTATCTGGAAAGGACCCTTGAAGCGGTTTGATTTGAGAAGAGTCATACCAGGGTTTTGTCGGAGCTGGGCTGTCAAATGCACCACCATCTGGCATGTCGCCGGTAACAAGCATGGCTGGTTGAGATTGTGACATTGAATAGTTCGCGTCCTCATCGTAGCTCATTTGATACCCTTGAATGTACGGTGAGCGGTTAGAAAGACTATTCCCATTTGCTGTCCCACAGTCAAAAGCAGAATGCAGCAAAGCGCATGGAGAACAGTTCGCTGGGGCAGAGTGTAGAGTATGGGAAGTCGTTTGAGGAAGCGTATGCTGCTCCTGAAAACTCGGTTGCATCCCTCCGGCTGAAAGTGCACCGCTAGAGTTCAGATTTGGGTATGGTAAACTGAGATATGGGCTTCTCGTATGCAACATGGAAGAATTGACCTTGAATTTTGCTTGTTAGAGGTAAAGTGGTTATGTTCATTGAATTTAGCGAACCCGTAGAAAGGTGCAATTTGTTGTGCCTGAAGCCCGGCAGTTGGTGCACCCCTGGCTATCACCAGCATCTCCACTGCATTTAATCTTGCGTTTTCGACATCTAAGACACTTCATGAAGTCAGAAATTTACAATACAAATAAAACGAGTGAGGTACGAACCGCCACCGGTGTTCGCCGCCTCCCATTGCCTTTGGCTTCATGGTCCGTCATGAATGAATCTGGGGTATCACTATCACTCAGAACAATCTGACGGGAGTCTTCCCTTATTAAGTGCATAGAAGCTTTGGAGAACCCAAGTGCTAGGCTTTGACCGGCTTTAATGTTCAAATCGAGACGATACACCAGCCCACCAACATTCCAAGTAGCTCAACAGCTAACGGTGTATATTAATACTGCAACGCTTTGTGTAACTCCGCATTCAGTAGGGTGGCAGGGAACATATCAATAGAAAGGCACAAGTGTTCGACAAGGCAACCTAGTAGTATTTGAACGACAGTCAAGTTTTGATATTCTTCAAGGGTAGTAAGGGTTAAACAAGAGAGAATTGATAAGGATATCCCAGGGAGCTAAAGCGATTTTAAGCCAGGTATACAACACCGCGTCTCCTTCAAGCAGGCTGTGCAGCTCCCCTGAGATCCTTGTCCTGTACAGGATATATGGATGCGTTTACCATGGGGGACAAAACCCCCCACAGTTTGAAATCTTTAGTCAGATCGTTGAAAAGGAATCACGGGTTGATAGTACTCAGATTCTTTATCATGTTTCACCAGAACTCCCTGCGTGTCTCCGGGACACAGTCTGTAGCCGTGGTTATTGTGAAGAAAACCCACATTGACCCGATCAAAACCCTGTAGTTGAAAAACACCAAAATGTATCACAGAGTAACGTCACACGTAAGTATATGCCATCTTTATGCTATTGGAGAAGGTCAATCGCCTAGGATCAAGGTGGCTATTATATGTTCCCCGCAAGAGACAGTAGAAAAAGAGCTTGAGTAACTTACTAGATAAAATCGTAGCATGAGAAGATTTTCTCGTGTAAAATTGAACAAACAAAGGAACGCGCGTACATGATCATGAAGAGTGGTAATATGAAATATCAGCCAGCAACTGCGGCTGTAGCGTTTGTCAAAAGGGGGCCCGGAAGTGCTTCATTCTTCATCAGACATGACTGAGAAGAAACCCATATGTTTGCTTCCTTCTTGGCGAATATTATGGACCATTCAAAGGACATGGAGCTGCAGGTACTCGCGGTGGTAGCAAACAAGCTGAAGATTGTCGGATTAGCCTCCAGCAAAACGACTCTGAGTCGTCAGAGCGAAAAACCACGTCGATCTGCATTGTCATCCCATACAAAACGCGCTATGTTTAAAAGCTGTCTACTAGATAAATCCAAGCCACTCCAATCGTTTGTGACACAAGCCGGAGGCAAAAATACTAAAAACGTATGAAGCTGCCTCCATTTGAATTACCCACAGCAAAAGCGTAGGGTCCAAGCTGCATGCAAAGTGTGTTGTCAAAGAAGGCGTGATACATACCATTAATTAGCAGGTTAACTGGAGCAACATTCACGCAAGGCTCAACGGCGGCTAACGACTGTAAAGGAATGAGAGACAATGTGGGTTTATATGAGTTTCAGTATCTCTCATTATTACGACATCCCTTTAGGAGCCTAAAAGCTTGGTTTTATGTCGCAGAATCGATATTCCAAAAAGAAAAAAGAAAGAAAAATTGGGCCCCATCCCTCGGTTCAACTGCATGCATGTAGGAAGTACGCCTCGACTCAATTGGGTAAGAAAAACCGCTGAATTTTCTGCAAGGATAGAGCAGGCGGACAATATTCTGGAACTGCGGGAGAACGATTTTCGGCAGCTAGCCCTGCATAAAGGTCTTGGCTGCCTGTAGCAGTGATGGGTTCTGTACATACTTCGTACATTAGTGTACCCTAGCATAAGGGGGCATCAAGATAGGCACAGGTGAGGTCGAAGCGGGTTCACCGAGGGTCGCCGAAACCTGAACACCTGCATAATAATAGGGTTCAGGGAAAACACAGAACGTGCCATATTATTCGGCACAAGGCATGTCTCCACGTGTGTTTCAGGCCAAAATGGCAAGATCAATGGCCGCGTTGGTCTCACAGAAAGCTGGAATCCTGCGTGATGCCGGACCGTTTTCCCACCAATAATATGGGCCTGCCGTACGACATAGGCGGATAACAAAGTTCAGGGCGTTTCCTGCAGAATACAGTCAGGGTCTCTATCAGACATAATTTCGGCAAGGCGGCGCAGGGTCTTGGTGGAAGGACAAAAAGGGTGCTCAATGCAAGGCGCTAATATGCTGCACTCGGAACATAAGCGCCCCACCAAACAGATACGAACATGATGGGAGCCAGCAAACAAGCTTGTATGCACATCACCACATTTAAGCCACCATGCCATGCAACTAGGTATTCAAACGGTGGATGGAGTTCAAGTCATCAGTAGCATGGGCTATAGAAGTTCTAGGCTAAAGCACAATGAAAATTGCCATAGCTGGATCTCTAAAAGTATTCAACACGTTAGTTCCAAGTGCATCGGGCCTCGATTTGGTAGATAGCACGGAGTATTTTGGCGCCATTCCGCCTTAAACATTGAATTATGTCCGATATGACATTATGACAGAGTTTTTGACTCCCAAAGTGTTGAGCAGGAGTCAGGTGACTTGTCAGGTGACCAGGTCTCTGAAGGAGGAACTGGAGAACCGTAGGTTTGCCACCTCCTCCTCTTGACCACAGTACTGATTTCATTATCTTTGTCTATTGGGCTGGTGGAGGTTTGCTAGGAGTTTTTCATATGTTTTTCCCATAGTCTTGATTATAGCATGTTTGTCTATAAGTATCTGTGTCTCATTTGTTAGAAGTAAGACCAGACACAATATTATAGATGCTCAGTCACATGATCATCATGTGCTTCTGTGTCATCTGATAGTTATGAGTCTGGGCTCTTTCAAGAATTTGATTGTTATTTAAAGATATGTTCAAGATACTTTATTTTACTCTTGTTATCCATATAAATAGAGATCACTATTAAGTATCTTGAGATCATACATTGAACCCCCTATTTAAGCTTAAATCTTAATTGTGGAGTTTGTGGAGATCTAATGCATCTATATATTTATCAATCTAAGCCTATGGAAAATCATAATCTAGGGTCAATGTCTCACTTCAATAATTAATTAAAAATGAACAAATTGTCTAGAAGAGTTGTTATGCTGAATAGTTCTGATGATTGAGAAGAATGGATTGAAAACATTAAGCATTTAGTAAATCTTCATCAATTGTGACTGTATGTTGATCTGACAAAAGAAATGCATTCTGAACTTTGAGAATCTGTTATAGAGAATTTTCTTTCTTCTGAGAAAATCAAAGAAACTGCAACTCCTGCAGATATGAAACATGTAAGAAATATGCAAAGAGACTGATACAGAACTTGAGAGAAGAGAATCTTAGTGATGCAAGAGCTACAGAAGACAATAAAAGATTATGTAGATCTGTCTCTGAGAATTCTTACAATAAGTGAATCAGACAGTATAGAAGCTACTGCAAAAGAACATCTGAAAACTCTATATGCTAGAAATGCAGTGAATGCTTCTCAATTGAAAGCTAGACTAATAGAGAGATTCAAAATTCTAGAAGATGGGTCAAAGAATTAAGTGATTGAAGCATATTTACTAAACTACAAAGAAGCATTAAATTGAGCCACTGTGTATGATATGTGTGAATATATTCACAAGTCTTTTGCCTTCAAACAATTTCTGAGAGCAATCTCTTAGAATTACAGAGAGTTCTTCTATATGTATCTGTCAAAGCTTCTAACTGAAGAGAATTTAAATCAGAAGCATGAGCTGAATGTTTATAGACATATTTAAATATTTTGACAGACATTAAAGAAGGATTCTGAGCCAGACCAACAGAATAAGCTGTCAGCATATTCTACCAAAAAGATAGTTCAAAATAAGCTGTTGGGGAAGAATAATGGAAATATGAACTCTGCATGTCTTTGCAGAGAGCATCATGGTTGGGCATACTGCTCATATTTTAATCCACTTGTTCAACCAACAGGCTGGAAACCAGATCCAAAAATTGATAATAAGGTCAAGAAAGCATTGAAGAATCCAGTGAACAACAGAAAATTAAAGAAAAAGATTGCAAATTGGAAGAAATCAAAGAATTTAAATGCTAATAAAGAAGTTGATGCTTTAAGTGATGTGACAGATGGTGATGCTAACAAAGCTGTTGTCAAGACATTCTCTAATCTGACTATCTTTGCTTCTGTAATGGTTTTTAACTCCACTAACATGAGTGATAAATATGAACTCTATTCATTATGGGACAGCTTCATATTAGATGGGGGTGCAGATGCACATATTTATAATGATTTTACAAGATTTCAAAACTATCAGAATGCTGGTTCTTTAGATATTGTGCTCATTGGAAATACTCATTGTAAAATCCATGAATATGATGATGTTGAAGTTTATACTCAAATGCCAGCAGATGCTGACAAGATATTACTAAAGAATGTTCTATACATTTCTGGCTTTCATACAAATCTAGTAGCACACAGATTGCTGCATGTGAAGAGTTGTTATTTGAATGACAAGTCTCTTATGATTTACTACATCAGTACAAGAGATATCTTGTTCAATTTGACTGTTAAAGAGAGAAAAATGGTCATTGAATACAGATCTATTAACATTGCAACAGACAGTATAATAAAGAGTGTTTTTACTGTCTCATTGAGTGAAGATTTAATTAAAAAACCATTGATGGTGTTGGTCTTCAGTTCACTAGAAACAATAAATATTTAACATTTAAGACTTGGTCATCTAGAAAGAGAGTCTCTGGCTCATCTTCTGAAGATGTCTACTGATGTGAAATTTACAAAGATCTCTTGGAATTCTCTAACAGTAGAGTGCAGATCTTGCACTCTTTCAAAAGCAAAGCAAATCATATGCAGAACACTGTCAGAAAGATCTACACATCTGTTCATAAAGATGTCTGTTGATCTCATACAGTTTGCTCCAGATTATAATGAAGATAGGTGGATGGTTCACTTATATTGTGATTATACTCACCTGCACTACATGGAAATGATGCAGTGAAAATCTGAAAGTTTGACATGCACAGCAAAAATGATAAGAGTAATTCTCAATTTATATCAATTGACTATCTTGACTATTTGAATTGATGGAGAGATCTCTATGCAGTCAGAACTGACAGTGTTGGCTTGAACATATGATATAGTTGTTCAATGTTCAGCATTCTACACATCAGCTCAAAATGAAGCTGTGGAATGTGTGGGAGCTTTAATAACAACAGCAGCATGTACAATGTGAATTGAAGTCAACATGTCTGAGAATTTGTGACCAGAATGCATCAAGACTGCAGTGTATATTTTAAACAGAATTCTGATTAAAGATTTTGATTGAAACACTTCTCTTGAATTCTTAGGGAAATATCTTCAAACTGCAACTCCTTTAACTGAAATTAGACATATAAGAGTTTTTGGCTGTAGAGTGTATTCTTTAATTAAGAATGCATGATATGAAAGAAATCAGAAGCTGACTTCTAGAGTGGAAGTTGAATATCTTATTGAATATGAATCAATGAATATTTTTCACATTTGAATTCCAGTACAATGAAAGATTATATTAACAAGAGATGTTATATTTGATGAAGGTACACTATTTAATTCTAATGAGATTAGCAGTGAGCTTTTATTACAGAAGAGCTTCATTGTGCTGAATACAATATCTTTTGTTGAAGTAAGTGATATTAACAAGACAAGCTTGAGTGAGCATGACAGTGAAGATGAAGACTCTGAGAAGAATACATCACATGAAAGTCACAAGACTGTTAATCAGTCAATAAGATCAACAGAAACAATGACTAAGACACTAACTAATCAGTCAGAAGAAACACATGCATTGTCAACATCAGAATCTACATCAGAGCTGTTGGCTTCAGACATCTACACTCAACTTCTTTCAGATGATTCAACAACACCATTGACTGAAATAGAGATGCTGAATCAACTTTCATTGACAGCCAATCATTCTGCTGCAGAAGCTACAGAGATGATGAGTGGTGTTGTAGTTGAGTCATCTGAAGATATAACATCTACTACACTTTCTGCCACTAGCTCTATGAGAGTGATGAGCACAAATGACAGACAATTAATAGCCAATTGTTCTGCTGCAGAGGTGATGAGCACTAATGATGGAATTTCAACAGTCAATCATTTTGCCACAGAAGTGGTGAATGACTCAGCTGATGTGAGCTTGAGCACAGAGCAATCTTCTAGACAAAGTGCTAGAATAAAGCATCAAAATGCAGATTGAATTGACAGACAAACAGCTTATACAGTGATTCTGCAGCAAACAGTGCATTTGAATTCTTTTTATAGAGACTATTTAACAGCTTTTACAATTATGAATTCTAGACTTCACAGAGAGAATCTTCTGAAGTCTCCAAAGCATTATTTTTCAATGTTGCAACATCTGCATGCTGGTGGCTTTAAGGCCACAATGAATGTGGAAATGAAGAAGCTACAAACAAAGAAATGCTTTGAAGAAGTAGAAAGCTCAGAAGAAATACATTCAATTTTTTTAATGTGAATTTATATGTACAAATTTGATGTTAATGGTTTTTTGGAATGTTATAAGGCAAGGCTCATTTTTTGTGGAGATCTGAATATAAATAATAAACATGACACCTACATCACTACTCTCACTGTGTGAATATTTTGCCTTTTAATGACTATAACAGCTTATTTTGAAATGGAGATCTTTCAGATTGATGCTGTTAATGCATTCATTAATGCTTCATTTGATAAATCTGTTTATTGCAGACTGGCAGAGAATTACAGTAAGAAAAGAGATGTTTGAAAGATTCTACATGTCTTATATAATCATCTCAAATCTCCACAACTCTGATACAAAGATCTCACTTCAACACTCTGGGAACTAAAATTCTGTCAGATTTGTGAAGAATCATGTCTATTTGTTGGTAAGAATATTATTATCTTCTTTTACATGAATGACATAGTATTTTTATATCACAGAAAGAATGTTGAAACATTTGAGCAGTTATTGAAGAATCTACAGACACATTACAAGCTTCAAGAGATTGAAGAGCTAGAGTGGTTTCTAGATATTCATGTCTTATGTGATAGAAATGCTCAGAAGCTTTGACTGTGTCAGAATAGTTATATTGAGAAGATTGCTAATAAGTTCAATCTTACAGAATTGAAGTCATCACATATGCCAATGGTAACTGTGAATATAGCTTCTTATATGAAGGTGCAAGATAAGCAATGAATACATGTCTATCAACAGAAGATTGATTTGACTCTCTACACTGCTATTGTAATGTGGTCTGATATTTTGTTTGCTACTGCAAAATTAAGTGAGGCTTTGGTTAATCCAGAATCAGAACATCATACAGCAATTGAGAGAGTTATCTCATATGCTTTTTTAATGAAGTATTATGCTCTTGAATTCTGTGCCAAGAGAAAGTTGAATATTCAGAGTGATAATAACAATGCTGTAAACACTCATTTAATAATCATCAGTGATTCTTCTTTTGCAGATGATTTGAGCTCTAGATGCTTCTTTCAGAACTCTGTATTTAAGCTCTTTGAAGACTTAATTGATTGAAAATTCTTCAGACAAAAGATCATTACAATGTCTTCAATGAAAGCTGAGCTTTTAGCACTATTCTATACAGCAAAAGAGACCATGTGGTGGAAACACTTATTTAAGAATATTATGTTGAAATTAGAAAGAGATTTTGATATTTTATGTGATAATTTGCAAATGATATGATTACTGATTTCAGCAGCTCCACAACTAATTACCAAGCTCTGCCATGTTAATATTCATCATTACTGATTATGGGAAGCAGTTACTAATAAGAAATTAAATATTATCTGAATTGAAAGCAATAATATGCCTGCAGATGGCTTAACAAAAATCTTATCTAGACAGAAATTTGAAAAATTCATTAAGCAATTGAGACTTATGAATATTGATTATTTAATAGAGGAGAGTTCATCATCTACATCACTGCCAAAACTACAGAAGTGTGTTGAGCAGAAGTCAGATGACTTATTAGATGATCAGATCTTCAAAAAAGAAACTGAAGAATCATAGATTTATCATCTTCTTCTCTCAATCATGATATTGATTTCATTATCTTTGTCTATTGGACTGGCAGAGATTTGCTAGAGATTTTTCATATGTTTTTTCTGTAGCCTTGATTATAGCATGTTTGTCTATAAGTATCCATGTCTTGTTTGTTAGGAGCAAGACCAGACACAATATTATAGACACTCAGTCACATGATCATCACGTGCTCCTGTGTCGTCCGATACAAAGCATAATCGCCGTTTTGATAAGTGCAGGAAGATTACATAAGCAAACCGCGAACTGAAGCCCTCCAGTTCGAGGTTGGGTTCCTCGAAAGAAGAACGCCTCTTTTCCTGCAGAGCTGTGTTCTATGCTTGCAGATTGAAACTAAAAATGAGTGTACTTTTGGAGACATCGCTAGGGGACATTGTTGTTGATTTGTTAGTAGACTCAGCGCCCAAAGCATGTGAAAAGTGAGTTCCCATCATCTTCACTTTTTATAGTTGTCAGGTAACTGAGAAATGGCAACTAAGACGTCGGACCTAGTTTCTTGAAATTGTGCAAGATCAAATACTTCAATTTCTCCCCGATACACAGCGTACAAAAGTCATTTTCATTTCAGGCCGGTGATCCGCTCGGCCCGGACTCACCAGAAAGCGATGGCGGTTCGTCTATATGGGGGATTTTGAAAGGGCCGTCGCAAAAGCTATTTCCTGTTGAGCCTATTCCAAAGCTCAAACATTCCTTGCGTGGCACTGTGAGCATGGTCACAGTGCCATCGCCGAAAGATCCCGATACACGTTTGGCTGGAAGTCAATTTATCATAACCCTCGGTGATAACCTCGACTATCTCGACGGCAAAGCTGCAATATTTGGGAACGTGGTCGAAGGCTTTGATGTATTAGAAAAGGTCAATGATGCTTTCATTGATGATAAGGGCCGGCCGCTCAAGGATATTCGAATTAAACACACTGCAATATTAGACGATCCCTTCAGTGATCCCCCAGAGCTCATTGTACCTCCAGAAAGCCCGGTTCCCTCCAAAGCACAGTTGGCCACAGTGATGATAGCCGATGACGAAGAGTTAGACGATAATGCGGATGAAGAATCGCTTGAGAAGCTACGGCGAGAGCGTGAAGCGAGAGCCCAAGCCTTAACTTTGGAGATGGTAGGAGATTTACCCTTTGCTGAGGTAAAGCCACCGGAGAATGTACTTTTCGTGTGCAAACTGAATCCAGTCACCCACGGTATGTCGATGTTACCCGCTATTTCCCCTCTGTGGATTCTAAACTGCACTTTAGATGAGGATTTAAACTTGATATTCAGCCGATTCGGGCCAATCTTGTCGTGTGAAGTTATTCGTGACAAGCGAACCGGAGACAGTTTACAGTATGCTTTCATAGAGTTTGAGAATCAGAAAGACTGTGAACAGGCCTACTTTAAGATGCAAGGTGTACTCATAGATGACCACCGAATACATGTGGACTTCTCCCAGAGTGTACGAAGCTCCTCTGACGCCTATGATGCTGTTGCTAACGTTTATCTAGGTTTCGAAACTTTCGGATAGTTGGCGATCGGCTACGAATGCTAAAAGGGCAAACCAAAGAGGAGGGTTCGGCGGTATTTCGAGTCTGGAGAAAAAGCGGCATTACAGAGCAGCTGCAGATATCCCCAGGAAACGAGACCGATACGGAATGGTATTTGAAAAAGAAGATATCCCCTCAGGAAACGCTAGCCGAGATTCTCACAAAGGTTCCCAACGATATCGGTCCCGAAGTAGAAGCCCAGATCGGAGGTATCGCCGTGCATCTCCGCGGCGACATGATGACAGACAATATGGACGTAGCACTCATAACTCGCAGCGCAATAATGACCATGAACGACATCGTAGATAATAACAATCACTTAAATAGTTAATCTTGGGTACTTTCTTTCTTGTCCATAACTATATTTTGCCGAGCCGAAGTGGAATTCATAAACCCAAAAAATAGAGATGGGCCCTCTGCCATGAAAGTTTAGATCTGGGATCCCTAGAAACCCTCTCACAGTTGAGATCCAACGCATCAGCAACGGGGCCGGAACTCAGCCACTGTGAGGACTTTGAACGGACGACCTGAACCTTGTGAGAGCACACTGTTGTCAACCGGATAAAATTACCCCACTTCAGGGGCATGCCACATCCGTCCCGCCAACTCCAGTACCCAGCTTTCCCCCTTCAACTTCAGCGTGTTGATTTATAACTACGCCAGACGCTCCGATCGTGTCCAACTTTGATAAGCTGGAATTCGAATTATTTCTAGAAGCCTCACACCCAAAGCCTCAGGTCACCCCTGTTACACGTTGATTGAAAGCTCCATACATACCAACCTTTACCCCACCCATGGCGTCGGCAGTGAGAGACACGGTGTCCAACCTTGTGGGCAAGATGAGCATTCATTCCAAGGAGCCGTCGGTAGAAGAAATCGCTCAGCTACAAAATAAATATAGCCAAGCTGGACAAGGCCAGGTTTTCACTTTCTTCAACGAGCTCAACTCATCTGAGAAAGCACAGCTCTTCAACCAGTTGTCTACCTTTGACCCCGAGCGTATCAATGTCCTTGCTACCCGTGCGACTCAGTCACAAACAGCTAATACCGAATCCGCTTCCGGAAAGCTCGAGCCTCTACCTGAAAATGCAACCGCATCGATTCTTGATTCCGACCCCGCTGACATTTCACGATGGTACGAGGAAGGCATGAAGCTGATTGCCGAGAACAAGGTTGCTGTCGTGCTCATGGCCGGCGGGCAAGGGACAAGACTGGGGAGTTCTGCGCCAAAAGGGTGCTACGATATCGGACTACCAAGCGGAAAGTCCCTATTCCAAATACAAGCCGAGAGAATTGCAAAGCTACAGTCTTTGGCAGAGTCTAGTAGCAAAACACAAGGAGTAACAATTCCTTGGTATGTGATGACTAGTGGGCCTACTCGCAGCCCGACACAGGAGTTTTTCCAGAAACATGATTATTTCGGGTTGAAAAAGGAGAACGTGGTTATTTTTGAGCAAGGCGTCTTGCCATGCATTTCAAATGATGGAAAGATTCTGATGGAAAGTAAATCTAAGGTATGGCGTTTGCCCCTTATAATATAACTGGTCTTATTGACGTCAAAAGGTGGCTGTTGCACCTGATGGGAATGGGGGTATCTATCAAGCTCTCCTGACCGCGGGTGTTCGAGACGATATGAAAAAGCGTGGTATTCAACATATTCACGCGTATTGCGTAGATAATTGCCTTGTCCGTGTTGCAGACCCCGTCTTTATTGGATTCTCGGCTTCAAAAAAGGTCGATATCGCCACAAAGGTGGTTCGAAAGCGGAACGCCACAGAATCTGTCGGACTTATTCTCCTGAAAAACGGAAAGCCAGACGTGGTTGAATATTCTGAGATCGACAAAGAAACTTCAGAAGCCAAAGACAGCAAGAATCCTGCAATTTTAAAATTCCGGGCAGCAAACATTGTTAACCATTATTATTCGTTTGCTTTTTTCGAGGCGATTGAGAGCTGGGTTTCGGATCTCCCGCATCATGTGGCTCGTAAGAAGATTCCCTGTGTTGATATCGAGACTGGGGCCCCAATAAAACCCCAGAGCCCCAATGGCATCAAACTTGAACAATTTGTTTTCGATGTTTTTCCCATGACACCCCTCCAAAAATTTGCTGCGATTGAAGTCAAGCGCGAAGATGAGTTCTCTCCCCTCAAAAATGCTAGGGGAACTGGCGAGGACGATCCAGATACCAGCAAGAAGGACATCATGAGCCAGGGACAACGATGGGTCGAAGCGGCCGGTGGAATTGTTACACCGGAGTCTGCAGATTCCCCTGGTGTTGAGGTGTCACCTTCTGTTAGCTATGTAAGTCTAGTCTCTCTAACATCGCTTGGTTTTCATACTGATTTTGCTACAGGGAGGAGAGGGGTTGGAGTTCTTGAAAGGAAAGACGATCAAATCCCCGGCCGTATTTGAAAAAGAGGATGCCTAAGAAGTTTTGTGCGACATTCAAGATGATATTCGGCGTACAGACATTGTCGGGGTTTAAAAAGCAGCGCGCCACACCAAGAAAAGAGTATATAAATCTTACATGCTATTCTTACGTCATGGATATATTTCTGTACTTGTTGATACCAAAATGAGGACCATCATAGTATGTTCAGCTTTTGCCAGAGCTTCCCCTGGCTCGAGATGACTTGCCCATGCCTCGGGTATATTCCCTGTGGCCCACCCCACCCACTTCATCCCGAGAGAGCTTGAGTGTGCAGAGGGGGCGAGATCAACCTGCTCCGGGGAAGGTGGGTGGAACTAACTAGATTAGGAAAGGTCGCAACAGAGCTAAAGATTTTCACCCATCATAACCCCCAAGCCATTGACTGGTTCTTTGTAGCGACCCGTATCTTTCAGGTGTATTGCACATTTGCCTATCCCATTATTCACCACTCGGTAGGAACTCGGATTGTGTGGTCCGGTGGGAACGAAGCGTTGTGAGGGATTAGCTTGGAGGACTGCGAAGTAAGTCCGCCACCGCATTCTTGCCTCGTTCACTAATTGAGGCCCCCCTTCTCGCTAATACGTTAACGTACCATTCTCTAGGCATAGGACTGCTGGTCACTAGGGTTTTCGACGGAGGAAACGAGATATACAATTTGGGGGAACTAGGCCTCTTTTTCGGAAAGTGAGTCTTCGCGTCATCTCGGGCTGCCTAGGCTGCGCGATCGCCCATTGCCGCCGCGGCGGCGCCCAGTGCTTTCTACTTCCAAGTGACACCGCCCCCTATACAGCTTCCCTCTCCCGCTCGCCTGTCCACGCTGTATAGGAAGTTGCGCGAAGCGATTTAGAATTCCGGGTTATACTGTTGATTTGGAGCTAATAAGTCTCTGTACTTCCAGAATGTTGCTCTCTCGCCGTGCCTGTTATAAGTGTGGCAACATCGGCCACTATGCCGGTAGGTACTTGGGGTTCATGGTCGTTCGTGAGCTTATGATCCGTTACTGATAAGGTTAGAGGTCTGCTCGTCTTCTGAGCGTCTTTGTTATAATTGTGGGTTCTCGCTATAATATCTGCCCTGGTTAATGCAACTGCTGATGTGCTCATGTTTAGGCAAGCAACCGGGTCAGTTATTATAACAGAACAGGTTTGTTCCAAAGCGATGATCTAATCCTCAAACAGGGCATGAGTCGAATGGATGCCCGCGGCCCCGTACAACAGAGAGTAAGCTATTTGTCAAGCGTTGCTCAACGTGGAATATGCGATTGACCGTCGCTTAGCAAAGCAGTGCTATCATTGTCAGGGACTAGGACATGTCCAAGCGGATTGCCCTACCTTGCGATTAAACGGAGGAGCTACTAGCGGTCGTTGCTACAATTGTAATCTCCCCGGTCATTTGGCTGTGAGTATCTCCTTTCTTGGCAAACATGACTCTGGCCCTAATTTATAAAGCGTAATTGTTCAAATGCAGGCATGCCAGCTGCTGCACGGAACGTGGGCACCTCTCGTGGTGCATTTAATGCACCTTTCCGTGGTGGGTATGGGGGTTATCCGAGAGCGGCTACCTGCTACAAATGTGGCGGCCCGAATCATTTTGCCAGAGATTGTCAGGCGCAGGCAATGAAGTGCTACGCCTGCGGTAAACTAGTATGTTGCGGATACCTGACATGGGAAACATAAGCTGATATCAATGTATTACAGGGCCATATATCGCGAGACTGTACTGCTCCTAATGGTGGGCCCTTGAGTTCCGCAGGGAAGGTTTGCTATAAATGTTCTCAAGCAGGGCATATTTCCCGAGATTGTCCAACTAATACTACTGTTAATACCACTGCCGAGATGAATGCCAAACCTGCACTCGAAACTGCCGCTGCTCTCCCAGTGGCAGCAGAAGCTTCCAGCGAGGCACCTCCGCCATCGGTTACTGCTGCAACTCCCGCTATTGCGTGAAAGATTACTGCCCATCACACCTTAGGATGACCTCTCTATCCCCTCCTTTATCTCATTCGTTTCTGGTTTCTATGACTTTTGGATAATACTTTGTCCCATTTCCTTTTTGCGTTATTGCACATATCATCGCCTGTCTCAAAGCATCAGTACCAACATCTTATGTATACGACGAGCAAAATTCTTCACGATGTTCTAGTTTCTATGACTGGATCCAGCATGGCTCAAGCCTCATGAACAAAAATCGGCGTCGAGTGACTTTCAAAATGGAATTTATATATGTTTCACGTATTATCAGGAAGAAAGAAAGAAAGAGCAAGGCAGCTATAGGTGAAGTGAGCGGAGTGAATCAGATGGATTGGGCTGAAGCGAGCAAGAAGTGGACGCTATCCTGTGGACGTGGCTGGCGACTTATCTAGTTTTCATGGTACTGGCGTGGCTTCGTTTTGGTTGTCGGTCTAGTGTGCATTGTTATTTTTTGACCCTATTTAGCTGGTGTCAGTGTCAGTCTTTGCTTTGCAGTTCCCTTTTCATCTGTACATTATGCCGGGGGTCGTTACCGGCGTGAACCAGTTTCCTTTCTCTACCAATCAGAGGTCCGAAAGTTTGATACATTATTCTCTAGTACTCTTCTTCCTCCGGTTCGCATCTCTATCTATGCTGCCGATGCTGTGAGTGTCTGAAGCCCACTTCCCAATATGGAAGTACCCGTGACTTGACTTCTCGCACACGGAGGGGTTGATTTGAAGTCCCGGGCATCGAAGAGCTTCACTTCCGGACTACACTACCAACGTCTGGTTCGAAATTAGTAATTTATTAGAGCACTACCTGTTGATTATCTTTACGTTTCGTTTTAGCAATGCCAGCATCCAATGCTAGTGACGGGTTTGACGAAGATGTAAGACTTCACGCTTTGAAAATGCAGAAGAAACACCAAATAACGTCAGTCAGGAGAATTTCATTGTCGATATCGACGGCATTCAAGCGCACGGTTTGCCTACAAGATCCGTATATTTGCAGGGCAAACCCTAAGTAGATCTCTCTTAGGTATTGGTGCTTCTGATATCACAAAGCTGAAGGCAAATGGCTTCTATACCGTTGCTGTAAGTTTGGTTCCATTGAATGCCGGCTGTTTGCCAGAGTAATTGACACGACGGCTTATAGTCTGTCCACGGTGCCACTCGTAGAAAGCTACTCAAAATTAAAGGGTTCAGTGAAATCAAGGTTGAGAAAATCAAGGAAGCAATCCAGAAATGTCAGGTAGGAAGAGGGAGATACTGTGAAAATTAGGAAGAGGAGCTTGAGACTAATGCTCCACTAGCCCTCCGCTTCAGGTTTTATGACAGCCATGGAACTTGGCCATCAGAGGAGAAGAGTGGTAAGAGTTTCCACTGGAAGTAAGCAGTTCGATGCCATTCTCAATGGGTAAGCACGCTGAGATCATAAACACCGCTGGTAAAGCTGACAAACTATTTATAAGGGGATTTCAAAGCATGAGTATTAGCGAAGTCTACGGAGAATTCCGTTGTGGTAAAACACAGCTGTCCCACACAATGTCGGTGGTTGCCCAATTACCAAAGGAGATGGGGGGTGCAGAAGGGAAAGTAGCCTATATCGACACAGAAGGAACATTCCGCCCTGAACGAATCAGCCAGATTGCTGAAAGATTCGGCGTTGATCCTGACTCTGCACTGGAAAATATTGCATATGCCAGGGCGTTAAATAGCGAGCACCAGCTCGAGCTGTTGAACACATTGGCTAAGGAGTTTGCAGGAGGAGAATATCGACTCCTTATCATTGACAGTATTATGAATTGCTTTCGTGTAGATTACTGCGGTAGAGGTGAACTCGCAGAGCGTCAACAGAAGCTCAATCAGTTTCTCATGAAGCTGGCCCACATGGCTGAAGGTATGAATCCCGGATTCCCCAGCATAGTTATTGCTAAAAGAAAATGCAGAATTCAACGTTTGCGTTCTCATGGTAAGTCATAAGCGGCCTTCAGAAACTCATACTGTGGGCTCACATCCATGAAATAGACAAATCAAGTACAGAGCGACCCGGGAGCTAGTGCCTTGTTTGCTGGCGCAGATGGCCGTAAACCGGTTGGCGGGCATATTCTGGCACATGCGTCAACGACGCGAGTGCTTCTTCGTAAGGGGCGCGGCGAGGAAAGAGTTGCCAAGATCCAAGATTCTCCAGGTATGTTTTTCAGTGCTTCACTGTAGCCATGGCGTTTAAGCGGCAATCGGACCAAGGGTTTCTGATATATCTTGCGCCAGACTGTCCGGAGCGCGAAGCAACATACATCATTACAAACGGTGGAATAAATGATCCAGAGAAGGCATAACAGAACAGCTACTAGAGATTGATCGGTTACTTTGCAGCTGCTTATAATCTATTGTCGAAAATATGAAGGAAGAATAAGAATCGCAGGTTTCCCGAGACAAGCCTGTTAGTTAGATTTCGTTAGTTAGTCAGCTTCTTGAGTGTAAAATTTCCTATTTATCGTATGCAAAAATCAAACCCATGATGCAAGCTCCAAAGCTCTTATAAAATTCATAATTTCTGAAGATGGGTAGAGATTTTCCTATAAACCTATCTGGCTATATTGTGCTCCCCCTGGAGCTTCCACCTTTGCCCTCCTTACCCCTAACCGCAACTCATATCCTCTATGTACGACCGCACGAGCCAAAAATACCCGACCCTCATTCGAACCGGTCGTTGTTCATTGCGAATGTCCCCATTACATCTACGGAAGTTCACTTCAAGCATTTATTTGGTACGCAGCTCTCCGCAGGACGGGTAGAGTCTGTGAGATTTCAAGATACAGAAGGTAAACTGCCCGGTCCTGCACCGCAGCCTGTAGCCCAGGTGGGTGGTGGCGGAGATAAGAAGAAGCGAAAGCGAGAAACGCCAGAGGAGTTAGAAAAGCAGCTCGAGGCTGTTGCCTTTCCACGGCTATGGGACCGCGAGATACAGACTCCCGGTTCGCATGCTGTCGTTGTTTTCGTCGATAAGCCTAGCATGGAAGCTAGCTTGAAAGCTGTTAAGAAGGCTGCGAAGTCCAAGTCAAAAATCGTATGGGGACAAGGAGTCGAGGAGAAGCTACCGGCGCTGGGTTCAAAACGATACGAAACCCATGAGCGTTTAAGGTTTCCTCCAAAAGAAGAGCTGTTACGCTTTGCGAACGAATATATGACTATCTACGACCGGCTCGACCAGGCTCGAGCCCGCGAAGCTACTTCCGGGACACAGGTAGCGGACGAAGATGGGTTTATTATGGTAGCAACAGGACGGAAAAATAATGCTGAGCGAGAGGAGGAATTAAAATCGTTGGCGGAGAAGCAGAAGGGTAAGAGTAAGGGACTAGAGGACTTCTATCGCTTCCAGATGAGAGAGAAACGGAAAGAGAAGCAGACTGAGCTGCTGAGGAAGTTTGAGGAGGATAAGAAAAAGGTGGAGGAAATGAAGAAGATACGAGGGAAGATCGCGGTATGCTGCGCACCTGATTTTTTTCTAATCCGTTCACGATGACTGATTTTTGGAATAGCCTGAGTGATAAGTAAGGATCTGAAAATTGGGCTTCCGGCTTATTTGCACATATCTCTGTGTAATCATAAGCCTGCCATGGCCATCTATTTTTCATGTTTCAAAACGGTACGTTGCCCTAACCTTTCCTTTGCCCACCTTCGACGCATCGTGCATTACATATGATGAATCTGCTGGGGCCATATGAAAAACGAAGGCGAATGCATTCGTTTTGGCGATTTCAATCCCAGTTTCCGCAACGACCAAATCTTCTCAAAACGATCCTGAATCTCTCCCTTGGTTTCTTTCTGGTAATAATAATGACACGTCCTTGAGCTGCGACTGACTGGGGACCCTTCTAGATCGATCGCTGCGAGATCACCGAACAACGGACATCCCATGCCCGCTTCGGCGCCCGAAGGGTTCCCACAGGAATTTGCGAAGGTGTTTGCTGCTTGTGAAGAACAGGGGTATGCCGGAGTGTGTATCGATCCTATAATTTACATACATACGGAGTACGTCCAGTCTTCACGGAGATCCGTCGCATCCCGCACAGTTAATATTGGGTAGGCTTGGCTGGCCCCCCACAACTCTGCTTGTCGGGCCTGCAGTGGGTTAATTTGCCACCTTATCGGAATCAAACGGCCAGTTGTTCTCGTGAGACTACGGGCAAATAATACAGAAGTTACGCAAGGTCTCGTGTTCACTTTTTCCTTTGGTTTTCTTCTTGTCTAAGCAGGCGCAGCAGCCTGCTCAAGAGGTTTGGCTGAAGCGTGCGCGCTTGACGTAAACATTTTCTTGTAAAGTGGCGTGTTTGCGACGAAATGAAAAACAAAATAGTTGCACATCAGCAAATTCGACCTCTCTCAGAGCCATTAGATATTTTAAATAGCCTAACCACCTCGAGATATCGTCGAATTCGAACATGGACTTTTCTGGTACATTGGATTGACACGATGACAACGCCGTCGTCTACTTACCTCTTGCCCTCGACACCAGTATTGCAATTGAGCTTGTGAATTTACCCCGAAATATCTGCCTAGCATCTCCAAGTATTTAATATTATTTCTCCCCGCAACTGATATCGGCGATGACAACGCCACCTCCTCCAGGCGGATTCGTCCCACCCTCACTGCCCTCCCCGGCGCCTTCGTCCGCATTATCATCGGCGACTTTATCGCATACACTGCCACAGCAAAGACATCACCCTCTTAAGTCTGGGTCGCCGAAGGAGACGGCGGTCATTAATTATGTCGATAATCACATATTAACAATCAATCGGCGGCATGCGAAGAAGTTCAGTAGCTCGTTCGCGGGGGAGAAAGATGAGGAGAGAGGCTATGAGAGGTTTCGCGAAGTGGTGAAGGATATCGAAGCGGTAATCGATGTGCTGTGGGTCAGTGGGACTCGTAAGTGTCGGCCATTTTTCGCTGTAATAACGGTCATTTCTTCTTGTTTTTCTCCTTGCCTGTGGATCTTTGTGCATCACTGTGCTAACTACAACGTATATCAAACTACAGCATCCCTGCAAACACCGTACCTGATCTCCTTAGCAGGTTTGTTTAATACGTATCTCCCGGACTACTCCTTCTCGCCGAAATCCACTTTCCGACTGGTCAAGAAGCTTGATGCCATGTTTGCTTCTTTGCTGCAGGGCGAGGATGTCGAGACTGGTCAGCCGCTGCCAGGATTCGAGACGAGGCGGAATCAGGTGTCCATGACGGAGAAAGTTCGGATAAAAAGCATCGCGGAGAGCACGCGCATGACGGTGCTGGACGTGCAGGACGAAGGCGGGCCGTCGGAGTATGACTTTGAGGATGACGAAGGGGATGGCAGTGTGACCGAGGGCGACGACGATGGAATGGGTGGTGGTGATGATGATGGCGGTGATTTTGGGACCGGGGAGTATGTAGACGCCCCGGGGCCGGGGCGCTGGGAAATGGAGTCCGCGCGGGTGTTTGAGAAAACGATACAACTTCTCGGAGATGAACTCGGGAGGCAAGGTGGCCTGTAAGGATGCTACGTTTATTGGGAAGATGTCATGTAGCCCTGGGCTCTGTATAGTCCAAACAAGAGTACTCCATACTATCACACCAAACAAATGACGTGTGCTTACATAATCACGTAGTAACGTCATCGATCGAGAACTAGCGGAACAGCAGGTGTCTCACTTGTAGTGTCTTTCACGCGGGCGTTACCTGTCGGCGGGCGTAACAGCGCATTGACGCCTACTCCTTGGAAAGAATTGGGCGCAGTTGATGCTGCATAAACCACTACTACTACTGTTAATACCAGAGTCCTCACGGCACTGGCCTGCATGGGCGAGGTCGGCCGGCTGCGGGCTAGGGGAGGGGCAGGCCCAAAGTTACCGCTAGCGAACAACCTCATCCTTGCGGCGCTCCACCGCCGGCCCATGACTTGCATGCGGCACCCCAGTGGCAGCGGCATCCATTGGCTGCGCCTCCGATCCCACGAGGGGCGCCCGTCGCCCGGCTAGCCTCAGTCCGGCCAAGGGCGCTGCGCGTGTGCCTGGTCGCTGGGCTTCTGCGGCCTGGCGCTCTTCCACGCGTCCGTGGGCTTTGGGGTGTGTGACGGGGACACGTCGTTTCTCGCTCGTTAATTACGCCGCTGACTCAGCGGGCTGCGCGCCGCCGGCCCAATCACACGCGCGCACCGCCTGCGCCGCGGGCGGCCGTGCGCGTATTGCATACTCCTGCATACACGGCACGTGACAGCGGCCGCTGTGCACCCGGACGAGACGCTGCCGTGCGTACTGTATTTTCCTTGGGCTGGGGGGGCGAGGGCGGGGAGGGGGGATTTGCGGATACCACGACCTGCCAGGCACAGCGCGATCGCTCCAGCACGTCGCCAGACAGGCAGCTATTGGCCTGCAGGCGTCCACTGTTTCCGGCGCGCCGTCGTTGCTTTTTTGGCAGTCGATTCAGCTCTGTTTCGCCGTGGAATCGACGCCGTGCCCGCCCAAGGCCAGCGTCGGCGAGGGGCGGGCTTAGTTCCACGGCGTAAAAAAAAAAGAGCCCCTCGCTGCCTTTTTTATCTTTTTTTTTTTCGCACACAAACCCGTGGTAGCGTTAGCAATCCGGCTCCGCTCTGGAGGGGGGTGGTTGGCTTTCGCCTCTCTTTGGCTGGCCTTTATCGCTCACAGGCGGCGGCCGTGGTAGACGGAATCTAATACTCGTAGTGTGGACAAGAAGGGTGTGATCGTAGCAAGGAAAAGTCTGGTTCCTCACCTTCGCTCCTCTGAGGCTATTTTTCCCACCGGCCTTTTCCCTTTTCTCGCGCCCGCTCCCCTCTTTTTTTCTTCTTCCCTTCTTCTCTCCCCTTCCCTTCCCTCCCCCTCCATCGCTCGTCGAAGTCTATCGATTCAACCCCTCCTTCGCGCTTTGCGTTTTTTTTTCATCGCTTCTTTTTCCCTTTGCTGCGCGTTCCGTTCGCAACTGGGTTCCAGGTTCTCCTGTTCGTGTTCCTTCTTGCGCGCGCCGTGTGTGTGGGAGTTGTGCCCGTCTGCGAATTGCTGAAGCTATTTTCTCCCGAAGCGATCCGCCTCCCGCCTGCAAGCCATCGCCTCGCATTTCCACCCCATATCTGCCATTTTTATCACCTGGTAAGTTTTATCGTGCGTCTTGCTGCCCGCGTGCTACTGGCTGGTATTCTGGTTATTATTTTGTATTTCCTTTTTTGCTCGACACTGTTTCCCCTCACTCTTCTTTCCCCGAGCCTCCCCCGGCTGTGCGGCTCCAGTGGTTTCGAAACTTTCACCATCGATCGATCTGCGCCATCGCCCGTGATTTTATTATTACGGAGTATACCACCGAGGAATCGGGCCTTGGTTCCTGCTGGCCAGTGATTATTATTATTGTGCCCATGCGCCAAACGAAGGATCTTCGCCTCCCAAGCCTTTTGCGTCGCTCGTTCCTCCTCCCACCTCCATCGCCCACAGATGTCGCCACCGGCCAGCCTGCCCGACATTCTTCATCGAGTGTGCGTGGACCTGCAGTGGTGCGGAGTAAACTATTTGAGTCAGGCCAATTCGCCCTACTTGAGATAAACGCTGGCTAGATTGCTGCGCTGGGGAGCGTCGACACGCGTTGTGGCCGCTGCAGAGTCAAAGCTGTCATCGTCGTCGTCAGATGTTTTTCGATAGGTCATCGAATCAGACGATCGAATCGAAATGCGCGACATGCGGGAACCCCCAAGCCACAGCGGAATCCGCGGGAGACAGAGATAGTGCGCACTTGCACGCATCACCGATGCCCAGTTAGTCAACTACTATTGATTTGCGAGGCGTGGACTCCTCTGTCTCTGCTGCCGGCCCCCAGCTCGCTGCCGCGAAAAAATACGGGCAGTCATTTGGCACGCTATTCGGGGTTCCTTCGAACTAGCTTGGCGTGCAGCAGCTGACCTGCTAGAAAATCACATCTTCACTCCCAGCCAACCTCTTCACTTCATTCCCGCACTCCTCCCCTCATCGCCTTTCTCTCTCTGTGTTTTTGCAGTTTTCTTTGCTGTTGTTGCGGTAACCTTGTTTGCTGTTCACTTGTCGTTCACTTTTCGGTCTTGTCTGCTTTTGTGCCTGGCCTGCTGTTCCAACATCATCAGCATTTCTGATTTTTCAGCCAACTTCCGGTTCGCACAATCTTCCCACCATTCAGTCCCTTCCAACCTGCTCCAGATTCATACCCCATTTTTTGGTGTCTGTCGTTGCTTGCATGTGGAGTTTTAAACACCCGATGTCAGTGTTGCTAATCGTTTCATCACTTGCGCAACAGACACGCTAGCTATTCTTGTCGCCTCACCTCGCGTTTCTCACCGTCTCTCCTTAACGACCAAAACGAATTCAAGTCGCAACGGCCGTGCTTGTAGATCTTGCAATTTCTCAAGCTCTTCCTGTCGAGGTTAGTGGATGTGTCTCTCCGCGCTATTATTATTGCAGGCGCGACTTGCGACGTGACCGGGGTTGGGTTGCCGTGGTTGTGGAGTAACTACTTGACGGGATGTTTTCTGCGACAACCCGCCAATGCTTACTGTGCCCTCAACCCTATTACACGAAACGCTTGATCATTCTTAGGGCCATGGATCAACGCTCACTAATATCGATCTTTAGTTGCGGTTTTTAACGCGGTTCATCTTCAATTTTCTCAGTGATTTCGACGATATTTCGTTTTTTATTCGTATAATTTGACGAATAGTCTGCGCAATCATGTCTTTCCAAAATTTCGATACTTTTCCGAACCAGCATGGCGCTGCCGATGGTTCTGCAAATGCTGCTGGCGCCGCTCCACCCGCTGACCAGACCATGACGGGTCAGGCAGAACCTAACGCTGCTGGCTTTCAAGGCCCTACTCCCGAGGGTGCCGCTGCTCCTGGTGCTCAGCAAGGAGGCGAAGGCAAGACAACTCTTTGGTAAGCGACAGCGCTTAATAGCCGACAGCAGTTCGGTTTCTTTTCCTTGCTTGCGCTGACTCCGATATCTACAGGATGGGTGAACTTGAACCTTGGATTGATGAGAACTTTATCCGTAATATTTGGTACCAGATGGGCGAACAGGTGAATGTCAAAATGATTCGCGACAAATTTTCTGGGTAGGCATTTTCACTGCGGGAGTCTGGGATGTTATTGCGCCGTTTCTAACTGCTAGCCTTACTCTAGTAGTAACGCTGGATATTGCTTCGTTGACTTTGCTACTCCTGCTGCTGCCGCTAAGGCTTTGTCCGTTAATGGAACTCCAATTCCCAACACTAACCGCCCATTCAAGCTTAACTGGGCTACTGGTGGTGGATTGTCTGATAGAAAGTATGTATCATTCCTCATCCCTCAAAGCATCTCTCTGACTTTTGTCTAGCCGTGAGGACCGCACCCCCGAATTCTCCATCTTCGTCGGCGATCTCGGACCGGAAGTCAATGAATACGTCTTAGTTTCGCTTTTCCAGAGTCGCTTCCCATCCTGCAAGTCTGCTAAAATCATGACTGACCCGATCAGCGGAATGTCTCGTGGATACGGCTTTGTCAGATTCTCCGACGAGACTGACCAGCAGCGCGCTCTTACCGAAATGCAGGGTGTGTACTGTGGCAACCGCCCCATGCGCATCTCAACCGCAACCCCCAAGAACAAGGGTCCAGCTGGCGCTCCGGGTCAAATGGGTATGCCTGGTGCTCCTCCTGCCGGAATGTATCCCCCAATGGGAGGCCCACCGATGGGTTACTATGGCGCTCCGCAGCCGATGAACCAGTTCACCGATCCTAACAACACCACTGTCTTTGTTGGAGGTTTGTCTGGTTACGTCACCGAGGATGAACTGCGATCCTTCTTCCAAGGATTCGGCGAAATCACCTATGTGAAGATTCCTCCAGGCAAGGGCTGCGGTTTTGTTCAGTTTGTTCAGCGACACGCCGCAGAGATGGCTATCAACCAGATGCAGGGCTACCCAATTGGTAACTCCCGTGTCAGACTCAGCTGGGGTCGATCTCAGAACAACTCAGGCCCCGCTGGCACCCCCTACCGCCCTGCCCCGCCACCGCCAATTTATCCATCGATGGGTATGCCGCCATCCCACCAGTACGGTGGTGGATTTGCGCCAATGAAGGTATGACGGATAATTTTCTCTTTCGCATCTGATAAATAAGTTGCTAACTTTTTTAAAAGTGAGAGCGTTTCGTCTTCGTTTAAGCACCAGCAGGAGTTTTGCGTCGCTTTGGAAGATGGGTCGTCCCTGTGTCAACATTCGGTTTAAGGTCTCTCTTCAATTCTGATGACTCTGCTTTCCGGCTCTTGATGGGCGTTTTTCTCCTGTGCTCGGCACTCAATGTACTCGTGAAACGTTTCTTTTTTTTATGGACCCTGCACTATTTGCTTCTTTTACTACTAAAGAACATTAACGCCTGCAACCGTTATATTTGTTTTCTTCTCATGCTTCAGCTTTGACTTATCTTTTTTCCCTGCCCTTATTTCTTTTACCCCCTATTAAATTGATTCTTCACCTGTCACGCTTATTATTCACGTTGCATCTGCTCTCCTTTCACCAGGATTCTGGAATGTGGCATGTTTTATCCAAGCTTCGGTACTTACTACTACTCCCTGTTCCCGTTTTCTCGGTCGTACACCACGGGTCGGCAGTTTGCAAAAAGTTTTTATTTCCTTTTTACTTTCTCTCACTCTCGCGTCACGGAACAGCCAAAATTGAAATGTTTTCCTGCCTTTATATTATCTCAAGAATGTTTCATGCTCCCCCCTAAGCTTTCTTGCTAGACTGTCGCGTGTATAACAACCCTTCGGCCGTTATTACTTTTTCCTTTGATATCTTTTCCTTTCTCATGCCAACCACGAACCGTCTGATTCTCATACGAATGTGATGCTCTCGCTTTGTACGCTGTGACAATTAGCCTTGATCCTCGGTTCTCTTATTTTACCTTGACTCGTCGTTCTTTCACTGCTACCTTTTTTCTAATATCTGACCTTGACGCTCGCTACTACCATATTTCGATTTTCTTTTTCTTTTTCCGATTGCTTTAGCACTTCCACTCTTTTTCTTTCCCCAGTTTCCTTGTATCCAAATGATGTGACATTGTCTCGTTTAAAAAAAAAAAACAACAACCAGCCAGCCAGCCAGCGTGGGGTCCAATTACTATTTTTTATTTTTCCTTTCTCATCATCATCTTCTTCCCGTTACGCCTCAAATGGATTGCTTCTTTTTCCATTCTTAAATTTGATATTCCAATGTAATTCTACAATGGGTTTCTCGGCAAAGCGCAGTGGCGTTTCTAGTACCTCGTTTTGGCTTTTTCCGCCAGCCTTCGATTCTTCGGGTAAATTGTATTATTCCCCTTTTATTTTCTTTTTTTCCTTCAACGCCCCCCGCCCCCCCCCCCATAGCTATTATTATTATTGCGCCAGCCCGCGCGCATCCGGTTTCGCAAACCTCGGGATGGCGTTACTGCTAGGTTTCTTTTTTCTACCTGCTGCTTTTGGGTTGTCAGAATCTTGGCATTTTCCAGGCATTACCGATCTGGCGACGTGGGAGTGTTGATGATAAGACGTGTATGATATTTCTAAGTAACATCCGGATGAAATCTACATTACTAACCGCATATCATGGCTCGGTAAAAATACTCTTTCTCTATCTCCGTTTTGTCCTGTCTCCTTCGTCGGCAATTGGGGACATCGCAAGCTAGCACCCATTCCAAACACGTGATGCGTGCTGGTCAACACTGTTGCCGAAAAGGGAAGGCTGTGGCTTCTATTTCAGAAGTCGAAGTCCCCCCAGATGGTGCTTTCCTCTTTATCAGGTGCTATTCGGTATCGAAGAGGGGAAGTTGCAGATGACTGCGGGAAGGACCTGTTCTTCCCCTCAGTTCTCAACAGTCCTAATGTTCTTTCCTCCCATGAAGCAAATACCCTTCGCCTACGGAGTATTCTCCCAAGCTGGGCAGGCACGATGGGCCGTGCTTGCGAGGCTTGGAGGGTGTTGAGCTCTCTTGCGCTGGCGAGCTTCTGCCCCGCCGTCCGTTATGCCTTTTTACTCTCCTTGTAATATTCCTACCTACATCCCAATATCCGTGTTTCTTCTGGATAGTCAGTCGCTGCTGGCTATCCTTATCGACCTTTCTTTATTCCGTTCCTGTGCTCCTCTAACTTCCGTCTTCGAACGGGACAATACATTTTTTTTTTCAGTTTTGTTATCCAGAGACTCTCAAGATCCGGAGCCATGCGCTATGAGAATTGGGATGTACTCCTCTTTCCGGAGAGGTCAAGGGTGCCGATTCAGGAATTTAAGACGCAGTGTTTCGTCACCAGAGACCGCGGTTTGGCTGTTCCTATCTAACTTTCCTACTGGCGCTCGAAAAGCCCTAATTTTGCTGTGCACCTTCAGATTCTCCGTACCTGCAGGCCCAGGCCCTGATTAACTCGAGCGTTTTTATGTCGAACAATAGTATTCAAGGCAACCCTGGCCAGGTGCCCGTTCTGACTACCTTTGTCCCAAGCGTTACCCAAGACACCCCATTCAGGGTTTCGGTCCATAGCTGGGAGCGGCCGCGCCCTACCCGGATCCTGGAAAGCGTGATGCAGCCGGATGATGCAGTCATGTATGAGATGCGGGTCTTCATCGATGGGTATTGCGTTTCGTGAGTACTTGCTGCAGGAGAATTGTTGGGTAGTGCATCCCTGACCAGGCAGAAGAGGGAGCCTTTTTAACCAACGCGCGCACTGGCCCCACGTCATAGGTATGTTTCTTGGTCTGAAATGTTTGGCTGGTAAAGCCTAGTATACTGACCAAAAAATAGACCTGAGTTCTCGTAGGTAAAGCATGCGAATCACTGCGCATGGTTACTGACTGTGGGTTAAGAATTAGATAAAAATGGAGACCAGGACACCTTGCGGTTCCCCCCGTTTCACGAAGAGATACTCCGCCATACACATTGGGATGCTGGTGAAATGTATGGTCGGATTAGGGTTGTCATCGCTGAGGGACTTGCTAGACCTAATCGCTCCCCTCCCTTTGAGAGGGTGAGGGATATTGTCATTTTTTCCTTTCAGCATGCTCCGTTGAGTAAGTTGACATTCTGCCTTACCATATATATACCCATATACTAAGTCGTCATTCTAAGATATCCTGGAGCATTCTAACATCGCTTGGCCTAACGCTGGGATGTGGCTCCAAGGCCCCCGCCCGCTGCTGCAATACAGTTTTGGGTATGAGAAAGCGCTTTCGAAGAACGATGATGCGCATTCGCATTCTCCTAGTCGCCCCGAGGCTCGATTCAACCTCGGGAACATCGGCCCTGGTCCAGGTTTGCTACCATATCGCATTCAACCGACAGCATCGACGCAGTGGCAAAACAATCCTTGGTCGGAAGGTGACCCTGCATGGTTGGTTTCGCAACCTCCAGTCATGGATCCATTTGTCGACCCTTATAGGAACCTTAAGCAGCATCGCTCAACTTTGGATGATGTCTCAATGCCAGATTACCCGAACTCAAGTACGAACAGCAGTCGAGCCATATCAACGAACATGAGTTTTGGCAAGAGTAATCAAGAGCCTACCGCGCCGGCTTCCATTGATGACGAACAGTACAATCAGCTTATCGAAGCTTTGAGCCCAAAGAGGGCAGGTAATGGTACGTGCGCTCCGGCAAACACCCCAGCTTCGACTACAGCGAAGAAGACAAGGCTCTCCGAAGCTGCAGAAGCTCGAATCAAAGCTGCACGCCCTGGGCCGCTCAAAGAAGTTTCGCAACCAGGCTCCAGGCTCCCTTCCGGTTCCAGCATTGTATGCGAACCTTCTCCCGGAAGAGTTGCAACCATGCTTCTTAGCCCGAGTCCTAATTCAATCGGCAAAGATAAGAGTGTGTCTCCAGTGCCTAGCGGTGCCAGCTCCATTTCTTCCGGAACTCATTTGAAGCCAACACTCCCTGTGGGTGTTTCAAGTGACGGTAAGAGGAAAAGGTCACCGAAGACGGACAGAAAAAGCATTGATTCCCTGCATTCGGCATCACCTACTCCTTTAAAAAAAGCGACATATACTAAGGAGCAGGAAGGACCACAGAAAGAAAATTCTACAGATATCCTAGGCACACAGGAATCTGGAGCCTCTGTCTCTGATGTTGAATAAGACCCAACAGCATGGAGCATACTACATGTGGTCAAAAGGTGAATAAACCATGTAGTCAGTGCCGGCGTAGAAACAGAAAACGTATTGATAGCTCCGCATATTGTATGTATGTAGCCTTCTTGCCAGTAGCTGATAATGACATTAAAAGTATTTCCCCCCAAATGTTTATATAAATACCTTTGTAATGACCAAAGGTGTCTAAACCACCTATTCGATATATTTGTTCTGAGATGTAGTTAGATTTTGCTAGCAATTCACACTCACCACAGCCTGGCAACCCATGCATCTTGTGATCTTTTGCTGGGGTTTAAGGGCAAAAGTTAGTGTGAGAAGCCTAAATTTAGTGGCAGACATGGGGCCCAGAAAGGGGAGGCTATGCCTAAATGCTGATCACTCAATGCCTTGGCACGTTCTGTGGCTCTAGATCTCCACCCGGACATTCTTCGACTTCATCTAGCATGTACTTACTAAATTACTTCTCAAAATAGCACCTCCTGTCCACAATTTACCATGTTTAAGTAGTGTTCTATTTGCTTAGAAATTTACTTATATTACTAGCAGAATTTCCGCCTGCTAAGCAGCTGGTGTATTGGTGCTGGGGGTGTCCGAACAAAATATGAAATTCCCTATCTGCTCCTCACTTCCTAATCTGGTGGTCCTGCCAGCTGACGCAGGAGCCTTAAAGTGAAGAAAGGACCCATTCTACTCTGGGTGTTCCTACCCCTCCCCAACGTCACCTGTCACCTCTGCCCACCACTTTCATCAGTTTGACCTTCCTTTGGGCCCAATTCTTGTTCAGTCTCTTTTCTTTAATTTTGCACTCATTGTGGCTATTTGGTTGGCTTTACCAGGCTGCCCTATACCCAGGATGCATGTGGCTAAACCCACTGGCAGCAGCGGTACTCTCCCAAATCTTAGGGCTGAAGCATTAAACAGGAATGAATTCGAAGTGGTCAATCCCAATGGGAGAATAGGTGATGGAAATATCCCCTTGCCTCCTCTTTCATTGTGTAACGAGCTGCAAGCTGCGAATATCTCTGACCTTGCTACTTTGGTGGATGAGCTCATTGCTCCTTTCCGGCTGTCTGCATCTAGTGCCTCGCAAGAAGATGCATACTACGGACATGCTACAGTGTCATCTGGAGCCACTGAAACAGGATTGCTCCCCAAGCCCGAACGTGACAGAGATGAGAATATGGTTGAGTGCCAGGTTGCGGTGAATGTGAATTGCCAGCAAAATCCCCTACATTTGGAAGAGTTACTGCCTCAGGCTGTACCTTCTGATGCAGGCGATAGTTTGTGCAGTCACTTTCCTGTCAACTTGTCAGAAACCCCTCAAGGTGGAAGGACGAATGTCCTTTATACCTCTTTCATACAAGAGACTGGTCAATCGCTTCCACTTCGCCCTGCCTCGAGTACCGGTGACTTCAGCCAATCTATTGCGTGCGCTGTTGCTACTACTGCTAACGGAGCAAGCCTTGTAGCACAGGAATCTCCTGACACGTCAAAGCTACCGGACACTGAACCACTCAATTCTACAGTTCTTACCAAAGATATTGTAATAATGTCTCTCAGAGCATTAGATTCGGCGGCTCTTTCTGATCAGGAGGCTGTTTTTGTCTTCTTCGTTCTAACCATCGAAATGGGCCTTGTTGTTCAGGTAGAATACAAGGAGTACTTTGACTATAGATGGATGGTCAGGCTATCTTGCGCGGGCATTGTTTTGGAGCCTCAGAAGAGCTTCAGCTCCAAATTTTCTGCGAAAGCCCATTGCTGCCGCGGGGGTTTGGAGGTATTCAAACATGTCTATCAAGACTGGAGCATCCCCGGTATCCCAAGAGCCGATGCTACGCCGGACTCGCGGTTATGGAGTGCTCTCTTGCAAGGTGTGTATACAAAATTCAATTGAGTGTCTCTCCGTGGATGTATGTGCTTGCCTAACGGATTTTATTGTCGTCACAAAAGGTTACTGCGATATTCATGGCCTTCCTCGCCCTGAATATACCGGGTACCAACATAAACAAGGACACCGGTATGAGGTAACTGTTGGAGAAGTATCATACTTTGGGAAAAAAAAGTTCTATATCAGCAAGCCCGAGGCAATTCATGCTAGTGCAAATAATGCGCTTTATCATTTTCTTATCTCCGAAAACGAGGCTCCAGTTGGGTTCCCTGATACGAGGGCGAAGGAGCACCCGGTCAGTGAGGCACTCCGTCACGCTATTAGGGCCATGCAAAATGCAGCCCCATCGACAGTACAGGAAATCTTGGGCCCTACAATATCGGTATGGCAAACAGCAGATGTCGCTACTCCCTTTACTGACCAGTCAAAAGTTTAGAGAGACGTCGGAGCTGGCTAAGATTCCTAATGTCATTACCGGTGTTCATGTAAGAGCCTTGAAAAGCCCTACAGACATTACACTGACTTTATATAGAAACTTAGTGAAACCAAAGGAAAAAAGAAACGGAAAAACAAGCAATTGCAGAATCCAGTGAACGATCTGGTACAGCTGCTATCAGTCAATACAGAACGGGCCCAAGTTAGTACTGCTGCCGCCATGGGTCCAAGCGAGTTAGTTCCATGCTACCTCCAATATCTTCTCGGAGCTAACACTGCCACTATCAATAAGCAAATGCCTAAGTATTGATCCAAACGCATCAAAATGTCCGCCACCTGGCCCCGTGCATTTGACCCTGGCTAAGATAAATAACAAACTCAATGGATGTCCCTCAAACGTTAAAAAAGTAGAAAGTACGGGCTGCTCACATGTTTCGACTGTTTTCCTCGTTTCTAATTACCATTCCAGAAATGTGCCAGTTCATGAAGATCCAACCTCCAGAGTATAGAGTTTCTCAAACATTCGAAGAATTGATCAATAAAAAAACTAGTATGGCTGCATACTTTCGTGACCCGTACTTTACTCGTATGGGTGCGGTTGGAGAAGTTAAAAATATCACGCCAGAAATAGCAGAAGAAACCTGTGCTGCAAATGTCCTTGAGATTCTGAAAGTGCAGTTTCAGGAAGATGGTACGTATAAGGTTTCTAAAGAAAAAGTGGTGGATCCACCGTCTCTGAAGGGTGGAAATGCAATCGACTGTTCCCGTCGGGCGTTTGGTTCAGCTTCGGTTTGAGTCAGATCTGCTCCACTTTCGAGAATCAAAGCGTTAAACAATTGTGAAGTTTGATGGAATATTTAGCTAGAAATATCGGGGGTAGCTCACCGCTTGAGGGAGGACAGCTTCCTAGTCGTGAGGTGTTAATGAAGTCGCTGCCAAGCTTTATATTCTTCGATGGCCTAATCTTATATTGATACTGTTGGGCATCTGCTATGAGCAAAGGATGCTTGAGGAATGCCAGTTAAAATGGAAGGAAAATTTCTTAAGCTTCATTTGTAACTAAATCCAATGCCATCAACGTCGAATTGAATCATACAAACAAGTACAAATATTGGTAATAATAATAGGTCGAAGAGAACACTCAGGAAATTCAAGAAATTGACAAAAGGTGCTCGAAAACGAGCTGGTCTGGGACTCGAAACTCTCAAGTAGATGCAAAAAGGAAATAACAGCAAAGTTGTATGATAAATGTGAGGGAGCTGTCTGGTAACTCTGACGGAGAGAGCCCAAAAGGGTGGTGAGGTTGCCGGTTAAGGTATACCGAATCCAAAAGACAATCAGGTATAATTCACAAATTGCAGAGCAACCCCGGACGGATATTGGAAAAAGAAAAATTTAGACAGTACTCAAAGATTTGGAAGATAAAAAATAAAAAGCCAACAGAATCGCGCGAGGGGCAAAGACAAAAAAGGGGGGAGAGAGGGAGGGGGAGCGGACAAAAGATAGAGAAAAGTAACGGCAACATGCAACATGTTTCAACGACGATTTTGCTGGAGAAAACTTCCATCACCATATAAGCAAGAAGCAAGGGGATAAAGGGGGAATATAAAGCACGCCTAGAACCCAGTTGCCCCCAAACAAACCCCTTTCCACGCCCACCAAAGCCGTGTTCTGGCCACATTCAATCAATCAATCAATGAATCAAAATATGATCCTTTCAAAACGTAATGATATCAAGGAGAGCATTGAAAACGAAGCCAAAAAAAAAAAAGAGAAAAAGGGAGAGCCAGAGAGGAGACCAGCAAAGTGGAGTAAAAGTGCGGCCCAAAAAGAAAAAATCAAAACAGGAGAAAACAAGAAACTTCTTTTTTGGGGGGGGATTGCTGTAATGTAGGAAGTTCTAGCAGAGTGCGAATTACCTAGGAAGGAGGGCCAAAAAGAAAATGGCGAGCAACACAGGTGAATATGATTAGAGACCAAGAGTCCGAATGAGTATGAAATTCCGAGAGGATTCCAATATACGGACGGTAAGAGTATCAACGCCAACCGCAACTCGGGTCTGAAACAGAGTAAAAAAGGCCCGTTTACATAGTATCGCCAGCACCTGCCTCAACACCATCCGCATAACCCAGGTTAGAATCAAAACCAAAGGTGGCTGGGTCGTCAGTGTTGAGGAAAGTATCAAAATCGAAGTTTTCCAGAAGGTCTGGATTATCAAGAGACGTGAAGTCGAGGTTGTAGTTATTTGTCTGTAATGACAAGAGGAAAAAGGTTAGAGGGATTCAGTAACAGGGGTAAAAAAAGGCAGTTCTTACGTGCAAACTTACGTCTGGGAGGTTTATGTCACCAAAAGTAAGATTGGGGTCTTGTTGAGGAGGTTGTGGTTGGTTCTGTGGCTGAGGAGGTTGAGGTTGAACTTGCGGTGGTTGCTGTGCTGGCGGTGGCTGTTGGACCATATTCTGGGGCGCAGATGTTGGGGGTGCGCCCGTGGGGATATTGGGGCCGGCCTTGTTAAACGAGTTGGGATGTACGGGTGTGATTGGGGTAGACGGTGTGGGCGTTGGTGGTGGTTCGGCCTCAGAGGATGGCGTTGCGGCAGTGGCTCCAGCAGTTGGGCCTTTAGCCTTGGGGGGACGCTGAATTAGCAACAGTTAGCAAAGAATGAACATAAAAAATAGCCTCTTTTGTTATTAACCTTCATTACCTTTCTCGGATTATCTTTGGCATCCTTCTTTGTCTTTGGAGCTGGTTTGTTGGCCTGTTGTGGGGTCGGTGGTGCGACCGTGCCAGGCTGGGGAGATTGCGGTTGGGCCCGACCAGCAGCTCCAGCGGTGGGTGCCTGTGGTGGTGGCATCGCGTTACGTTCCTGAGGAGTAGCAGCAGGCTGGGCTTGTCCTGGTTGCTGTGAGATCATAGGCTGTCCCTGCGGAGCTTGCTGCCAATTGCCGCTTGGCATCCTGTTTCCTGTCCCAGGCGGCTGAGCCCGTGCTATGGCATCCATTGGCTGCGCCATTTGCGGACCACTGAACGTAGGGTTGGAGCTTGGTGGCCGCATTCCATTCGGTGCCATCATTCCTTCAGGCTTCATACCAAAAAACGCCCCCCCGCCCATTTCAGGTGGAATTTGGCCCCCAGCAAAATTCATAGACGCTGGGGAACCACGCCCCTGGCCCATGGCATCGGCAACACTTGGTGAAGCTGGAAGGCCGCTTGGAGGTAGTTTGGGTGTTCCTCTCTTCATCTGTTCATTGGGGTTTGGAGATGCACCGGTTCTGCTACCTTGTGGAGATGTTCCAGGCACTAGATTTTGCTGAACCATCCCAGGCTGACCATCACCACGAGCCATGCTATCTTGTTCTTGTCTAGCCATTATCAACCGACGTTTGTTCTGCTGTTCCAAGAGCATCAATTGCATCTGGTAATCCTGAAGTGCGTGGTTTCCACCAGCAGCTTGAGCACCTGGAGTTTGCATTCCGGGTCTCATCTGTGCCATCTGACCATTCGGCGCGTAGTAGTCTTGCATGGGCAACATCGCTTGGCTCTCGTGCAGAGGCATCACGTCTCCTTGGTTCGGCATAACGCCGGGTGTCATTAAACCATTGGGCATGCCCTGATTATTCATAGCTGAGCGTGAGTGATGCATTGCCAGATTCTGATTATATACCTGGAGAGATTTTGCTTGTACTGTTGGGTTCTGTGCCTGTAGAGAATGGAGTTGAGCCGGTGTCAAAGTTCTCGGATTAATGCCGTGTTGCATCAATAGGGAATTTGTTTGCTGGTTTGGTTGACCCGGCATTCCTTGCGATTGCGCACGGCCATTCGGTGTCATTTGTTGGCCATTAACCGGGGCTCCATCTAGACGTGGACGTTTCGACGGAGACGGCGCGTTCTCCACGGAGGAAGGAGATTGGGGACGATGGCCATTCATATCCATATCCGAATGCTCACGTTGCATTTGATGGTGCATCAGCTGAGCTTTGTTTTGTTGCAGTTGCGCAATTTGTTGGGGCGTCCTAATGAAGATCGTAAGCTGAATGGACGTTGAATACCAACAAGGGTAAACAGAGCAGCATACATGTTAGGTGCGTTGCCTTGCATCATAGACTTTTGCATATTCGCCCGCATCATACCATTACCCACACGCATATTAAATTGGCTCGGCATCATTTGAGAGTGGCGATAGATTTGGCTTTGCTGGTGATCACGGAGACGAAGGAGATTCTAAAGTAAAGTAATTAGTATGAAAGTGTTTTGGCAGAATTGAATGCCGTCATACCTGAGTATGCTGAAGATAATGCATTGCATCAGTGCTTTTGCCTTTCTTTCTCTGCGCCCAGAAGACGTCCCAGAACAGATTAAACCAATCAAATAAGAAAGAGGTGTGTTGCATATCTCCATTTAAATTCGGTCGGGGTAGATCGTCAGGAATCTTAGCCTTCATTTCATCGCTATGGTCGGTAGCCATGGCATCTGGGTCGATACCGTTGACTTCGCCTTCACGGTGGTTAGATTTGGAGGGTGGCGTCGTGTTGATCGGAATATTTGTGTCCTTTGCCAGGGCTCTTGCGCATTCAATATAGCCCCGCTTGAGAAAATAGTCATAGATATAGGTGTTTAGTTGTACAACCATGGCGCTGTCAAGGGTAGCGTTGGGATTGCTGGGTTCACTGCGGGGAGCCGAGGAGCCGGTGTTCATCATGGGAATGCCACCCACCGGACCTCCGGCGGCCGGGTGCATCCCGTGTATATTCATTTGGTTCATGGTGGTGTCGAGCTGGGCCAGTCACTTAATGGTATTCACCAGAGGATCTGACCTACTCTTGACCACGGTGCGAGGAGTCTGGAGCGAAGCAATCACGACGATAAGATAAAAGAGCTTTGAAAAGGGATGGGTTTGTCGGGAGTAGATAGGATGAGATGGTTAGACTAATAGCTAACTGCTTGGAAAGGCTCTGTGGGCTGTAGGGGTCAAAGATCAGGGAGGACGAGACTGTCGGTGATGTCGCGAATTTGAGGAGCGAGCGAAGATGTGGCGAAAAGATATCCTCGAACGAAGAACAATCAACTCTAATAGCAAGTTGCTGAGTACCAGAGTTTGGAGCGAACCAACAGCGAATGAGTAGAAGCCGGAAACGATCGAAACAGGGCGGAATAAAAAGTCGGTTACAGGACTAACAGTGATGAATATAGTCGGGCAAAGGCTGGGTTTTCGAATACCGGTCTAGCAGGCAGAAGTGGTGCTCGAGCGGCGTGGTAAAGATGGTTCACAAGAAGACTATGTAGAACTGAGGGAGGCGCGTTAGTTATTGAAGGGACGGCACGGAAGCTGCCACGGTAAGGGGTTTTATAGACGGAGGCGAATGAGCCGCGACCAGAACGAACTTATGAGCGGCTGCAGGGTAGATTGGGCGTTAAGAGAAGTTGGTGAAGGGGAAGTCTCGAGCAATCGGGGGGGCGGAGAAGTGGTGTGGTTGGGCGCTGGGATTACTTACCAGGCGAAAGGGCAGTGAGGAGGGACCGGCGATTTGGGTTTGGAGGCCAATAAGACGGGAATTGGCGTTCACAGGGTCTGCTCGGGGAGTGCAGCGCAGGAAAACAGAGTGTCAGTCCAATTCACCCAGGCTCGTCGCGCGCGCGGTCATGGCCTCAACACACCAGCGCCAGCAGAAGATTGAGCTTTGCAGGGAAAGGAATCGTCGATGCTCGTCGTTGTCGGGCTGGAGGAGCAGGTCTGGCGCCAACGCGCGCCACGAGCACTTTCTGGCACGCAAGCATCACGAGGAAAGGGGGCCGGTTACGGCGCGCGACCCCGACTACCCGCGCAGTACCCGGTATTTACACCCCCATACACTCTGCGCTCGACAAGCGACAAGCGCACACGGAGTCGTCGTTGCCGGCGCGGGCTCTTCTACGTGGTGCCCGCCTACGAGGCAGTACCGCCCGGCGGACTGGGCGGTCTCCCGTGGCCGGCCTATTGATGTGTCGCTGGTTCTCGACGCCCTCTCAAATCCCATACTCGAATCAAACCCGCTGATACACGGCCAAGAAACCATGAATTGCAAATACTGTCCGCTCGCTAGTCCATTGCCTCACAGCGTCTCCGGAAGCCCCGCGCCATTGGGTGGAAGGTCGCTGCACGGCTCTATTGGCTACCTGAGATGAAAATATTCTTTCCTGCAATTGCTTTTTGTGCAACTGTCTCTCTCGCCGCCATCGCGGGCGGGGGACGTTTCGCCGCCCTTTGTTGTCTTAGTCCGATGTCGTTGCTGATTGGACGGGAGCCCGAAGCCAGTCGGTCACGTGGCATACCGGCGCTCCCTTGCCGCCAGCATCGGACGAATTGCGGCTTTCGAGTAAGCCTTCCGCGCTTGCTTGGGCCGACACGGAAAAGCGCAGGGGCAGTCGGGGGTGGGGAGGGATATCCCAACGGTGGCCCAATAAGAAAGAAATGCTCTGAGAAAGGCCCATACATACATGCATATAATATCAATAAAAACGCCGGCCCCCAGAAAGCACCATTCCCCGATATCACAATCGCGCGCGCCAGTTCGATATCCCTCATTATTTTTGAACTATTCGTCATCCGGTGGCATTTCGTCTTCTAGGTATCTCACTAAGGAAACGCGCATCTCCGTAGTATCGTTTCCCCGTAAGATATCGCTCACAAAGTGTGCCTCTACTTGCATTTGGACCTAGATTAAATACCTTCTTAGCGCACATATGAAGGAGAGAAATAGTGGGGAGTAAATACCATCTCTAATGCGCCCCTTAATACCCCGCAGAGCAGACTTGAATACCACAATTCATCCTGCGCACGCCCATCATCCGGTAACTCCACAAAATCTGCAAGCGGGTTTTCATCAAACACTAGGGAGAATTGTTTGTTGTCGCTCGTCCAATTAGTTACTGTGGGAGTGATATTCAAGAATATCTTGAAACCGATCTATTGTTTTGAAACCGGCGCTTTAGTTCCTATAAATGACCCAATCACCAGAATTAAGTGCCTTTACCTTGGAAATCATGTCTGCAGTTTCTTTGAAGTTTGAACACCTTCCAACTCCAGATTTTGCCAAGAAATCTTCAATCAGCCGCATTCCAATATTGTATCCCATTTTGTCCAGTTGCTTATTAACCTCCACATAATCATTATCATAATCACGGCAAAGCTGCGCAACAATAGTCCCATATGTCAGAGTAACGAGTTCTGCGTTGACCTTATCGATCTTTGTTCTAGAATTTCGGCATGTCAATGATCATCCAGCCTGGCAGAGTGGAAGAAGCCGAGGACTGCTCCCCAGAAAGGTGCAGGGTTGATAAAGAATTATGATCATAAACGGAGGTCACTAACTTCCATATTCTAGATGAACGTCCAGCTGTTAGTAAGGGCTCTTCAATACCGTAGAAAATCAAAAGATAGGCGGCGGTTGCGTACTCTTCCCCTATTCTACCAGACTTCGATGACATTGTGACGAAAATATCAGGTTTTGCAGAGGACAATGTAGTGCGAAATATCAGGTCTCTGTAGAAAGTAGTCAATCCAATTCAATGATATGGAGAAATTGCACATGGGGTTCGAATATGCTTGTCCCTTTTAGGCAGATGATCATGTCCCGCGTCTCTTGACTGTGGAGCTCCGAAATTAGGTAACTTCCCACGGAGTCGTTCACTAATAGCCGCATAGCCGCCATTCACTAGTTAGCTAGCGCGCTAATTTCTCCTTCAGCAAAACAACCAAACTTCGGGAAGCAGTTTAAGAGCCACAAAGAGATCGTCTGCCATTTCATCTGTTAATTGGACCTAGCCATTGTTTTGGTGTATATTTTCTGAATTAATTATTTCTTGGTTCTTCTCTCCGAATTGATTCTCACAGCCATGATGTCCGCCGAAAAAAGACCAGCCCAAGATTCGTTCGGGTCAACCCAACTTGTAAAACGACAACGTTCGGATGCAAATTTTCAAGATGCCCTCGCAGTATCGACGAGTACTACGCAGAATGGCGCGTTAATGAAAGCCGTAGGCTCAGCTATCCTGGTCAATTTGAAGATCAGCTACCTGAACTAACAGCTAGCAGATTCCCCGCACAAGCGGGCTAGAGGCGCCCATAATGGAACTAACAGGTGCGTATGAGTACTGCTTTTACAGAGGAACTGATTTGACTGATATTTGGGCGGTTTAGGCCATGGTGGCGAAGTATTTACTACAAGGTTTGACTCAAGTGGTCAACACATCGCCTCGGGCGGAATGGATAGATCGATATGTAAGTTATGCTGGGTGCTTATTTGCTTAGGTCACAATTATAACGTGCTTTTCAATCCCAATTTCTAACCTCCTTTCTGCTATAAGTGTTATGGAGGACCTACGGCCAGTGCGAAAATTATGGTTCTATGACTGGACACAAAGGCGCGATTTTAGACCTACATTGGTCTCGGGATTCCCGGATTATATTTTCTGCATCAGCGGATATGACAATTGCTAGCTGGGATCTTGAATCCGGCCAGAGAATACGCCGGCACGTAGGCCATGAAGAGATAATTAACTGCCTTGATCTTAGCAAGCGAGGACAGGAGCTGTTGATCAGTGGTAGTGACGATGGGTACATTGGGATTTGGGATCCACGACAAAAAGATGCCATAGATTTTTTTGAGACGAGTATGCCAATTACCGCTGTTGCATTGGCGGAAGCAGGAAATGAGATCTATAGCGGTGGAATCGATAACGACATTCATGTCTGGGACATTCGAAAACGCTCCATCGTACTCTCCATGATCGGACATACCGACACAATTACCTCGCTACAAGTATCCCCAGACTCGCAAACATTGCTCTCGAACTCTCACGACTCCACCGTGCGAACGTGGGATATCCGCCCCTTCGCACCGGCTGATCGCAATATTATGACCTACGATGGTGCACCGACAGGGCTGGAAAAAAATCTTATTAGGTCTAGCTGGTCCCATAATGGCGAAAAAATAGCTGCCGGCAGCGGAGATCGGAGCGTCGTGATATGGGATACCAAATCCGCAAAAGTATTATACAAGCTCCCAGGTCATAAAGGCACTGTTAACGATGTACGGTTTGCACCAAATGACGAGCCTATAAGTAAGTCTTTTCACTTTTTATTTGTTTATTAATTTACTAACCGCTTAAATACAGTTGTGTCGGGATCTTCTGATCGAACGCTCCTGCTTGGAGAGATTGGTAAATAGCCGCACTTCAAGGCTCAAGGAACAACACTTTTTTCTCCCCTGTATTTCTCTGCATCTGCGGGCGTTTAAGCTACCTCCTGTATCCAATACCCCTAACCATTCGAGAAACAAACAAAAACTTCCGCACTCTGATTCATGTTGTCTCTATATTTTGTGAGTATGGGAAATGCCCCGAAATTTAGCATTTATCGTCGAATCTCACGTCGTTATCTGCTTTATCAACGATATATCTCCTAGCCAGTTTCTACTGCGCCTCCCTCTTTGCCTTAGAATACAGGAACCCACCCTATTATCTAAAATTCCGCGAAACACCAACCCATTCCCGTTTCCCAAACACTAAGCATGCAAAAAGTAATGTCGTTCAAGGCCTCACTATCCCATTGACCTATCGCACATATTCTGCAGGTTGACAACTTCCACCGTCTTGGGATGTATATGATACCTACAACGCAGGCCAAAAACCTATCAGATCCGAGGCCGTGAAAAATATCTTTCAGGTTGCTGAAGGCTGACGTTAAGATGTAAATCTCAACTTTTCCGTTAGCGATGTGACCTTCACGACCTTCAGGATCACGAGAAGATCTAAATTGGCCCCACACTTTATCCGCTTTCCCCAAGAAAGAGACCAGTCAGTATCTCCATGTTGAGATGCAGAGATGTATGCGCGTAGATCGTAAGTGGCTCGTCAGCCTGCCAGGCAACAAATGCGGCTGAGCTGACATGGTTCCCGCCCTGATTTTAGAAGTCCGGCCGCCCAGAGAAGTCTCCGCCCGCCCCGAAGCGTGATAATCCCGTTTTTTCGTATCCAGGGTTCAACTACATAACTAGCCAATTAATTATATATAGCGCAGATCTGGCTGAGCCACAGCAGATGTGTGTGGATATGTGAACAGTTATCAGACAATATGTCCTTTTGAACACAGCATTATTTGCAGCATCCAGCGGCTGATCACCCTTTCGGCATGTGAACAACTATTTACCCTGTTTAATTCTTTACAGGCCAAGCCCAGTCAATTCAGTTTATGGAGCAGTTGTTAGGCTTACTTATGGAAAGTGGTGACCCCGTATTCAATCAGCACAGACTCATCAACCGCACCCCGCAAAATGAGGCATCACCCCACACAGATTTCCGGGGCCGCCCACCTATCAAAGGCATTGATGTGCATCTAAGACGCCTCACATCGAATACCCCGACGGCTTCTTTAAGCTAGTATGTGTTCAACTTCAATGCTCAGCCTCGTTCGCTTGACAAGACATCAACAAGGCTACAGGCAGCCTCTTCCAGCATCTCTATTTTATCAGGTGTATACCTGAATAGTTATCCTGGATAACTATATATTATTATTCCCTCTCTTTCTACTACTGAAAAGATGACCTACGTACGTTTAGACTTCCATCCTGGAAATGGACCTTGTATCTCAGCACAGATCGCCTGAGACTGGCTGGGAATATCACTGCTACAATTCTCTAAAAAAGAACTTTGGGGAGGCCCTTGAAAATTTAACTCATGGGCTGACTGACAAAGCAGGTCGTCCTGTTTCTGTTTTGGATGCGAATACTTGGGGTATTGATATCAATACATGTAATACTTATTGCAATACTGAAACCCTACCATGGCCGGTGTGTACTCGTCACTCGATAAACTCGATGACTAGCCAGATACTTATATGCTAAATAATCTACTATAGAACTTCAACTTCAAGGCCTTTTCGGCGGCGTTTACAAGCTACCTTCTTCCATGGCTTGCTCTCACAGCTCAGTTGCCATACGAAACCGGGAACCCGTGGAGCGATATTATGAGCCTCTGTATTGCTCTGGGTAGTCCTGCGATGATAACTTACTCCCTTACTATCACCATGCTTAATCGGTACTGGGTCCGACGGGAATTTCGATTATTACTTGGTAGCTTACGCCGCCATACCCGACTCCGCTATAAACGCCAAATATGCGCTGTGCAATATTTCCTTGCTGAAGTGCAGCAAGTTCCATTGCAGCTTCCCTCTGACTTCAATGTTCTGCGCCAGCATCTTCAGCCTGAGATGGAAAAATCGTGGACTCGCCTTAGTGGCCGCCTACGTCGTTCAAGGCGGGGCGTGACAGCATCACTTGTAGCACAGGTACTATCAGCTGCTGTTGCGTATACGTTTACCGTCATTTCCTCGTTCGTGAGTTCAATAGAAAGCCTGGACTCGGTGATGCAAATAACTGCAGGAACACTTTGGGCATGGCTGGTAAGTCATTCTATTTACGTTTTCTCCTGTTCTGCAAATATCAAGTCTAATAGCACAAAAAAGATACCTATTGTATGTGGCTGGGTTATCGTTGGAACCCAGAGCACACACGATGCCATAGAGGATGCGTTAAGAATGAAATATTTAAATACTTCATATGAACCACACAGCGCCATCGAGGGCCTGGAAAACCCAAGCGAAAACGAGGACAATGCAAAAATATCCGTTCGTCTGGATCGGAAAGACCGGAATCAGCCAAATATGTTCGGGCTGAGTTTTGCTGGAGATGAGTTGCACAAAGGCCCTGTGTATAACTATGCACGTGTGTTCACTTGGTGGCAGGCTGTGCATCATTTCATGGAAGCGATCAAGAGCATGGATCAGCCTCAACTTACGAGAGATGGGCAGTACTCGCAGCCTGGAAAGCCTCACGACCAAATGGCCACGGATAGTTTGCTCGAAAGTGAGGTTACTAAGCTTCCAGCGTTCAACACTGGCCAGTACATGGCCTTGTACCCAAAATTTTCAGATTTACCACCGGACCTATGGTGGCGGATGGTCCTCGCCTCCGTAATGGCCCTTAGCATACAATGGGGTACTACGGGAGCGTCAGCTCTCATGGCGTATCTCACTCCAGTCCAAGGTCTAGGCTGCAGATCAGGAGGCTACACCTTATATGGAATCCTGGGTACCCTGGCCTGGATGGCTTTAGTCGCCTCGATGCTATTCTCTCACGCTGCAATGTCGTCATATCCCCTGAAATCTTACAGAAACGCCTTCTTTGGCAGGATTGCTATTTTCCTACGGTGCACAGGTAAATTCATTGCCATATTCAATGCTGCCTGGCTGGTATGCAGCACTATATTTGAAAATGTTGGATTTTATGACAACTGCTGGTGTCACGCAGTTGTACTCGGCTATGGTCAAAAAGCATGGGCCATTTTATTCCGCACGCCAGAAGAATTTCGGCACGAAGCGAAAAATTCATGGCCTGGAGGTATTGCGTTTACCATGATTGTTTGTACTCTTTCAGTTTTAGTGTATCTGCTAGGTTCAGGAGATGATTCACGCCTAGGAGAAGATGAGTATGATTAAGTACTTGACGATTAGATTTCGGGGATTCCCTGATTTGAGATGGATTTTAGGGCTGGTTAGACGAGACCGTGCCCATAGTGGTCTGATCCTAGATAGGCGCACCGTTTGTTTCCAGAAAGTCCTTCATATTGTTTATAAAGAGCGAAGGATCTACAACACTTATCATTTGAGCCACTAGCTGTGGGATACCGTATGCATATATTCGATTTTGCTTACTTAGAAGCCATGTTAGGGTATGACGAATGCAAGGCTGTTGTTAGTAGACATCCGTTGGAGTACGAAGGAGATGTCTCCCGAGTTTCAGCCTCAATGACATCCGTCCGCACAACCTCCATAGCCAAAGAAAATAAGTTCAACTCGAGAGTATATTTGCCCTCACCCGCTCTGCTGCCGTCGACCGCACGGCAGTGATCCCTCTACCTGCCGTGCATCCGCCGTATCGACGACCGTCAAGAATCATGATGCACTCGACCGCCGCCAAGCCCACCGCCCCTGTCATGCGAGCTAAGCAAAGCCGCGGCTGGCCAACGGCAAGCCCGCAATGGCGAACTTTGAAACGCGTCCTGAACATCAGACATTCCCCTGTCCATCTCTGCACCACACAATCTGGTATGGAACGACCCAACGCCCCTTGGCTCAACGGCGCCTCCTTCGGTGCTATGCCTCAAGTCGGCAAGCCCAGGGTGCCCTAATTGGCGCAGGATTGAATGACTTTGAATCAACCGCGCAATCCAGGCTGGAGCCGTCTACATACTGTAGGTCACTTGCCTGGGGGCTCAGGCTGTGTGTCTTCTGGGTCTCCGCGTTTCGGAATGCCGCCAGGCGAGTGAGTTCTTTACTTCTGGGCCGTTAAGTCCCCCCTCCATCCTCAAGCTGGCATCTCATTCTCATGTGCCGGAGGTCGAGTGTTGACACTTCAAGCTTTTTGCTGGATCGAGCCCTGGGAGCTGCTTTTTGTGTTTGCGTGTGTGTGAGAGAGAGCGTGGACTCTCTGAGGAATCGTCGCTGGACGCTCGTTCCTGCTGGTTCGTTGGGCAAACCTGCAACACTGGTTCTTCCCTTCAAGTCTCAGGTTTTGATTGAATGTTTATGGTTTGCACTGCCTTTCTTCCCTTGATGCATTGTTTTCAAACCGGTCTCTATCAAGAACTCCCGGCCCTGCCATCATCACATCATACCAGCTAAATTACATCTTGCGGCGGGGGGAGAGATGACCTGGGCTATGCACAAGGCGCATGTGTCACTCTACATCTGAGCATTTTCTTTTCATCACTTTCATTCATGACTTTGTTTAGAAGCAAGAGGAGCAAGCAAGCACCGCTCATTTTACGACATCTACAGATACCAAATAACGAAAAGGGAGGGTCTAGAAGTTTGCGATCGCATTTTTCACTCAGCTTAACGATTCATTGAAGCCGGATAGGGAGGACCCTGGGAGCATCAAGGCTCATGGCGAGCCGATTTGAATCTTTCCGCGATCGCTTCGCATCTCTTGTTCGATCACCGGAGCCCACGGGCCACGCCGTTGTCCGGCCTGTCTTGAAGCCAGCAGGCCGTGGATCGAAATTTCGACGATTATTTTTTCCTTCTACAAAAGAGCCTCGTTTTACTACGCACACTATATCTGGAGCGCTGGAGGGGCCGTCGAATACAACAATTTCCACTATACCGGAAACAACGGAACAGCACCAAGGGACGCAAACACCCCCAAATAATCATGAAGAACAAACGACGGGGGTCGGCGACGAGCAACCGCAAAATGCTAGGTGGATAAGGCAGCCACGCAAAAGAAGACGGATTGCTGGGCGATTTCGTCTTAGTCCCGGGTTTGGAACGAGAGAAGCGAAGAAAAAAATGATGAGTTGTGTGATATCAGGCTCAATTCTTGCGGTAGTATTGGCAGTTTGTGAGTATTCCATTGGAAGCGAACTGTTCGTTCAGTATTGATTTTGTCTTAGACATGGCCCTTACGTTGACTACGACGATTACGGGCCGCGAATTTCATATATTTCTTATCCTTATGTTAATGATGCTTACGATGTATTTCTGTCACTCATTCATTCGACTTTTTATTATTGCTTCTCGAGGCCCGGATGAAGAATTCGGTAGACGGATGAGATTTGCGGAGCTCGATCATCCGATCCCTGTACGATTTGCCCGCGACGAAGAGATAGCAGCCGGAGACGCAGAAGATAACAACCAAAATACTCACCTTGCGGCGCCACCTCCGGCATATGGTCTATGGAGAGAGAGTATGGTAAGCCTTCATGGAATACTATCTGGCTTTTTCTTCTATTCTGTACGTGAATACTAATTTAACACCCAGAGAATAAACCCAAATATGATTTATTGGCAACGTGTGGAGCAACCAGAATCCCCACAAGTTGAAGAATCCCGACCTGCAACGGCCAATCGACCTCCGAGCTATGTCTCTGACGATGGCGTTCAATATGTTGTCGAGGTACAGCCTCGTTCGCTCACGCGACCAACATCGCATATGCCCGATATCCCTGTGATAGTTCTCCCCGAAGAAAGCAATATTCAACGACACTAGATGCCTCTTCTACCGGTGGAAATATTTTGTCTATCAGCATTACTTGCGTGTTTGATGTTTTTGTTCACCCCTTTCAGCTTGCGGAGTAAGGAAGCGAGTGCCTGGTTTTTTCGTTAGGGCGGAGTATTCTTTTCATTTGGGGCTTCATTTAAGATACATCTCTACGGAGTATATTTTCAAATTATTTTTGGAGGAACGATCCATGGGGAAAAGGTTCTATAGCGGTTTCCTTGAGTAGTTATATGCTGACATAATCCGCGAATGGCTTTATCTGTCCTCTGGCAGCTCTGATCCAGGAAATTCAAAACGGATTGCTTGTCAGAATGTTATCATGACCTTGCAATGGAGGTCATTCTTGTATATATTTGATTCACTGAGCTTGCACAATTGTATTTTGTTTGTGTGCACTGAAACAAGCCACTGGAGTACTTGTCACTCTGCTCAACAGCAAGCAGAAGTTCTCATGAACATCTTTACACATTCTAAATTTATCTAATGCGCTCGAAATGCCGGCGCTCTCAGATGTTCGGTGTAACGGTTATTTTTGGGGTACTGGCACTCCTGCCATGCCTATCTTGTGTACAAGGCATGAGAGAACGCCAGGTTAGAGAGCTCAGGTGTGTTGCTCGCAGCAAAGCTATCACAATACAAAATGCGGTGATGCTGATATTACCTCCGGCCTTTCCAGGACAGAAGCAGAGCATATGTTTTTTCACGGATTTGATAATTATATGAAATATGCATTCCCAGAGGACGAACTACGCCCATTGTCTTGTGGCCCGTTGACACGCGACCGGGAGAACCCAGCTCACATTGAGTTGAACGACGTCTTGGGCAACTACTCTCTCACCCTTGTTGATAGTCTGTCGACTTTGGCGATATTATCAGATGCCACGTCGAAATCTCAAAGTGGGTGGAAGGCATGGGAATACTTTCAGAATGGAGTCAAGACTCTCGTTGAGCTGTACGGTGACGGTTCAAGCGGCGCTGCAGGCACTGGCTCTAGGGGGAAAGGCTTTGAGTTTGACAGCAAGGTTCAAGTATTTGAGACGGTTATTCGGGGAGTAGGTGAGAGCACCGGTGCTGTTGATAATTGTGCTATGTACGAGCTTTGCTTACTCGTTCATGGCCACGATAGGAGGCCTGCTCAGCGCTCATCTTTTTGCTGTTGGTGAACTACCTATTCGCGGGTATACACCCACAGCATCCGAAGCTTCTTTTGCGAAAGTGTGGGACAAGAAAGGGTATTCCTCGGACTCGCCCGGCATCCGCTGGAATAATGGTTTTGTGTATAATGGCCAATTACTTAGGCTTGCTCTGGATTTAGGCACGCGGTTACTTCCTGCATTTTACACACCAACGGGTCTCCCATATCCGCGAGTGAACTTGCGTGACGGCGTACCGTTTTATCCCAAGTCACCTCTAAATGCGAATACAACAAAAACCGATACACTTGATTCCGAAAAATCACCACCACGGGAAATTACTGAGACTTGCAGCGCTGGCGCTGGAAGTTTAGTTTTAGAATTTGCAGTTCTCAGCCGACTTACAGGAGACGGCCGTTTTGAGGAATTTGCAAAAAGAGCTTTTTGGTCTGTTTGGATGAGGCGAAGTGAAATCGGCTTGATTGGAGCTGGAATTGACGCAGAGTCGGGAAAATGGGTTAATTCTTATACAGGGGTGAGCAGCTCCAACTTTTGAATCCAACCCAGTCTTCATTACTATAGCATCGCCTTGGCCATGAAATATGCTAATTCCTTTCCTTTTTCTAGATCGGTGCTGGCATCGACAGTTTTTTTGAATATGCCTTAAAGTCTCATATTCTATTATCAGAAGGACAACCGCCAAGATCCAACAAAAGCAGTCCATTTCATGCATTGGATGGTCACTTTGTTCCCCTTCCAGAGGAAGTACATTCTTCTGACGCGTTCCTCAAAGCCTGGCAGCAGGCGCGAAGCTCTATCAAGCACCATCTCTATCGTGGCTCTAGCTATCAGTACCCTCATTATATCCAAGGAGACATACTCACAGGTGCCACACGTGCTTTCTGGATGGACAGCTTAAGTGCCTATTTCCCTGGATTATTGACGCTATCTGGTAATGTCAAGGAAGCCGCAGAGACCCACCTTTTGACGGCAGCGCTTTGGACCCGATTTTCAGCATTGCCTGAAAGATGGAATGTTGCAACCGGAGACATTGAGGGCGGCCTAACTTGGTGGGGCGGGAGACCGGAGTTCATTGAATCAACTTACTACCTCTATCAAGCCACAAAAGACCCTTGGTATCTTCATGTTGGAGAAATGGTCTTGAGAGACATCAAACGAAGATGCTGGACTAAATGCGGATGGGCGGGTATCCAAGATGTTCGAAACGGGGAGCTGAGCGATAGAATGGAGAGCTTTTTCCTTGGGGAGACTGCTAAATACCTCTATTTGTTGTTCGAACCCTCCCATCCTCTAAATCATTTGGATGCACCATTTGTATTTACTACGGAAGGCCATCCTCTTATTATCCCACGGTCTGCAAACCATGACGCTCCCTTCAGAATAAAGCCTGGAAAGATAAATGAGACACGTCTTGCAGCGATAGAGACGTGCCCTCGGCCGTCCCCGCTTCTTCCGTTCGGATTGTCATCAGTTGCAGCGCGATCGGATCTATTCCATGCAGCAAGCTTGGCTAAGTTGCAGCTTATTCCGCCAAAAGGGCAAGGCGAGTCGGCTATTGTTGAATACTCAGAGGACCACCCGAGTGTATCTTTAGCAGACCTCGTCTCCCCTTCAAATTACACCTATTTTCCATGGACCCTACCTACCGAAGTCGTGCCCCCCAATGCAACGAGTGCCCCCATGGCAAGGAGACCGACCCTTGACCTATCTTTCCCTCCTATGCCAAATTCGGTTCTTAGTTCTTCTTCGCTAGAGCGTGTGGAAGATGGCATTTTGATCAAAGCTCTGGGGGGTTTGCGACTAGGCATGATTCAAGATGTGCCTCTATATGCGGAAGGGTCATCTTCGGTGTTTGATGGGTACCGTATTCAAGTGATCAACAACATACCACTAGGAAAAGATGAAAGAGTGTATGTTTCTCGCGAGAGTGCAAGTGCCTTGGAGCCCACAGACCCAAATTTTACGCAAGTTGAAGATTTGACGATGCTAGATATCGTTATTGATGTCAAACCAGACCATTTTCCGACAAACGCGTCCTCGTCAGTGACAGCCGCCAGCCACCAAAGTACGACTGCCAGCGTGCTAGGTGAATCTCACCGGCCGATTGAAGATGGCTCTAACATGAGACTCGCCTTTTCATCGTTCATGAGTCAAGTTACTTCGCTCTTACGCGACGAAGTCCGGTCTTCTACGCCTGGCTCCACGCTATTCAGTCGTTCCGTATCGCGACTCTCGATTCCAGCAACAACGTCGACTGGTAAAGGAGCAGTGCCGCTTCCTGATAGTGAAGAGGCAACATTCCCAGCTCCATGGACGACACATAAGCAGACAACTCAACGCTTGCCGTGGTCGGGCATTTATATTGCAGATGAGCTCTGCGATGCCCCGTTGTCATCGTCTGTCCCACGCACTCACCAGGTCATCGTGCTAAAACGGGGTAATTGTAGTTTCTCCCAGAAGTTAAGGAGGATCCCCGCCTTCCGGCCGACACGGTCGTCCCTCCAGCTCGTTATTGTTGTTTCCTACCCGGAGACTGGGGATAGCAACTCGGATAGCTACTCTGGCACACAGGCGAAAGGTTCCACAAAATCTCCAAAAGAAAAGATATCACCTTTTTCATCTCATATTATCGAGATTGAAAATGAATCTCTGCTCGTTCGACCATTACTGGACGAGATACAGGTTGTTGGGGCCGGAGTCCCACGTCCACGCCCAATTAGTATGGTGATGGTGGGCGGGGGTGACCGCACGTATGATTACTTTAGACATGCACTCGGTGTGGGAATCAGAAGACGATATGAAATGAAATCGCAGGGCGTCCCGATTACCAACCTGCTTGTTGTTTAGCGGGATTGGGAAAAAGTGACAGACGGCGATGGCCCGAAATATATTCAGTTTATCGATAGCAATACTGATCTGATATTCTTAATGCTGCTTAGTTCTAGTATGAGTATAAATGTGTGTCGACGTCTCCTAAAATCTCGACAGCTATTGATGGCAGGAAGTGCTGCGATGAAGACTGGGACAGTCTGTGGCGATACTCCTGTTTCATCATGGTGATTGATAAGTTGTGATGGTTGCTGATGCCGCGTCAAAGCCACGATTTCGAAGATGCAGGGGGGGCGGGGTAGTTGTATTGCTGGATGTGTAGCACAGCCCATCTACGACGTGAGCCCTCAGACGGCTTGCAGAGCAGAACTTCCTGCTCATCCAGTTTCCCATCCTCACAGTACGCAACCAAATACCCACCACGCATCCAGACTATACCCTCCCCCAAACCCAAACCACCACCATGACGGGGGCCAGAACATCAGCCGGTATCAAAAAACGATCGACGACGACTTCGAAAAAGCCGTCGTCTGGCCTCAGGGTGCCGGTCGTTCCAGACCCCATCGACCAAGAAAATGCCACGGCCCGGCAGCAACTGTACTTCGCTTTCGGTTCGAACCTCTCACATAGCCAAATGCACCAGCGATGCAAGTCTGCCCCGGAAATATCAGCCAGACCCCTCGCTATAGCCGCTCTGGATGGCTGGCGATGGATCATCAACGAGAGGGGTTACGCCAGCGTCGTGCCTGTGCGGGGGTTCCAGGATTACTTCGACGGTGATGGTGGTGGCGGTGCTGGTGGTGGCCCGACTGCAGCGTATGACGAGGGTGACGAAGAGCAGCAGCAGCAGCAGCAGCAGCAGCAGCAACAGCAGCGTGTTTACGGAATCATTTACTCCATGGCATCCCAGGACGAGCGGCGTCTAGACCGGCATGAGGGCGTTGATCGCAGTGCCCGCGCGTTGGCCCCGACCCACCCACCACTCGGGCATGCTCGCCCCCGCGAGCAGGGCCAGGGCCACTACAACAAATGGTATCTGCCCGTAACCGTCACGAAGTGGCTCGACGAGGAGTTCCGGGCGAGCGTCGCGACAGAGAGCATCGAGGACGGCGCGGAGCGCTTGACTGCGCTGGTGTATATCGATGAGTATAATGCTGTTGAGGGCAAGCCCAAGCTGGAGTATATCGCGCGGATGAACCGTGGGATCAGGGAGGCGGTGGCATTGGGGTTGCCGTCGGCGTGGGTTGAGGCGGTGATGAGGAGGTTTATACCTGCAGAGTAAGGTAGGGAGTGGTTGGATGGTTGGTTGGTTGACTAGTATGGTGAGGGCGGGTCTCTTGGGGCGAAAACGTACCAACTCCATAGCCAGGGCCAGATAGATGTAGAGGTTGCCAGAGACAGGGTTGGCTCTATAGGATCGGGACATATAAGCCCACAAGGTGGTGCAACGTGCAAATCATTGGATGTGCTCTCGTCAGTGGGTGGAGCAGCGATAGTGCCACGGAATGGCCATAGGATTTTGTACTTGATAGAGAAGAAAAGGAACCGTGTTTTTTTAGATGCTTGTCTAGCGACATAATAATGCTTTTTTTACCCGAAACGCCCAAAAAGAATCACAAGCCAGGCCACCATGGAATTAGCATTAAGTTTTTTTGAAGAACCGCCGGAAGTGGGAAGCAGGAGGGGAATTTGATAAAAGCACATGTTAGAACCAAAGCTCCGGTACTTAAGCTGCCGGGTACATACAACTTAAAAAAAAAAGGTTTGTCATATGGTGGCCTGGAAAGAAAATACATAGGAAGTAGAAAAAAGAAAGGAATTGGCAGAATTGCTCGCCCGACAATTATATCTGGTTATCGCATCTATTAAGGCTGTGGGGCAAACGCCGTGTCCTCTAATGGCATTCCAAATTTTGATGGAAAAAAGAGAACCGAGGCAGCAGCGTTGCTAGGCACCCATCTAAAGGCGGACATTGCTAAGAAGGAAACGGGCGGTGTTTAGTTGCCCGATGATGGCTGGGAGGAGAGGAGGGTGTAGGCGGGCGCGGACAGCTTTTCTCGCCCCTTGAGGAAGTCTAGCTCGAGGATGAAGACGAAGCCCAGCAGATCGCCGCCGAGTTTCTGCACCAGGCTTCCCGCCGCGCTGGCCGATCCACCTGCAGAAAAAGGGAACGCGTCAGTGGCGGGGGAGAGTCAAACGGAGGGAAATGATAATATTAATGCCCGGTGATATCACGGATCGACAGGCAGGCCGATAAGACGGAGAGGCCCAACTTACCGGTGGCGATGATATCGTCGACGATGACGACTTTCTGGCCTGGTTTCACGGCATCGGCCTGGATCTGGAAGTAATCGGTGCCGTACTCCTTCTCGTAGCCCTGGGTCTCGACGGGGCCGGGCAGCTTGCCCTTCTTCCGCACGGGCACGAAGGCGGCGCCCAGGCGCAGGGCCAGCGAGGGGCCGAACAAGAAGCCGCGGGCGTCGAGGCCGACGATGACATCGGGCTTCTGGTGGTCGCCGTAGTGTTCGAGGAGGTGGAGCTCGAGGCCGCGGAGCAGGTCGGCGTGGGTGGCGGGGTTGGCGAAGATCGGGAGGATGTCCTCGAACAGGATGCCCGGCGACGGGAAGTCGGGGAACTGGCGCAGGGCCGCGCGCAGGCCTACCTTAAGACTGGCGAGTTCGGCGGCGCGGGCGGCAGCGGTGGCGGGGAGTCGGTCCTGGGAGGAGACATCGGAGTGCTCGCGGGTGGGCTGGAGGGAGGGGTTGCTCATCCTGCGGTGGGGGAGAGGGAGAGGAGAGGAAGAAGGCGTAGAGAGAGGAAGAGAGAGAGAAAAAGAGAGCGAGGGAGAGATGTAGAAGGGAAGAGGAGGACGAGAGAGGTGAAGAGAGAGAAGAGAGAGAGAGAGAGAGACAGAGAGGGGCGGTAAGGTTAGGATGGCAGACCAGACGCTCCGCGCGCAGTCAGGAATGTAACTCCACGCAGCCCAACCCCGTCATCCCACCGGCAGCGCCACGGCCAGCAGGAAGCCCGGCGGCAGCAGCCCGTTTCGCCGGGGCTGGTTGGCTGGTCGGGAGGCGCGCAGAGAAGCGGTCAGCGAGACGGACTGCTCATCCAACTATGTAACTAACTAACAGGCCGTTGACTACCTGCAGCTTGCAGCTGGCTGGCTGGCTGGCTGGCTGAGAGAACTAACTAGAGCTTTCAATGTGCCACTCCCCAAAGCCTGCTCTCACCACCGTGCAAGTCGGTGAGCAGCCTGAAGCCACCTGGCCGCGGCGCCTGGAACGGGAGCCCACCCTGCAGCTCCGCCATGCTCCTCCTCCTCCTCCTCCTCGTCGTCGCGGCGCCCGGCTGTGATGCATATCAAGGGTCGTGCTGGACAAACACCACGCACCCGCGCATGCCGGCCCGCTATGCCACGCCCGGTGCCACTCCGACGACCATTAATTATTGTTGTGCTTCTTTTTCTTCTTCGGCGGGCGCGCACCCGGGGATCCCTGGCGCGCTCGCTGGCCAGCATGGCCCGCCCATGAGGCTTCTTCGCTGCTCATTCCATCAAGATTCTGTGGGGCCGCGGCCCAGTCGATGGAACCCTCTTCTGCAAACCTTGCGCTCCATCGTGCCGTGACTCACTCGCGCGCGCGGATTAACTATGTATTATTACTATTATTTCGATTCTGCGGGAAAATACCGCGTTTTTCTTTTTCCCACGGTCGGACCCAGCGGCTACATCCATCCGGCGTCCAGGGTGGGTTGGCGTGGTCGTCGCAATACTGCGTTGCCAAATCACTACCAACGGGAGGTGGACGGGATGCCCTGCAATACCATTATTGTTGTTCTTGTGCTTCCCGTCGTCCCTTCGGCAACCTAATAATAACCCTGGGCCAAAAAAAAAAAAAGAAAGAAAGCACCAGAAAGTTAGCGCGCGGTACCCGTTGCTTCCCGCGCACCAAGCACGGCGAACAAGGTACCTGTCCTCCGTGCTTCAGTATCAGTCTTTCCTCGGCGGTTGCACATCGCAACGTCGCGGAGGGTCCCTGCTGGCTTATAAGACGAGGCTGCCATCTGCCCCTATGTACACGATATGTATAACCTGCAGTTATCCACCTAGCCGAAGATGAATCAGCCGAAGTCTCTGTTGTTATGTTGCAAATCACCCTTCGCGCTCATGGAGCCCGGCCATGTCTGTGTCACCTGTATTAGCCATGTCTGACTTGCCATGGGTCCAGAACAAGCGCTCGGATGGGCACATGCTTATTTGCCCAACAATTACGTTGCTCCGCGTGGTGTTGTTGTTTCTCAGGCCTCATGAGTTGGGGCGCTCCCCCCCATTTCCGGCCCTATCAGAGTAGGACAACAATCTGCTGTACCACATTAGTTGTCGGGAAATCGCCTCGGTTTGGATGGAAATCCTGCCCCGGATTTGCGCACCACGCCGTGCGGTGGTCCCATACGGGAGAACGCAGCCGGGGTGCGGAGTTGATAATGGGCTTTGTACCAAACAAACCAAGCCCCGACTTTCCCTTATTATTGGCCACGGCGACTGAGACATAATCCGCGGGTGTGTGCTTTGACTTTGGGGCGTAGACTCCAGCACACTCCCGCCATCAAGCAAACAAAAGCCCGCATCCGGATATTTCCATGTTCTTCCAAGACAACAGTGCTTCGCAGAACTTGTTGTCAAGGTCATAGAAATGCCCGGCGTAATCCAGACCTCCACAAGAACCTTCTTCATGACTGATTTTGATGGAGGCTCGTCGGAAGAGTAAAACTAAGAATCTAGTATCCTTAACGTGCCGTTTATCATGTAACCAGTAGACTTGAACATTTCTAATGCATGTACTTGTAAGGGCGGTGTTGAAGCGGTTTCATAACTTGGTATCCCTCAGGCGGCTGTTTTTATTGGTATTGCCGCTGTATGCGCACGGGTGGGCAGTCAGAAAAGGGGTTTGTTAGTAAGGACTTGGGTGCAACACAGTTGAGCAGATGATATGCGGCAGGAGGCTCTACCATATGGAATCGTCAAGGATGATACTGTAAAGAAAGGAGCTCGCAAGCTTCAGCTTGAGACCTCAGTCACACATATGCCGGAAAATGGTATATCATGGGATTCTGCAAAAAACTTCGCTTAACATACTAAAAGGCCATTTATTAGCTAAACAGTTGCAAATGGAAGATTATTTTCCCTTCCAGTGTGGCTATCTGGTCTTGGGCTTAAAGGTCTTGTTTATTGGTGAATCGTGTTGCTGGGCATATCCTCAGCAAATATGCATTTGATACGGTGAAAAGGGTTCTTTGATTTGGGTCCCAGTATCCCCATGGGGATTGTCACATCCATTAAGGGGCTGGAAATACAGAGGATGAGTGCTCTGAGAATTGAACAACAGCAAGGGAAAAAAAGCGAGCTCTAGGGAATTGTCTAGAGAACAGCTGCCAGTGCTTCTTGCCGAGGCAGGTCACCTGGGTGTGATGGGATGTGCCTGTTGCGATGTGGTTTGTGTTTTCCTCTTTCGCTCTCCTTGCTTTCTTTCCCACACAACCTTCCCAGCTTCACGCTAAATCACGTGGAAACCCAGCACGGACCACCGCACCGCAAGTCGCATAAATAGCTTCCGAAAATGCTCGACTCAACTACCTTTCTTTTCTTTTCGCTGTGGACACTTGTTGTCCTCCTTATCGTGACTTGGCTCCTGGGAGTCGGGCTGTCGAACATGTCTCCTACGCTCGTGGAGGACCAGCCCGATCATGACGCGACGCGGCTGCGGGCCCTCGCCCAAGGATTCAATGCGCTGCTCGAAGCTGCCAAACAACTGACCAGGCAGGAACAACTTCTTCGAAGTAAGCTGCAGTCGGCTCATGATGAGGTATGTGACTCTTGCTTACTGCCTGTTGGGTTTTGTTTCTGTTCCTTTTGGTTTCATGATGAGAAAAATTTTGATTAGCTCTAGATCAGGAGTTGCATTGCAACGGTGACAGAGATTAACATGTATTATCTGATACTTTTGACTTTATTATGTTTCTTTATGATTACCAGTTATTGTTTCTCATGCTGACTAGCTCTATCGCCATAGTATTTAAAGCTCGCAAGCCAGCTGACTGAGGGGTCAACCGCCCAGCAGAGCGAGGTACTAGATTATTTATTGAAGCCAAACATCGACAGCCAGCCTGTAATAGCTGACACGACCGAATGGGTTCGCAATATTGAGCAAACTGGCCATATTACAGAAGAGGGTGCCAAGTCGGTACTAGACGCTTCTAAAATAGCCGCGGGGTTTATAAAGAAGCCCTGTCGGAATGAAATACAAAAATCACACGTATGTCCTTTTAGCAAGCCTGACATAAGAACGTCGATGGAGAAGGACTTCACTACGAATGGGACAAAAGGTAATTTACACTGCCCTTTCAAAAAGCCTAAAGAGAAGGTCTCTAGTAATGGACTGGGCGTCGTAAATGGAGACCCAGAATTATGTGGCAATGACGATTTTGACCCTATCAAAGCGGAGTGTCGCTCGGATGCTCCGCCCTGTGTGACGGGCTCAACTCGTTCTACAACAATAAGATGCCCAATCCGCTATCTAAATGATCACTCGCCGGAAGCAATAGCAGAATACTTCCAGAAACATAAGCACGAGATTCCTCGCAGTCATTCCATATGTATCCAGCGGTATCAGAAGGACCCACAAAATATTCGGCAGCTGGACGAGAAGTATGGCGACATAGTGAGCATGGTCAAGGGCCTTGGGGTATACCATCAGCCCTACTTGTCTTCACCGCCTGCCGTTCCAGTTGCTGAGCACAACAAGCATGACAACGATGCCACGCAAAGAGTTGAAAAATGGGTTGAGGATGTCAATAACAAATCGCCCAACATAGGGAACCATCCACTTTCAGACATCGTTGACACGGATACTGACGATGTTGAAGCAAGAGATAATAATTTCAAGCGTTCTCTTCGAGATGTCCGCGTGGGAGAATCTCCAAGTAGGCCTTGGGGCATTCATGTCCCTGTCTCGCAAAAGCCAGCTCAAAGCAGCGTTGCTTCAACCCCCGCCCCGGCCCCTGTGAGTATCTGGCCTGAAGTCAAAGAGCCCATCGAAAATCTCTCCGCTGCGTTAGGTAACGATGAGCTTCAAGACCACCCCACCAAGGGCCGTTGCCCTTTTGATCATTCCGCGAAACCGGAGGCACTGGAACCAATACCGGTCAAAGAGCCATCAAGTGAGCCGTCATTGTCTGACAGCCCCCATGTTCCCGATGCGGGCACGCCAAAACCAGCACCGTCCTCTCCCCATATCGTATTCAATGGGCCCGTGATACTTGGCTACAGCGGGGAGGCGGTTGCTTTGCTCCTAGAGAAGCTAGCACAATGCGGGAAACTCTGATTACGGTCTATCATTAATGCAACATTGAATGCCGCAGGGGGAATTTTACCGAGCTACTGCCCTTTGGGTACACTTGTTTGTTATTTGTGTTTCTGTCCTGGTGTTCTGCTGAGCAGGTATATTCAGGACTACATTGCGTCTTTACGAAAGCTACGAAGTGCACACATTTGGCGTTTTCTTTTCTATGATACTTTTCAGCGGTGTAGGGAGTTGGGATGGCAAGATTTGAATTAGATTTTCTGCGCATATGTACCATAGGCTGTCATTTATTAGCTGGCTGCTCATTGACTTCAGCTGAATTCCTCTCTGTATTAATTCTTATTCAATTTGCTATCTCTTGGTTAGATATCCATTATTTGATGCACAGATATAATTATGCTCATATGCTAGCATCTTGTTGCTCCACGCCATGCAGAAGCTAGAGAGCAATGAATGTCTTGGAACAGGGCTTGCTTTCACCACACCAAGCTCTTCTACAGAGTAATCCAACCCCTTCTCCCCTCTTATTCTAGTAAACTCCAAATTTTTGAAATTGATAAACACCGAGCGATACGCCTAAAATTTACTTGTCATTACTATTTAAGTGTGAGGAGGAACGGTCGTCAACAAGTCCCGGGCAGACATACCCTCCATTAGTTATGGTTAATAGTAAGAGCCTTGCCGACGACTTGTCACCCTTCACCATCCACGAGGTATTTAAATAAATACGAAAGGATCCTACTGCTGTCAAGGGATAGGTAACGACCCGAGCGGTCATGCTGAACTCTTAACTCCCCCACGGGTAATCATTGCCGGCTCTGCCTCCCTTCACTGACATTGTCGGTATGTGCCCCCAGTTCCAGCAAATGAGATCTGATTCTACGTTTGGCTGACAATCTTTTGGTTGATTTAGCCGCATGATTGTCTGCAACATGGGAGTCGTTCGGCGATTCCTCGCAACAGTCGAATGGCCAATCAAATATCGAACCGCCGCAGAATCTGAGCTCAATTGTCCTGCTTTGCGCACGAGAAAATCATTCTGATACTTGATGAATACTTTCCATGCTGTGCACTCTCCGTCTTCCTACGCGCAACATGTCCGCGGGGGCGACGTCATAACCTTGTACCCCTAAACACAACACATGCAATTAGACTCTAATGAATTACTCCGGCTCCTAGGGACTGAGAAGGTACCTTGTCAATAGAATGCTGCCAAATTGATACTTCCAGGAGAAATAGTCCGCGGAGGAAGGCCGTGGTGGCGTCAATCTAGTTGCACGAAGTCCGTTAGCAGTGGATTATTCACGAACCGTTAGCCAGCTATTTCGCCATCTTTGAATGCTCAGCAATATTGACCATGCATATGCTGTTGCATGAAGCCCTGTGCTTCCTAAATACGGCCAACCTTTGCTTTTGATTGCTCTGCTTTGCTCGCTGAGGTGCCGGTATTTTTGCCTGCTTTGAAAGATTAAACCGCTAATCTCAGGCCTACAATTCATGGTTCCCAAATTCTGGCCGATACAGCCGCTCCATGTTCGTTCGACTTTTTTATATAGAACTTGGCCTATCTAACCCGTTCTTATATACTAATACCACACCAGCCGGTTTCCAGATTTTGTTGCTCTTCCAGCAAATTGTCACTGAAAACTAATAATTCAAGCAGATAAAATGGCAGGGCCCTGGTATATTGGTTTATCCCGTGGAATTTATAGGGGAAAATTCTCAGGAAATCTAATATTGAGAAGAAGTTTCCCTTCAGCTCCCTTATTCACAACTGCCCAGCAGCCGCTGAGGTCCGGGTTTATGCGTTCACGAAGCATTTCAACCAAGACAAATGGTCTTTACGGCGACCAGCGTGTAAATCGCGAAAGGTTAGGGCTGCTACTGGCTGTCACTGGTTCTGCCGTAGCTTGTTTCGTTATATATAGGCGTCGTGACTCTATACGGATGGACTGGGGGCTTAAGAAAAAAGATTCGGCTCCAGCCCTTACCTTTACCGGTATGTCTGTAGTGATTCGATCCAGTTGACTTGATCCATATGGCTTGAACGATATTCTCTTTTGGTAAATATATTCAAGTTACAGAAAAGCTGACTATTCATGTTTAGGCTCTAATAATCGCGCTGTTCAAGCACCAAAATATACATCAGAGCTTCCCAGGGAAAAAGCAATTCTCACAACAGCACCTAACGTTCCTCCGCCGATTGTGCGAGATTACCCCGTCCTACTAGAAGTTGACTTGACGACGACTACAAAATTAGCACAACTTACCAATTTGTACAAATATGAACAATGGACGTTCAATGATACAGTGCCAGGTCCATTTATACGCGCGCGAGTTGGTGATGTGCTATAGTTAACATTAACAAATAAAGATGAGGCTGGAAATCCGCACAACATCGATTGCCACGCTTTTACCGGTACTGGAGGAGGTTCAGTGTTGACAACAGTCCGAAAGGATGAGACAAAGACAGCACAATTTAAGCTCCTTCACCCAGGTTTGTATATGTACCATTGTGCTGCAAACCCAGTGCCTGTTCATATTGCAAATGGGATGTATGGGATGATATACGTGCAACCGGAGAAGGGAGATCTTCCACCCGTGGACAAGGAGTACTTCGTATTACAAAGCGAGTTTTATCATGAGCCGCCGGATGTGGAAGAGGATGGACGACGGTCCTCTACCGTGGAATTTTCATATCCACTAGCACTGCGCGAAGAGCCAAACGTCATTGTGTTTAATGGCAGCGAGTCAGCTCTCTCACTGGATAAACCTCTGCAAGCGCGGACGAACGATAACGTGCGAATTTTCTTTGGAAATGCGGGTCCGAATTTAAGTAGCTCGTTCCACGTTATTGGCAGCAATTTTGAAAAATTGTATGATAAGGCTGACGTTCTCAGTCCACCGGGTCAAAGTATACAGACTGTTTCGGTTCCTCCCGGGTCTGCAACCATTGTCGACATGAATATGGTGGCCCCAGGAACATATACTATCGTGGATCACGCCATTTTTCGGATGGAAAAGGGTGCAGTTGGGTACCTAAATGTATCTGGAGATCCGAGGCCCGACATTTGCGGGAGTAAGGATCCCCAAGAACCTTGCGTGGGATGCAAACTACATGCGTGAATTATGTAACAGCCTTTTTGATTCTGTTGTCTCCGAGGCTATATTTCAATAATGGGGCTCTTTACTGCATATAGGCAGCGACTCTCTGTGGACGAGAGGGCATAGGAGTGAGACTTTCTTGAGTATAGGATGGTCCACACACAATTATTATGTGCCTATGATTAAAGGTCATCAACTTGCATTAACACACCCAACAATATACCTCTTTTAGAGCAACCTTCACTCCAACCACCTAATATCTAACACTATGCGCTTTACTAATCAAACAGAATTTTTTATAAGAGGTTTCCAATCAAACCGAACACAATTGCAGCAATTCCTGCGTTCCAGGTAGATGTGCTTGCCAGGGACCCTGCAGCACTTGAGCCCGATGCTGTGGGCTTGCTAGGCGATGTGCCACTTGGCATCGATATGGAGCCGCCGATTGCAACGCCGCCAACGTTAGTTGAGTTTTGGCACTGATCGTTGCCAAGTGTCCGTGCGTTCTCAGTGAATGTGATATCAGCACACTATAAATTCTCTGGTTAGTTGCCAAACTACAACTCGAGGATAGTGCATGGTCCATTTTCATACATTGTACAGAGAGGAGCCAAATTCACTGGCTTGAATGACCTGGATACTGGCGTTTGTGCCGGCGGAGATTGACAAGCCGCTTGGTAGCTTGACCTTTGGGAAACAGAAGGTTCCATTGCCGGTCTGGTTGAACACGGGCACGAGAGAGATATTGAAAATCATTGTATCATCGTTGCCAATAGCAAGATTGACATATGTGAAGGCCCATTTGTGCGACGGACTGAAACGGATGGAGCCTCCGTCAAGGGGCCATTCAGTACGGTTGTTTGTGACGTTAACGCCGCCGCCTGCTCAAGATATTAGTCTACCTCAACAGTTGACTGATGGTATTCATACTCACAGGGCCTAGTGTACTGGGTGCTGAAGGAATCTCCTCGCCAGTAGGGATAATCCACACGGAAGTGGGCCGATGCCAGCTGGAGGAAGCCGAGAAGAATGAGGAGGATGGGGTTCATGGCGGTGGGTTCAAATGCACGGACGTTAAGAGTGTCGTTATTGCTGGATGATTCTATACTAACAGTCCAGGAAAAATGTGTACACGGCGGTTGAACAACTAAGATGGGCTGAAAACGACTTCAGCAGCTTCCTTCCGGCCATCGCCTGTCTTTTATATGCTTCCTAGATGAGCCGAAGAGCTCATTAGGCCTCGTGTCTGGCCTCCCAGGAAACTGGCTCACATCGAAGCTGCCACATGGGATTGCGGGGAAGAAGAGAAGCAAAGCTCGAGCGCACCAATCGCATGTCTAAAGCAGCGCCATCGCCAAACAGGCACGGCGGCTCAAGAGTCGAATTGAGCACATTTAAGAAGAATCGTCGGCTGACGTGCTGTGGTTGGCTGGCCTTTCGGCAGCTTCGGAAGCAGCGGCTTGGCGTCGGGTCGTTTCAGTGCTGGGGTAAGCAGATAAGCTTCAGGGAGCGGCCAAGCTTTAGGCCTATTGGGGACTAGTGTGCTGCCAGCCTGGGCGACTGTTTGCTGTGTTTGCTGGATGGATCCTGATTGCAGCCGCCCGGTTATCGAAGGATAAGCTTGGTTGCCTGGCGGCCAACGCTAGCCCAAATCAGGCCTAGCTCATCATTCTCCGCGGGTTACATAATCTGGTGCCCCTCTCCCCGTTGCTTTTCGTTGCTACCCCGCGGAGTTCGATTATTAAGTCCGTTCAAACAACCTTGATATGCTCCGACGAACGTGTACTTCTCGTCATCCACTCCCTCGACTGTCACTGCCCATCCGCCCTCACAGATTTGTTACTATCTTTCGAACCTCAATTGCTGCCCAATCCATACGAAAAATGGCTGATATGTCTAAGGTCTTCACCCAGGACGCTTGCCCTCGTATGTTTCCCCCCCCCACCTAACTTTTTTTGACATGTTTGACTAACCTATCATGCGAACCGTAGCCGCTGGCCCCTATGTTCGTCAATCCACATACAAATTGAATTTACGAATAGAGTACTAACAAACAACCTTAAGTCCCAAGCCATCAAAGCCAACGGCCAAGTTTTTGTCTCTGGCCAGATCCCCGCCAACAACAAAGGCGAGCTCCTTGAGGGTTCTATCGCCGAGAAAACTGACCTATGCTGCAAGAATGTCGTTGCAGTCTTAACCGCCGCGGGATCCTCCATTGACAAGGTTGTCAAGGTCAACGTGCGTGTTTCTGAAAGTGCCATAGATATCTTTGTGTATGCGATGTGCTGATCAATCTTCTAAATAGGTCTTCCTCGTTGATATGGGTGACTTTGCTGAGATGAACGGTGTATTTGAGAAGTACTTCGCTCACAAGCCTGCTCGTAGCTGTGTTGCCGTCCACCAGCTCCCTAAAGGCGTGCCTGTCGAGATTGAGTGCATTGCCTTGGCATAGAACAATTACAGCAGGCCTGGATACCGAAATGTATCATTACCATATAGCACGTATATAAAATAAAAGTGGTGGCTAGCCATGGAGAATGTATAACTGCACATATGTGCGTATATAGTAATCATCATGCAACCGTAAATAGTTTCGAGTATTAGCTTGCAAACATAAACCTTTCATGGACGATAGAAACCTCCGTACTCCCGAGAAAATTCAAATCGACAATCTTTGGATATCATCAGGCAATCGAAACATGCCGGAAATGACGCCTCCCCAGTTGCAAACGTGAGAAAAGGGAAAAAATGAGATTAAGTATACTCCCTAAACAAGAACCCCTAAAGATAAGATTCGGCCAGCGTCTTCACCTTGGTAACATTCCACCCATTCGTCCACCACCGCTAGCCATCAGACTCTGCTTCACAATTAAGTCCGCAGCTGCCGCTGTAGCAAGTCTCTCTTTCTGTCGACTTCTATCACGCAGATAGCTCGCTGCCTCAGGCTTCATGCGCAAAATACGCAGGATCATGTCGTCATTTGGCTCTGCTTGTGCCTCGCGCCATTTTTCCTCCTTAGCCTTTTTCATCGTGCCCAGGTTTCGTTTATACATGATGCTCTTTCCGCGTCGGTTGGACTGAATGCCCGATAAGGGCGTAAACGATGCTGAAGTCACTGAGAGGCGGCTGCGGTTGGCTTGCTGTCGCGCGGCTGTGGCGTTGGCCATGCGCTCCGATGTGCGAATAAGATGTTCCGTCGGCTCGAAATAGAAGAAGAAAAGGGTTTGGATCTCGTGGTATTTTGGGGATTTAAGAATGTCCATTGGGACGCCATTGGCCTCGCCTGTTTCCTCGTCAACAGCATTAAAAAAGTTAAGCAAGAGCGTGAGCCAACGGGATACAATATCGACCTCTTGCTGAGTTAGAGGCCGCTGGTGAGAAGGCTTATCAGATAGTGGGGGAACAAGAAGAGCCTCTACTGTGACGAGAACTTCTTTCCATAGTCGAGCCATGACAGTTCTCATCGCATCAGCAGTAAGCGTTTGGTTCATAATCGAAAAGTTGTCGTCAAAGTATGTAAACAATGGGTGTAGTGCTCCTTCAATCTCAGCAGACGTAGGGGCCTGGTTCGTTTGAGTTCGGTTCCTGTTGAAATAATTCGAGACTGTTGACATGCTGATCCCTTTTGAAAGTAAGGCTTTTAAAGCCCTGCGTGATAGGCAGTGGTTAATATATGCAGAAAGCTAGAGATGGCGTGAGCAGAAATTCATATGCTTAATGCAATAGACCGAGACTTACCTTTTCTGTCGTTTTCCGGGTCATTTCTCTCTGCGTTCGCTTCAAAATCCGAAAAGTCTTACCAAAGTAAAATTGAATATCATCACGCTCTCCTTCCATGCTAACTCGAAGTAACAACCTGCCTTGGGTATCGAGATCTAGCCAGTATTCCCTCGGTGCAAAGTCGCTAAAGTGGGCTGGGTCTAGCTTCAGAGATGTCCGTCCGACATAATCGTGATCACCAACGGCGTCCCAGTCCCAAAGAGTAGCTATAATGTTTAGGGGGCTTTTGGTCATTATATCGACGGTATCATCCCATCTTGGATTGAGGTTGTCATATATTATACGGGTTTTATAAATGCGTTTTTGGTATTCATCAGTGAGAACGACATAGGGGTCACTTAGACCATCCATGTCACATCCTTTTAAATCTTCCGCTTCCACAATCTTTACCGTGAAAACGTAAGTGGTTACTTTGCGTTGCTTTTTGGCAAGTGCAGGAGTGTTCTTAGCAATGACATCCGCGCACCCATCAACGTTGATATCTTTTTCCAGTTTATCGAGCTGCTGTAGAGCATATTCAATATTGTTGAGTTTCACGAAAGACTAAGGATCATATCAGATAAGTAGCTGAAAGCTAGGTCAAGGAACTTGAGAAACATACCTCTGCAAAGAATTGAAACGGTTCTACTTTCTCTTTATTGCTCCATGCTTCTTTTGCCAATTGCATCCATTTTTCTTGTTTTGTCTGTCTAGTAGCCGCCTCTTGCTCAGGTGTAGGTCGATCCATCTCCTTAATAAATAACTGTTCAATAATTTCGCAGTATCTCGAAAGCCCGTCACCAATAGATTTTGAGATTGCAGTCATGAACTTTGCATATCCAACATCGTCATCCCACTGAAGCTCCACTATCTGATTAACCACTTGGTTGAATGATCTGAATATGTCCCCTACAGATACGCTATGCCGTTGTTCCTCAGTGGGTATATGTTCTGGAGACTCCGTTCGAACTTTAAATCCGTCTTGCTTAACGGCCTGCTCTACCCAACAAACCATCTTCTCATCAGTAAGTTTAATCCAGCGCCAAACAAAATCAGCCAGCAGTTGCTCGATAGGTATGGGAAAGGGTTCTCTGCGATTATGTCACTATGAATGCGCATTTTCAATTTACGGTTGGAAGAAAGCACCTACCCTGGAAGTGCGTCACCATAAACCCGGCGCATGTCCGATAATTCCTTATACAAATCAAATCCATCCTGTACCTCAATTTCTCCACCGTTGGCGGTAGCTTGCTCGATAATTCTTCGGACTATATCCTGAGCATCCTCAGCAAACATGGGAAGAACGCAGTGTATAAGCGTCGTGAGGACATTAACACTTATTCGGATTAGTTTTGAGAGCTAAAGGAAATAATGGGTATTACATACCCCATGATTTCTGGATTTTTTTTGTATCTTTTTTGGATTCGTTGGCAAAGCTTCAGGATAGCCTTGCTAAGCTGAACGACATGATAAAATTCCCATGTTTCCTGCTCAGGAGGAATTTCATTATTGAGATTTTCTTGATACACCTCTTTTGCCTTCTCTACCAATCCCTGATGCGCATAGCCTTGGAAATGTTCTTGGTCCACATCGTTGGATAAGAAACTAGGGTCAGATTCAACATGATTCTCAATTACATAGAGAACAGGGCCAAGGGGTGGAATTTTGCTATCATAACAATGCATCATCGTTTCATATAATTGGCGGAGCAGCGCGTTGTGCAGTGCTAGAAGAGTTCGCTGCATAGTACAAATATCGGCTCTTGTGAATTTGTTTCTCTCATAAAATACCGGTGCGACGAAACTTGCCCGCTTGTTTCTCTCTGCAGGAGGTTCTTTGAGGAAGATAAACGCTGAATCTAGGGTGTCAAGGTCAACCTCTTGATCTACATATTTAGCTGCGAAAACATCTAAGAATAGTGTCACGCGAGAGCAGGTAGGTATTCGCCATCGCAAGCCTAATTCATTGAGAAGTTCCATTGACTGCTTAGAAAGAAGTTTCAGTGTTGGATTCTCGGCAGTGGCATCAGAGGGCTCTAGCGCCCTGTCATTCAGATCGTGGGAAGCGATTTGAACAAGGATAAAACGATAATAAGACCTTGGATCAGGGGGAATGAAGGTATACAGGTCGCCTGTATCAAGTTGTGGCTCATCGACAGAATCAGCTAGGGATAGTGAAGATAAATCAGCGGGCTGATTGAAAACATGAGGTGGAGGAGTATCTGAAACAGGTGACATGTCGAGGTGGGAATCGTTAAATTGAGGTAATCCAGCGCCGGGTGTACTTCTAGCAAGCTCTGGGTTTGACTGTACAATGGCTAGCATCATCTGGGATAGGTCTGGAGCCTCTGCCTTTTTCCAAAGCTCGTAGCCATCGTCATGTTCAAAATCAGCTTTAGAAAGAGTCTTCCCAGTGCGTAAATTAAGATGCGTTTGATATGTTTTGAGATCTCGCAAGGCTTCTTTGGCTGTCCAACTGTCTTTATTTTTATTCACATCAGATTGAACTTGCGATTCTCTTAGACCAAAGATTTTGGCAACAACTTGTACCAACGGCATATCTTTGACATCGTAACTCAATGGCACTATTTCCATGGCGGATCCTACTCCATCGGATTGAGAAGGCTCAGCTAGGTCCTGATCATGGGCCAATAACTTAGATTCGAGAACGGATAATCTGGAAGCTAATTCGGGTTTTTCTCGTAGCCAATCATGGTCTTTCATTATGAGAGAGATCAGTCTGACAAAAAGGGCAACATGCCGATCAACCATTAACTTCCAGCTATCATCTTCAGGTGGCTTTCCTTTGGATAGCTCCTTCGTAGCATTTGAAAAGAAGATCAGCACAAGGTCTTCTACTCGTCTATCCTTTTCCATTCTCTTCTTAAAGGTTTGTTCCTTTAGGGCGTTGAGGAAAACTGCAAAAGTCCGTTTAACAGTAGGGTCCTGGTATTCCTTTCTCCTCTCACGACCGATAAGCACACCCGTTAAGCGCTTTTCCAGCTCTGCAATGAAACCATGCGGAAATCTTGTACTTTTTGAGTCCCTCACCAAAGTAAAATCTTTCATAAGGTCTTGGAACGATGTTGACGACCTGTTGACGCGAGGTTTTGGCGGCGGCTGGCTTTGCGGTCTTCGTAATCGCGGCTGCAGGATATATGAAAGAACGGCAACCCGGAGAGCATATGTATAGGCGTCATTGTGGGTGACGGGCCGTCGCCTAGCCAGAGAGATATTGCGCGCATGCCGTAGGTCCTGACTTGTGTGGCTGTTAAGACGTCGCGAGATGCGATATGAGTTCTTAGAAGATGTCGACATCGGTCTCTAGCTTGACTTGTTTACTAAACCGAAAGACGTTGGTCCACCTGGGCTTGGGGAATCGCGAGGACGCCCAAAGGCGGACATAGGTTACTTGAGTGCACGTGTGCTCGTAGATGGTGCCGGGTGAGTGCACGTGTGCTCGTAGATGGTGCCGGGTGAAGTTTCGGCAGCAAAGGGCCGGCCACTATAGCTTTAGAGAGCGAATAGTTCGAGTTGCCTATTAGGAAAATCGGACGCGGATAAGAATGGCTGAAATGAATGGATGATCTGAGGTTTCACCTTACTGGTCGTCGGCCCACAATCAAATCCCAAGAGAGAATACTCAAGCAGTGATATTAAAGAGCTAGGCATCCCAACATCGAAAGGTAAGAGCTTAGGTATAGTGCAATTAAACTGGATGCCTGCAGAGCCAGTGCGGAATCTTTGTATGGCCCCCCTGGCTTCAAAGTGTTTTACAAGGTCTGACGTAGGCTCGAAGCGCTAGCGCCAAGACCCGCGATCGGCTTCATAAGCGTCCCCAAAGAACACACGAGGGGATGATCCCGCTAGATGGGGCATGCGGAGAAAAACAAGTTACAACTCTGTAGGCACACCTAGTCGACTAGAGTCTGGCTACAAATAAGTACATACTTGGTGCAGACGGTGAAACCCTCGCTACTGGAAAGCGCCTAGCTTAGATACCAAGAATCTCACATTGACGCCGCAGTCAGGAATCTCTTAATTTAATCTATATACAAAGCCAGAGCCAATATAGCCTCACCATGAACCTTCACCAGGAATTCGCGCCTGTCGCCCAATTAGCATCGAGTTTGGAAGATACGCCAGGCTAGCTTACCCTGACAGCATTTACACCCCCCAACTCCTTTACAAGGCCGTCTTCAAATGTTCGTGGAATGCTTGGTTTGTCAGGATAAAAGAAGCTAACAACGCCGCTGAAGGCGAAAACCGAGGCAATTGAAATGCCTAGCAGCATGAAAGCCTTGGGCGCTTTGAAATGATTGTAGCTTTCAGTACTGAAAGTAGTGAGAATATCATTATCCTCGTGAACCGGCTCCCCAAAATTCCTTCTATCCTGCTTATCCCACCATTCACCATATGGGTCGCGGAATTGGCGCTTTTGGGCTGGAGGGTTGGAATAACCGCCATTCTAGAGTCCTTTGTGAATTGACGCACGCAATCAACGAGTATTAACTATGGTTACTAACCATGCCTGGGTCTTCCACCTCAGCTTGGGAGGCATGTCGGATTTGGGTAAATGCTGGGCGAGTAGCAGAAGGTAGTCCGGCACAGGCTCGAGACCCCAATCGCGGAGTCAAAATTCGACGGACCAGCATCTGGTCAACAATGAGGGTTAGAATAAAACTGATACTAGAGTCACAGGAAATGCCCACATTAAATACAGCCCTAGCAAGAGCGCCAAAACTGGATGAGAAGCACTCAATGCTGTCGCTGCTATAACCAGTGTATCAACATCAATTCATGAACGTCTTGGGAACCTAACCAACAAGGAGCATCACGTGCGGGTAGTAGTCAACTATTAGGTAAGCGGACGCAGTGGGAAATTGCGGACAGCTGGGGAGAAAATCAAATCTCACACAACTCATCAAGTCACCGCGTTTTTGCCCCGCCAGCAGCCCAAACTTGCCGATAACTAGACCAGCTCCTCTATGTGAATTTGCCTGGCCGAAGCCTACTTATTGATGGTAAAATCTCGTGGGCCAGACGTGTTTTCGTTGAGAAAGTTGGGGTTGCCTCTCTTTGTTTGCCCCATCCCGGCCTGAGCTACGAGACATGCAAAACGGGACTTGTAACGGCGCGTTAAACAACAGCAACCAAAGCGCGACTACAGAAGCTCAAGGCAAGGCATTGTAAAAGTCCATTGTACCCTTCATTTTTTCTTACAGATCCATAGGTGAAGTGAAATTAGATACGATTAACGATGCTTCAAGTGACCTTTTGCAAGGTCCACCACCTAAAAGACGGAAACTTGGTGATTCATCCTCACGATCCACTCCGCGACCCCCTTCGCCGCCGTGGAAGAAAGCTGGAATTGATGGTCCAACCTCCTTTTTCGATGCTGGCCGACGCAGGTCTACCAGAACTAATGCGGTTCCGCCCGACCCTCACCCATCAACTGAGAAGCGCCACACGCGATCTAACCTGAAGGAGAAGAGTAGCAGGACGAAATATAATCTCAAGGCGAGACATGACCTATCTTCGCCGTTGTCGACCCCATCCAAGTTGCCTACGACAACCAGGAAACGTTATCACTACAGAAATAGCTCTATAAATGGGGTGGAGGGTCGAAGAGATTCTGCGCAATCTTTCTGCGCGAAAGCTCTCGATACTACGCAAGTAACTCCCCGGACGAGCACACGTCGAAGCCTCGGAAAAGGCTATCAAGGCAATAGCAGTATCAGCGTCACGACTAATGGAACCAATGACCAAAAGTCAACTTGGGATGAAAGTATGGCTATTCAGTCAAGCGAGGACCCCCGAAGGGTGAACGGCGTTGAAGGCGAGACTGTTGATGATAGTTCAATCAAACGAACCCCGCGTATACGATTCAAAGTCAAGATCCCCTATTTGTCACCTCAGAATCCGTTCCACCTCGTCCCACTAAAGAAATACGCGTCTTTTCGAGAATGGGTGGAAAATGAAGGAAACACAGAAGATGGACATAGGTTTCTAGATTCCAATTCTGCTTTAAAAGAGTATCAGACTCGAAACAGGCTGTGGCACGAGGCAGATTACGGAGGGTTGTTGAGCAAAGAACGATGTTCAATCTATCTGGATGACCCAGAAGAGGAGCCTCAGCAACAATACTCCCATCATGACCATTTTATAGCCCATGCCCTATATTTTAAAAAACTTCTTGATAAAGAGCATAAGCATCATCGCCATATGGCAAAAACCTTCGCACATTGGTGCGCAGATGCATGGAGAAAGCGCAATAAAAGGCCTGAGGATATTTTAAGGGAACAGCAGGAAGAAATGCGACAAAAGCGGCGAATTTTAGCCAAGGACCTTCAACGACTATTTGATCAAGCTCGTGCAGAGGTAGAAAAAGCAAAGGCTACTAGGTTGGAAGAGGAGCGGAAACTAAACGACCAGCGTTTGCTGAACAAAGCGCTCAAACAGTCCACTCTACTTTGGGAGAAACGAGCTACAGATAAGGGCGAACATAGCGGCGTTAGTGAATTTGAGCATGATAGCGAATCAAGGGATATAGAGGATGACGATGTGGATGATAATGAAGATCCGTCGGGATCCGAATCCGAAGATGAAGCTAACATGTCATCTGGTAGCTCCGATAGTGATGGAGAGGAGGCTACTGCAGATGACGATGCGGATCTTTCACCTGCCGCCCTTCGAGCAAAATATGCCAACTTACCTGAAACCGAATTCACTGAGGATGATGAGGAAACAAAAAGGCATGACGATGCGATTTCTACCACTCAGCTAGCTCTATACAAAGACTCCGGTGAAGCAGAGCAAGGTGTTTTGGAAGACAGAGATATGCAGACTGATGTACTTTTGGATGAAGTAGATTCTGTCTTATTGGATGAAAGTGATGAATCTATTGACATGGACGATACAGAAGACAGCGAACATGAAAGCAGCGGTGAGGATGAGTCCGATGAAGATTCAGGCTCCGATCCAGGTCTTCTGGGATTTTTCTCTGCTAAGGACCTTGCTCCCCAGGCTGGAAATGATGAAGTTGATGACCGAATATCTATCCCCGACATTAAAATGACTGTTGATGAAGATGATGAAGATTTTTCCGCGAATGAAGAAGATGATGAGGTTCATCTCGTTCCAATTGGACCACGGACCGATAACAAGAGATCGGATTCGACAACACTCAATTCCGCACATCCCCCTACACCTTCCACCACTCTTCCGTTGGGTGATGAGAAGTCCGTCGTTGGTACTCCAATTCGAGAACCAGCAGATGCCCTCAATACTCCCCAGCTGGAACACCCAATCAGCCCAATTGGTAGAACACAGGAGTTTGAGGCGCAGCTTGTGGACGATCAGCATACCCTCGCCTCACCTACATCCCTTCGAGCGGAGGAGGATGCAGGCAATCACCAAAAGACTGAACCGGAACGCCTACCCAGTCAACCTATTTCTCCTGGTATCGAGCAAGATGAACTTCCCGACAATACCGCAGAAGACCATCAGTCACCGAAGGCACCTTCGATCAAAACACCAATACCTCATTTACTACGCGGGACCCTTCGTGAATACCAGCATTTCGGTCTAGATTGGCTTGCCGGTCTCTACGGGAGTAATATCAATGGCATTCTAGCTGATGAGATGGGACTAGGTAAAACCATTCAGACTATCGCCCTGTTAGCCCATCTTGCTGTTGAGCACGAAGTATGGGGTCCGCATCTTGTCATTGTCCCTACCAGCGTTATGTTGAACTGGGAGATGGAATTTAAAAAATGGTGTCCTGGGTTCAAGATTCTTACATACTACGGCACGCAGGAGGAACGGAGGCAAAAGCGCAAAGGCTGGATGGACGATGATCGCTGGCACGTTTGCATCACCTCGTACCAACTGGTACTGCAGGATCAGCAAACATTCAAAAGACGTAACTGGCATTACATGGTCCTGGACGAAGCTCACAATATCAAAAACTTCCGTTCTCAGCGGTGGCAGACGCTCCTTACCTTCAAAACAAGAGCAAGACTTCTTTTGACCGGAACCCCTCTTCAAAATAATTTAACTGAATTATGGTCGCTCCTCTTCTTTCTAATGCCTAATGATGACAGCGAGAGCGGCGTGGAAGGGTTTGCTGATCTCCGCAATTTTTCTGAATGGTTTCGTCGGCCTGTGGAGCAAATTCTCGAGCAAGGAAGAGAAACTATGGATGAAGAGGCGAAGAAGGTTGTCACGAAACTACATACCGTACTGCGGCCATATATTCTTCGCCGGCTAAAAGCTGATGTTGAGAAACAAATGCCTGCAAAGTATGAGCATGTAGTAACCTGCCGGTTGTCCAAGAGACAGCGGTATCTCTACGATGGCTTCATGTCTAGAGCTCAAACGAAAGAGACTCTTGCCTCGGGAAATTACCTTTCCATCATTAATTGTTTAATGCAGCTTAGGAAGGTGTGTAACCATCCCGACCTCTTTGAAACTCGTCCCATCACGACGTCATTTGCAATGTCTAGTTCTACAATAGCGAACCTTGAGATCAAAGACCTAGTCATCCGCCGTCGGCTTCTGTACGAGAGTCCGTTGGAGAAGCTTGACATGGACTTTCTGAATTTGGTGCCAATCTCAAGAGAAGATACATCCAGAAGGCTTACAGATGACGCCGCAAGAATCATGGCATACAACCCATTACGCCTTCTGCGGGAGCGTCAGTACAACCGTACGAATTGGTCAATGGGCTTCGATGGATCCTCTATCTGGGCCATACTGGAATCGATGGAGAATACTGCTCGAAAGGCAAGGATGGGGGAGCTGGAGCGATGCTTATATTTTGAATCCAAGCGCCATGGCAGGCGCCCAATTTATGGCGAAAGCTTGATCAACTTTCTTACAATAGACATGAACTTGAAACCGACGTCTCAACAGCGACCACGGCGATGTTTGCTCATTGATTGGTTCTCGCGCCAGTCTCTTGCCCTTGAAACTATGGTATTGTCTCTGGAAGAGAGGGCTCGCATGACAGAACCATTAATTCAAAAATTTGCTTGTATAACGCCGGCTGCAATTTCTTTGGCGGTGGCATCAGCGGCGTTGACACCAATAAAATCGCGCTACTTTTCACGTTCGCAGCGCGTTCCTTCGTACGACCCATTCCACGAGGCACAGATGCGCCTATCCATCGCCTTTCCGGATAAAAGACTGCTTCAGTACGACTGTGGCAAGCTTCAGCAACTTGATAGATTACTCAGGCAGCTTCAAAGCGGAGCTCACCGGGCTCTGATATTCACACAGATGACTAAGATGCTTGACATTCTTGAACAGTTCCTCAACGTTCACGGCCATCGGTATCTTCGCTTAGATGGATCAACAAAAATTGAGCAACGGCAGTTATTAACTGAGCGGTTCAACAACGATCCACGAATCCTTGTTTTTATCCTATCGAGCCGATCTGGCGGACTGGGTATTAACCTCACAGGGGCAGATACTGTCATTTTTTACGATTTGGACTGGAATCCCGCAATGGATAAGCAATGTCAGGACCGATGTCATCGAATTGGCCAGACTCGCGATGTCCACATATACCGGTTTGTCTCCGAGTACACTATTGAGTCAAACATTCTCCGCAAAGCCAACCAAAAACGGATGCTTGACGATGTCGTAATTCAGGAAGGAGAATTCACCACAGACTACTTCCAGAAATTCGACGTGCGCGACGTGCTTGCGGAAGACATCTTGGATGGACAAGATGAAGCCAGCGTGGCAATGGATAGGGTTCTTGATAATAAAGTGCGGAACGAGCCCAAGGTGTTTGAAGAGGCAGAAGACAAAGAAGACCTTGACGCCGCGGAAACGGCCAAGAAGGAGCTGGAGCACGTCGACGACGATGATTTCGCGGAGAGCAGTCTGCCTCAGACTCCCGGCCCTCCAGGCCAAAGTGTAACAGAAAGCCAGGCAAATACACCGGCAGGCATTGCGTGTCTCGAGGAAGAACCCCCGACCACATCCCAGACGCTTGAGAACCCTGAGCCTTCCACTGCGCCCTCCGCCCCCACGCCAGTCGCAGTCGCAGAAAAAGCAGCCAGTGTGGAGATTGCTGTCGGGCACATCGACGATTACCTGGTGCGGTTCATGGGGTGGAACCTTAAGGACGAGCCGCTGGCCCTGCCGCCAGACAAGAGCAAGATGATGAAGGTGCGTAGAGGCAGAGAGCATCGCGTCAAACGGGGTCGATAGTGGCGACATTTGTCATCGAACCTTATTTCTCGGATATTCGGAGAGTGGCATCCGGTGCCAAGCCCACGTGGCGTGACCCGCGCCTTGGCGGACGCATCGGGTATCGTGTTTTGCTTTTGGTCTCCTTGGAACGAGATAGGGCGTCGGGCAGCGTGGGAGCCAGCGCGAGCGCTCGTATATCTCTCAACTCTGATTTTCTTCTTTGCATTTGACTGCATTTGGTTGCTATGCTTGCAAAGCGCCGTTATGACATGGGCGTCGGCGGCGAAAGGATGGGGATTTGCTTTTGTACTCCGTAGTACGTACTATACATAATTCCCCCAGGTCTCTTCTTCCTACTTTTTGCGTACGTGCATATCCGCGTATGGAGTACGTATGTACGTACAACATTCATACATTTGCCCTGCATTGCTAGTATTCAATAAACCACCCCGTTTGAGGATACATCCTCAGGGGAAGCCGAGGCCAGGATCTTGTCATCTACGCACCTATTGGCTCTGTAGCTTCATGCTTTATGTACGGCATGTTCATATAAGGAAAAGTCTCGTTTATTCCTTTGAGTCTAATTCTGCGGGCGTGCTTTGCCAGAACACCCCTTGAGCCCGGCTCAGGGCCTGGCTTCCGCTAGCGTGCGTCTGAGCGCGGGTCTGAAGACAGCGTTCTCACCTCCACGCGTGAAAGAATTTTCCACGCGCTCCTCTCCTTGCCGGGCTTTGCAGTAGGACGTCTAGCTATGATTGGCCACACGGAGGATCGACGACTGAAATTTACATTACGAGCAATCCCCGGGGAACACTGTAATGTTTACGGGGGGATCAGGCCGGATGTTCCATTGTTGTGTTGGCTATGTATGCAAACAAAAACCCTGCAAGCCATTCAATGAGTACCGGGAAGGCATTCATGCCCCAAAGAAGAGGGGATGCCAACGCTCTGGCGGCACGAAGGATGTGGTAGATCAAAACTCTCTTCCAGCGGGATGGTTTACGTTCCGGAAATCAAACCAAGCATTCGAATCAGTGGAAACGGAGAACAGATTTCAGGAGGCGGGTTCTCCAATTTTCGTTCGTAAAGTGGGTATGGCTGAGCATATTTTGTACGCTGAAAGTATATTTCCTTGAGAGAAGGTAGCTCTTTGCCGGCACGGTGGGCACCTTGTGCTGATCGGAGGGCGAGACTTCGGTCAGAAGGTTGGCCTTCCACATACCTTTTAGGGCAGTTAACATAGAATAGGCAGTTAGACTTCATCACCAGCCCATCAGCTTCCTGTCTGTACAGAGTACGGAGTATGACTCGCTATGAATGTGGCAGTCATGTAAGTAAAACCACGCAGAGAGCATGGATGGTTTCACCAGATCGTCTTCGGCAATCATCCCGCCCCCGTCCAGTTACTGGTCAACCGGAAATAGTAGTACTTAGATGTGTAGTTACTCTGTACAGAGTACTCCGTACATACATACGCGGTGACTAGGCAAATGATTATAATCCCGTTTGATCGGTAGGCCCGATGGTTTGGATCCACGATTCTTTTTCAGCCGGTAAGTTACCCGTGCCAAATGAGCGCAAAAGTCCAACAGAAGTCTTCCATGGCATATGCAAGGATTTTATGTAGTCGTGGGATCAGTGGCGCATGGCCGCCGCGAAAATTTAGAGCCAGCAGGTGATAGCTACACCCTGGGTTCGTATGTCACTGAACGGCGATAACCATATCACAACGTAATTGACCCAAGGCGACCGGTATGTATGGACATGCAATAGGTCAACAATGGCCTCATGATACATTTTAAACCGACCGGGGTGGCTCTACGCCGCGCTCGGAGGGATCCTGAAAAGGTCACGCCCGATGTTGCAATGACCAGCGTCACCGTGAACGGTTTCCCGGGTCTTCTGTGCACAGTACACGCACTTGATGGCACATCCAAACGAGGCTCCGGCGCAGTCGTTTCTGAAGAAGAATGTTGTGAAGGACACGCACCGCTTGCCTTGAAGAGGGAATATCCGGTACGGAGTAAGTATGCAATATACTAACGACTCAGAATAACTTCAAAGGACTTGCACCCTTGAATAGTAGACTTCGAGAGCAACCCTTGTCCCCATGATCGACGGGCGTTGTCCATCACAATGACCTTCTTAAGATCTCCATAGCGGGAAATTAATACCCGCCAACCTTGTTTATTCCTCTTGTCGCTTGCGAAGCCTCCGTACTCCGTGTAATACTGTGCTCGAACACTAGGGGCAGTCTTGGGGCGTGGAGCAAGCTAACTTGTGGGTCTCCCCGTAAGTTAACTAAACCCACAGCCGCTTAAACGCCAGTTAGCGAAGTTAAGAGTCGCCGGTCAGAGAAATTGTCGATAATCCTCTTGTTTTGTATTTTTGGAGATCAACCATCATCTACGATTTGCCCGGTGCGGCTGTGCTTGACCCGACTTTCAAAACGCGCGATGCAAACGGCCCCCTCTAGGATACCTCACCAACAGAGCCCAAGGCTGTGCCTATGTGTATGCGCGTGAACGGTTTGGGACAGCTAGGATCGGGTCACCTTCCTGTTTGTCTGGTACCGGCAAATATGGCTTCGTTTCCGGAGTCTTGTATATACCCAGTAGGTACATACAGACAGGGCGCCCCAAGCTCTCAGAGACCAGATGGCGGCTCGGATTTCGCCAAACATCTGACGATGGGTGGATGGCCCCGGTTTTGCTTTTTATGCCTAACGCTAAGGGCCAGGGAGGCTGAGTGGGATGTGCTATGCTTGCTGCTGTCTTATTATTCAGCATACTTTCGCGGCGCGCGAGTCGATTCTGGCCAAAAGGCGTTTCAGTTTGAGCTGTGCTCTCCATACCACATTGCTGTTAAAATTCTCATCCCTCCCCCTGGAAATGGGGGAATTTTAGATGCACAGATATGGTCCGTGGCCATAGGCCATCCATGCTGTGCCCCAACGTATCACGAGAAACAAGCGTCCTGCAGCTACATGGGCTGTACCCGTCCAGTTGGGACTATGGTCGAACACAATTGGGCCATCCAACGGATTGTGATCAATCATACGCGAGTCCTTCGCAGCCATAGGACAGTTTATTCCCAGAGCCCAATTTTTTCGCCGGGGTTGAGATGCAAGCGACAAGGGTGCGAACCATGAAATTAGCGAATGTTACCACGGTGTATGTCTCGTAACTCCGCACTACTGACTCGCTCGTGCGCACCCGAAGCCTTCTTTCTGCCCATGACAGCTGCGCGCCATACAAGGTCGTCTCGCCAGGCCGTGATTCTCCTGCGAAAGCCAGCTAACCTTAATCGATGAAGTCTGTGGCAATCCGCTGCTTGATTCGTAGGCCGGTGTTTGAAAGCATACAGCGGGGAGGAGGATCTTGACTAATAGTATCTTTCTTGTACCGCCGGAGGGCCAGTGAGCCCGAAGATCGTCCACCGGAACAAAAGTATTGAATGGTTCTCGCGCTGTACTCCGTACAAAATATTGCCCCCGAACTGGGACTGAGCGTCAAGGTTCTCACGGGGCATGGGCGGCAGAGACATCGGGGAGAGAGGCAGCTCACGAAATATAAACGCAAAATCAAAGCGGCCCGTCCTTGTGGCGGTTCTGATATCCCTGTACGTTTAGTTCCAGGCCTAGAAGAATCGTCGGCGTCTTAGGCGCAGTTGTTGTTAATAAAGCTCTGGGTCAGGCTGCATACCCAAGAATCCTTCATTTCTCAAATTTGTGTAAACCCGCAGGTACGGACCTCCCACACAGTTGGGATATAAAGCTTTCTACCTGTTGACGGTTTCACAAAGCCATTCAGCGCCATCTAAAACGCCTGTCAGCACGACCCTTGGGGTGTCAGGATGAAAACAACAATTCCATCGGACGTGTGGGAGAGCAAGAAGGACGAGATCACAAACTGGTACAAGGTCGAAGAATGGCCGCTCAAGCAGGTGATCAAGAAGGTACGGTGTGACAGCTTTGACCCAACGTATGTCTCCCCCAATCGAATGCATATCCGATTACTCCGTATAGAAGCCAATTCTTACTCTCTTCGCGCAGTGAGACCCAGCTTCGCAGCAGGCTCAAAAAATGGGGCGTGACGAAACCCAATCGCCAGCGGCGGCAGAAGCCAGAGAGTCCGACGAACGATTCAAAGGCCACGAAGACGGCAATGCCGCAGAAGAGAGCCATCGACCCTCTCGTGCCGTCCTTTCATCGTCCTGTCGCGAGCCACACAGTCACAGAAAATAGCGACCGGTGGGCGTTCCAGTCAACAAACCAGGAATATCTGCTTGAGAACCCTGTGTTCCTGCAGAGCGAACAAACGCACGTAGCTTTTGCCATGCGACCGGCTCACATCGCCGTGTCTGGAGCCAACACCTCGCTTCATCAGTTGCAGCAACCGGCGTACGCGTATAGCACTCCGAGCAATTCATTTGGGCAGCCGTATCAACTACCCAACCCTATCAGCGACACCAATACCACAGCCGGAATCGCAGCGCAAGTTCTACCTACACCATCCTTTAGCAATACTTCCTCCCAATACTCGGCCGGACTTCCCTCACATGCGCAATCGCGCGATCACATTCATCACGAAGGCCCTTCGGTATTGCCACCAGAGCACTGGGTTTATACCTCCACAGAGCAGCGATTCCCATCAGATGCCTATCACCACGTCACACATCCTCCATTCGTTTCCTCTGCTAGCGGCCCACCTTTAATACGGGACGAGAGCCCTGCTGTGCACTCATATGACGAGAAAATATCACCATGTTCGCAAGACGACTTCGAATCAATTCCAGACCTAAGAAATTGGAAAAGGGCATCCAAAATTGCAGACTTGCAGGGAAACATCGTGACAAGAGTTGCAAATCGCCCCCCGAGAGTTCGAAAACCGAAGGTGGATAGAGAAAAATCAGACACTCCCAAAGAGATCAGACGAGTATATGCCGAGGCCCAGAGATCTAACGACATGGGAATATCTCCGTTAATCCCTTCATCTCTTACAGAACAAACTGTTCACGTTGGAATACCATTCAGTGGTACTACTGGCGAGTACATCCTGTCAACTTCTACCGGCTTAGACGCCAAGCCAGCACGATAGGGTGATGTTTGATTTATAGACGGTATTCATCTCATGTTTGGCGGCCACTAGCCCAGGTATTTATTTGCTTTTATCCTTTCTCTATTTTCTCACGTAAGGCAAGGTTTAGGCGGTTCATCTGTGCCACTTTGTTCAATTGTATATTGTATTGATGATGAGCCGGGATTCGGGGTGTTGAAATGAGTTTTTTGGTGCTGGCTTTCCTTTGTTCAACGTCAACTTCTATGGTGTTGCTTCCTCTTTTTGTTCTTTTTTCTATATCTCTTCTTCAACCTTCCCGCCTCGCTGGAGGTATTGGCAAGACTTGGCTTGTGGCAAGAATATCAAAACCAATAGTACAGAGTACTACGTGCAATCCGCATATATTGTACCTAGCGGAGGCAAGAGCAGGTCATCCAACCACTATGTGCCGGGCGTATAAGGTTACTTGTATGATGATGAGAAGTTTGATGCCCCAAGACACTCCAAGCCTTATTACTCATCCCAACCCTAAGCCCTTGAAACAGCCTCGGTATTTTCCCCGCCCAGATGTAAGCTTCATTATTGACTTGCAGGCTTACCGGCTGGAAAGCGGCTACATAAACTGCAGCTAGCTGGAAGGGATAAAACAATTTCGAGGAAGGAAAGGTCATATACGGGTTTTTAGCTAAGATTTGACTCCATTGAGCTTCACGTTACCCAATAGATAACCATCAAGAATATCATCAAAAAAAGAATGCGCGCTGTTCAGGTTAAGGAATATGTCAAGGTACATACCTAACTAGTTAGGAGCTTTGCGTCAATTATCAGTCTATCCTTGCATGGATTGTTTGCTAATACATAATTTCTTCGTGCGCAGGGCCCTCTTGATCTTACGGTCGCAACCCTGCCAACGCCATCTCCATCGCCAAATCAATACTTAATTCGGGTTCATTCTGCCGGCACTAATTTCTTCGACCTTCTCCAAATCCAAGGCAAATATCAGCATCAGCCACCACTTCCATGGGTTTCCGGCGCAGAATTTGCGGGAACAATTCTCAGTACGCCTTCGGGCAGTAAGTCCCCAAAATACAAGGTCGGTGACCGCGTTTTTGGGGCAAGCCAAGGTGCCTACGCTACACATATTTTGGCCGCAGAGCCTGCCTTATTACCAGTTCCTACGAGCTGGAGCTTTGAAGATGCAGCAGGGCTATTCATCACAGTACCAACATCCTATGGTGGCCTTGTACATCGGGCTAAAGTTCAAAAAGGCGATTGGGTTCTTGTTCATGCGGCTGCCGGCGGTGTAGGACTTGCTGCTGTCCAGATTGCGAAGGCAAAAGGTGCCACAGTAATCGCTACAGCAGGAACTGAGAGAAAACGAGAGGTGGCGAAAGCCTTTGGAGCTGATTATACTATCGATTACCGGGATCCCAAGTGGCCTGACGCGGTCAAGAAATTGTGTGCGCAACACCGGACAGGAAATGGCAAAGCGGGGGTTGATATTGTGTATGATCCAGTTGGCATGATCGAGCAGAGTCTCAAATGCGTGGCATGGAACGCGAGATTGCTCGTGATCGGTTTTGCTGGAGGTAAGATCGAGAAAGTCGCCTTGAATCGCGTGCTGTTGAAGAACGTGAGCCTGGTTGGTCTGCACTGGGGCCAATACGTGAATTTTGAAAAGGAAACAGTCGGTATGGTGTGGAAAGGGATCTTTGATTTGATCAAAGAGGGAAAATTCAAGGGAACCAGCTTCACAGATGAGAGCTTTGTTGGGCTGGACTCTCTACCAAAGGCCTTGCAGGCTCTCGGAGGAAGGGAGACCTGGGGGAAGGTGGTAGTCAAAATTCTCGATGATGATGACTCGGAACCTAGATCAAACAAGTTATAATTATCTTAGAAACCGCAATGGGTTTTGTATTTTTTGACATTTTTGTGATATTTTTATATACAACAGGAAACATTCCAAATGTTGTTCTTGTATTGTAGAAGCGCAAGGAGTCATACTTTCTATGGAATCCAGCCCCTGGAAGATTCCTAAGGGTTTGAAGAGAAAATTAGCACGAACTATGAAGGCTCTTTACAGAATCAAAAGCACCACAAGGTACTTCTGACCCCTTTTTGTTCTTGCAGTTTGAACATGAAGATTCACGGAAATATTATTTATACTTTCGTTTCTCCTCCAGCCCCAGCTTACACGAGCACAAAACGTGCAGATGTGTTTGCCGTCCTTTCCAGGGAAAGGGTTCGTAGGGAGTTGCTGGGCACTTTTTCTATTCGGCTGCGTGAGTCGAAAGTTAAAGGCTTCGCTCTAGAACGGCTGGGATCGAAGAGCTGCTTTGAAATAGTAGGTCGAAGACAGTGTAAGGTATGGTTATGATTAGAGATGGAGAGGAGTCCCGGCTCATTCATTCATGGGCTTGATAAGGACCATTATTAATATAAATTATTTCAAACAGCACGACTCAATAGTCCCTTTGATATTTGATGGCTGGGATCCTGTACTTGGATATTTGGCGATGCTGGGAAATGTCAAAAAACAGATGAAGGAAGAAACTGAAAAGTGGTTAGTTAACAATTCTGTTTGCATTGTTTGCAATAGTTCAATTTGAGTTTGTTCTTCACAGCATCCCAGCTCAACTTGTTTCATTCATGATTCCACTGCCTCAAAAATTTGAAGTACTTAGTGGAGGAATGGTTATTTATGCTTCTTTCTCTGTGTTTCCAAGCCCATTTCCCTGGGTCAATCTGCTCACCAAATGTGATCCCCTTCCAAAAGACAGAACCGCTGGTGGATCGAATATATACAAGTGTGGCTATGCCCTCGTTTTCGCCTCTGCTTCGCCCTACCTTAATAGACGGTGAAAGACAACACTTAGGTAGACGTCATAATCGCGATCTGAACTAGTAACATGTGGCCAAATTGCCCTAGCAAATATCTCATTGATATACTTCATCGATGCCAGACTTGACAATGCTCTAATGGGAGCGGTCTCACCATGCCAAACTTTCTGGTGGCATTATTCTATCTTCACCGTAATCAGAGCTCATATTTTCGAGGTACATATCTATGTACATATCTCAGTCGCAGATGGGCCCACCTACACTTGTCAAACAGACCTCCATTGTGGACAAATCTTCTATGGCCAATATAGAGCCGATATAGCCAAGCTTCCTACGGCAGGCGGAGTGCTGCTCGTTCATTGCGCCCGCCACTTCATACCACCGACGTAGTTATCTGTTCCCTTAATCGTCTATGCTGAGGGTGACCCGCTCCTCGATACGGAGTACTCCGTACCTTAAAAGCTATTGGTTTTCTCACCCTTTTCGATTTCCCCTTCTCTACTAGCTTGTTATGGGTTGTCTTTTATAAGCTTTGTGAAAATGAGCTGTCTGCCTTACCGTCACCAGAGAGCGTGACCGCGGCGTGTGCTATCGCGCCAAGCAACAGTTCGCTAACTCAACAACCCTTGAGCCTCACGGTTTGGCGGAGCGGCGCCCAGCTCCGCCTCCGCCAAGTCGCAGAAAAAAGCCGGCGATTCCAACACCATCGCCGCCGGCTCTTCCTTGATTTGTCATCTTGGCAAAAAAGCCAAATTGTTAGCTAGTTGTAACCGACGGGGTAGTAGGTGCCACCGGGAGCCTCTGAAACCTGGGTCACGACACTTAAATCAACTGATGCCCGGCCGGCTTTCTTTCTGGCGTGAAATATACGCGCATTTCGAGCCCAGCTGTCATCCGATCTCTTCTGCACTTGTTGAGATATCATAATAAGCATAACTACTTCATAATATTGCTTTATAAACGAACCCAGGGCCATGAAGTTGCCCTTTAGCACCGCGCTTGGCCTTCTATTCCTCTGTTCCTCGTCCATTGTAACATCCCGCAATGTGTTCCGGACAGATGTGAGCCGAGAAGATTTTGATTTCAACGATTTGCGACAACATGCGCCTGTGATCGAGTCGCCCAAAATTCATCGATTGGACAAGCGGAAAGGCGGGGGCGGAGGTGGGGGTGGGAGGGGCGGAGGTGGAGGCGGCGGAAGTGGGAGCGGGAGCGGCGGAAGTTCTGGAGGCCGGTCTGGGGGCGGAGGCAGACCCGGCGGGGCCCCTGCTGGTACCAGGCCCTCAAGGTTAGCATAATTCTATCCACATACACAACCCTTGTTGGGCTTTTCTTGCTGATTCTGAATGCCTATAGTAATGCTGGCGGCGCTTCTCGATCCGGCTCCGGTACCCCCCGTAACTTTGGCGGCGGCGGGTTTTATGCTGGCGGTGCCAGAGTCCCATACACGGCTGGCAGACGCTCTCCCGGAGGCCTAGTTCCATTCTTTCTCCCAGTAGCTCTGCTCGGGTTTTTCCCCGGCCTCTGGTTGTTCGGAGCCTACGCCTACTCCATGAACCATGGCTACTCCTATCGCAATCGCACAACTAACCGCAATGAAAGCATTCCGATTGTCTGCTTGTGCCAGGAACACTCGGTTTGCGGGTGCGACGACAACAATAATAGCACGTATATTGACTCTATTCTGAGTGATAAGGATGAAAATGGTTTGCCACGCAACTCGTCCGTCGTGAAGACAGTGGATGTGAATGGCACAACGAAAATTTACATCAACGGCACCTTGCCCAACGGTACGACGGCCCCAGACCCTTCAATAGCTGAGGGTATGGCCAGCGGCATTATGCCGCCCATTTTGAAATTGAGTGGCTACTGGCCCACGATTGCGATTGTTCTGGCGACTGTTGCACTGCTCTAGTGCTACTGCCACCGCCCCCTTTTCATTTCTTTGTAAATATCTTGCATCAGCGCTTTTTTTTTTTGCTTTTGCTGCACATTTCATCGATTGAGATCCGGGCTGCACTGAATGTCTATACCCAATCATGTTTACGATTTCCCCTGCATACAGCACGACTAGAGACGCTTTTGGGTGGTTTACTCGTATCCCTTTTTTCTGTGATATTATTCTTAAATTAAACAGTTTTAATTATCAACCCCCATGTTCCACATTACCATACATACTCCGTACGGAGTATATGCTCCATACCTTCATTCCTCTGTATATGCAAAGATGTATTTTGCTGGGCTGTCCTTTTACCCTGGACTGCTGCTTGCCATCGCGTTTATTAACCACGGCTGGGCTAAGACCGTTGTGAGTTGACCAAATGACGAGTCTGAAGACTTCATTCCGACTCTGCCAACAGCTACAAGTTACGTATTTACTTATACCGTATGTTAGAAGAGACCACCAAACATCTAACCGATAAGAAAACACATCATGCACAGCATGGTGGCTTATTGAAGTCAATAAGCCCCTGTTTAGAGATCATTTGGATGGAATGCAAAGATCTTTTTTTCCCTTTCTAATTTGAATACTAAAGAGATCCAGTACATATATCTTTAACTAGCAAAGGGCTCTGAGGGTTATGAAGAAATAATACCATTCCATGAACTTATAGGGCTGTGCATAGAAGGAGTTTCATTCCGTGGAGTTATTGAATCAGTATCTCCACATACCAAACTCGAATTGGCTAATTTGATTGCTCACAGCTATTGTCTCAACACATCATTCCGGTAGCTGGCTTCATAGGTCTTGATAGTACCTCAGTATTGAAGTTCATGAAATCGCTTGGTCTTCTTGTATGTACCGAAAATGCTGGTTCGTCACGAAAGTGAGCATATCAAGCCAGTAAATAGACGTGCCGTGATTATAACCATTAGCATGCATCAAGTGATATATATCAAGCCTCAAAATAATTCACGCCCCAGATTGCTTCCCCATATTGCGTCAGTAGCAGGCAGGGTGCCCCCGTTTTGCGCTTGATATATAGTTGTTCGGCTCCCCATGGTAAGTATTGTTCAAGGCTGCGTGGATCTCGGAAGTGTTGTCATATCCCACACTCGCTTCGCTATGGATATATGTGGGCTTTAAGATGGATATCAAACCATGTGGGGTTAAACAAGGGGGTCGCATCCTTCGACATTTCCTTCAGATAGAGGTTTCCCACTTTATAGTCGACATTAGTGCTTAAAGTGAAGATAGGTGTAGATGATGTCCGTCTCGACGAATAGCGTAGTACATCGGGAAAAGGCCAGGTACCTTCACAGTCCCCTTTTCCGTCCCGCATCGCTAGACATCCCACCCTTTGCTGGAGCAATGTTGTATTGGTCTATGGTGAGTTCGTTGCCAAGGAGTTAATATTAGTTACTTGTATCTATGGGCCTAGTCTTATTCCCTAGTATCAGCTTTGTTACATTCGTGCGCACCTCATTCCACCCGAAGAAAAAAGTAAGTAGATTTGTTGTTGCCTCTTCGCTGCGCGAAATGATACAACCTGAGACTTTGGTCGTGTGTGATTTCACTGCTCCACAGAACACGCATCGCAGCCGAGGAAGAAAGAAAGTGTCTCTTTTGCTGCATTGCGCGGAGACTTGGGGAATTCCAAGAAAGGCCGCAGGGATTTCATTGGCCAAAATTAGTCCCTACAATCAAGAGATAATTTGATCATAGGGACTATGAATTTGAAATGTTGAAAAATGGCAGATGGGGGCAGCTTAACAGCATCAGGATTAATCTTGAATAGGTTCTGTTGATCCGAAGCAAGGCCATGGGCATGATGCCATCGTCCGATTTTCTTGCCCCTCAATACTTGTACTAGAGTGCAAAGGTTTGACTAGTCTTCCACACCATCATGCAGCTTTGGTCACTAATTAGTGAACACTATTGTGTTGTATGCTAACTTCTCTCATAACTGTCGGACGACTAACCCACTCAGCTAAAAATGTGACCACCATTGGGTGCAGCACTCTGTAAGCTTAGTCTTCCACACATAGTTAGTAATGGCACCGGCCATGAATCGATAGACCTAGAGTCCCAACAGTCGTCAGAAGCCAGTTCTATTGAGTAATAGTTGGAAGCAAAAAGAGCACGTTCACACCACTTTTGCGTTCGATCCGTAGGTTGCTTCAAAGTCGACAGTTACTCTCTCACTCCTGAAATGCCAGAGAGTCGACTTTGGTCCGGCCGTCGCCACGGTCAGGGTCCGGATGCGAGAGCGAAGTCGTACCTATTGAAATGATGCAGCTACGAACACGCAGCCAATGAACAAATACCAATAGCATTGTTATGGGTATTCAGCTGAGCATCCGGTCAGTAAAGTTGCGGCTAGGTATGTGGGTGCTATTAATACCTTAGGTAGTTATACCCCGTATGTATGTACATAGATTAGTCTCCACACCAAACTCGTCTAAGCTTTTATCCCAGAGAGTTGAATGGCTATGTGACAATCATTGAGTAGATGTATGCACACATACATTCACTGGGTGGCAACATCCATGATATCTTCATGATAGGTTGATACGCAACTTAAACGCAACATCCCCCACCGTGGGCCATAGACAACATTTGTTAGATAGAACGAAGGTATACTCAATCAGTTCATGGTCCATCGTTATCCACCGCGTATGAATTGAGCCGTACTGCTCCATATTGCGTACCAATTTCAACCGAAGACGGCCCCAATTCCCAAAAGCTGAACGAAGAATTCCACAAGGTTGAATATGGAGTATTTTTAGGCAAGTCACTTTGAGCAATGGTCAGGTTATGGCCAAGAAGCACGAACTGGTGAATGTTCAGCCAAAGCCGGTTAGCACATGAAACTCCGACAATACCCGGTACACTTTCCAGTCCGCGACAGATTCAAGTTCGGAGTTGGAGGCGTTTAGTTGCTGTAGTTAAATCCGGGAGAAAGCCAGCTGTGTTCGCAAATGAAGACGGACGACGGATCACGAGGGCAATTTGGAGAGCGTGGGAAAAGATTGTGGGGAAGATTCGTGGCTGGGCCACCTAACCGAACGTGACCTCACGGCTGACGACTAACTAACTGACTAACTAGCTAGCTGACTAACTAATTGGGATCCGGCGGGGCTTTGCGGGAGGTTGCCTGGAGGCGCCGCTGATGGTCGACTCTCGAATCACAAATGCCCGGCACGAATCGGAGGATCATCCTCGCGCACATCCCAGTAGATCTCCTCTCCATCACCCCACTGCTGCTACTCTGCGGCAGCATCTTGGCTGGCTAGCCTCCCGTTCTCCGGCGCTGATGCGGTTCACGCGCGGCAACTGGGTGCCTGGCCTCGGTAGTCGGAACCTTCTGGCCACGGATTATTCTCCGATGGTTACCCCAGACCCAGCCGCGCTAAATCAATTCCAAAGGACGACGGAGTACTCTGTACGTCAGCGCTTGACGTTACGAATAACCCCTGCCTTTGTTTTGAGCTATTTTGTACTCTATAGCGGGCCACAGATCCTGTGGCTAGTTATGCAATTGTCGCGTCGAGTATCACCGTATGGAGAATATTTCAACGCGTTGGGGTGTACGCAATTTCTCGAATCGCCATGGACCCTAGCAACACTAACTACCTCAAGACGGGGTAGTCAACTATAATGGATATGTATTCTGGCCAATTAGTTATAAGAACGTCTGGGGTAACTTGGCATCCGCGTCGCTCTTTCAAGTCATCCCCTATTGTTATTAAACCACCCATAAACATCCTAGTCGCTGGTTTCAATCACCCCCTTGACTCGGAAAATAAAATGTTTTCGGATTTTCAGCCACTCTAACTCATAACTAACTCCTGTCTAGATTGACTTTGCGAGTCTTTTGAGCTGGTATCAAGATCCACTGCTTGAGTCAACAACAACCCCGCACGACCTGCAAGCGTTCGAGGGCTGCCGGCAGCAGCCACAGTGCATGCAACTGTCTTATCATGGCTTTTTTCCTATTGCTTTTCTTCACTACGGTGTCCTCCGCGCAGCATTTCCATGGGTCTTGACTTGGCGTCCAGGGTTGTACATGTTGGCAATGACACGCTACTTCAAACCCTCAGCCTCCACTCCATATCGTACGTTGCATTTCACCTCTTCTTCTATGAAAAACAAACTAACAAAAAAGTCTTGTTTTCGGGTAGCTCATTTGCAATTGGATGTATTGCGTATGCTCTGTTTGCGAAGACACTTCAAGCAGACATAAGAATGAGGTGCACCCCTTAAAGCAAAGGCACATGAAACCACATTGGAGTTGTGTTCGCCATTTCATTCCATTGGTTTGACTGTCACGATGGTAAAGCTACTTGCAACTGCAGCTGCGTTAGCACTGCCATTTCTCTCAATGGCGGCCCCAGATACTGGGAGAATCGTGGGTGGCAAACCAGCTCATCCCGGTCAATTCCCTTCGATACTTTCCTACTCATATTTTGGGAGAAAAGGATGTGCTGCTGTATTGATTAAACCCGGTGTCGCAGTCACAGCAGCACACTGTGTTTTCGAATGGATGATTAAGCATTCAACTGTCCGTGGTGGAACCCTTGTAAGTTAACTCTCCTGTTACATTGCCATGTGTCAATTGTGGTTCTCACTTCTTTATAGATTTGGAATGTTGGCGGAAGGCATGTAGCAGTTAACTCTACTTTAATCCATCCAAAATATGAGCGAGCCACCCACAACTCCGACATTGCTCTTTTGTACCTCAATGATACCATAGCGGAGGGTGCGGGAATTGGCTATGCCGAACTACCGGAGCAGGGGCACGATCCCAAGCCTGGCTCAAAAGGAACGGTAGCAGGCTGGTATGTTCTAATTCTTGTAGCTCTCTTTTTCCATTCGAAGCATTAGAAAGCTAACAATATCATATGACATAGGGGGCGAACTGCTCATAAAGGACCGCAGTCTAATATCTTATTATTTGTGGATGTTCCAGTCAGGAACCGAACAACCTGCAAGAAAGCTCATGCTGAGGCCAAGAAGCTTATTACTGAGAATATGGTCTGTGCGGGAGAGGAAGGAAAAGATTCATGTCAAAATGATAGTGGTGGCCCTTTCTATGAGTCGGGGACCAATAAACTGATCGGGATCGTGTCATGGGGTGTCGGTTGCGCGTCAGCAAAATATGGAGGGGTGTATACGAGAGTTGGTATGTTCCGCGACTGGATTGATCAAAATATCACACCGACTGGTGTTGAGGTAGATTTTGGGCGATCCAACTTCTCGTGATGGAAATATGACATTGGTTGCCAGGAAGCGCTCTACTTTATGCATATAGGCATTGCTATGCTCAGACTACAGAAAATCTTCTCATATAAACGAATAGCTACTTGTGGATATCTACTAGTTAGGTTTTTCATAAGATTATGTAGACCTGATGAATGAGGTCCGCATTTCCACTAGTTCGCGATGCTTGTATGACCAAAGAGAGCTACATGTTGGTTTTAATTGCTTTTCTCCCGGATAGTTGAGCGACAGGGGCTGACGAATCCCAGCCACTAAAGTTTATTCCAAACACATTGACACTGTTCCGTAACTACAAAGTACATGGTAACCAGTTACTACATCATCTTACTTTCCCCCACCACTCCACTGTTGTTTCTATTAATTGGCCTTAGCAGAACGAAACCAAAACTTCTAAAGGTAGAGACACCGGCTTCAAGGCCCAGAAAAATAAAATGTATTTTCAAGAGGAGATAATCCGTGGTAAAGGCGGGCTGTAATAATCGTTCTAATTAGGGGGGTAGAGAGAAGCTAGTATTGTACAGTGCTAGATGCAGAGATTCCATTCAGCTAGAACACACTTATGGGAAGAAAAGGCGTTAAGAGTTTTTAGTAATAGCTTCATATCTAAGAGCTAGCAGTTAGCAAAAGCACGTCAATGCTATCATGGAAATCAGTAAGACAAACCTTTTCCCTCTAAATGCCCAGATCCCCCAGTTTCCGCAAGAGATGTCATGTGGATCTTGATCATTCAAATCCCACCTTAAGCTACGGAACACATTCTCTCCAGGATGAAGAAGAATATCAAATTCCCCGCGGCACTTATCTGTTACCCATTGTACATCTCTATTCATATCAAATTCAGTATAGCCTGTGCATATAATGGGGACTTTCGTTTGCAAAAGCTGTGGTAGTGTTTGTTCCCATTCGTGGGAGCTCGCAGGATGACCTAGTCCGGGATGGAAGAGCATGAAGCAGTCGAAGTATGGGTCATAGGGCTGGAACATATTCGCCTCATGCATAGTGTGGAAATAATCCACATAAGTTGTGATTTTCATTTGTGGCCCAAGATAAGCCTCAACAATACCCCCGAAAGGGTTCTCTGGTGTTCGTTCTGGGAGTGGAAATTCGGCGTCTCGGTTTGTCATGCTTTCTGGACCGATGAAGATTACGTGAATGGTTGCTCGTGGAAAAAGGTGACTGAGTTGTTCCCAGACGTCTCGTGGGAGAGAAGACTCTGCACGAGCTCCGAGGACGAATAGCCGGACTGGTGGGGCATGTAGCCGTAGGCCAGATATATCAGGTCCTTCGCCAGTTCTAGGAGGATGAAGAGTATATCGGAGAGCTATTATTGACGCTATAGTTAGCAAAACATATCGATGAGTACGAGGTGCTTATACTAACCGCTAAAACTTCGCAACCCCTCCTTCGTCAGCCTTCCATTGCCTCGGTGGTTATATGGGCTCAATTCGTGCAGCACGCTCGCAATAGAGAGGGGATATGTCAGCAGTCTCGTTACCTGTCTCATACTTCTATTGTCGTTGACTGCAGAAAATTCTCTTGTATAAAGAAGTGTATCCCAGTTCGTCATATTTACCACAATCTCATCTTCCTGCCGGCCGGGGTACTCGAACTCCGGGAAGAACCGGCCGGACACCAGATCGTGATCATCTGTATTAATTTGGCGAAGCTTTTCACACACTTTCAAATGCTCTTTAAAATCGTCCATCCAATGTTCTTCGGAACAATATACCGGAATTCCGCAGTACTTGCACTCGAAATCTGCAGGTGCAGGTTGTAGGCCTGCTGTGGAGGGTTTTCTCGATTCAGAGTCGGACGGGGATTGTGGCTCCCTACTTCTTCGGTGACTAGGGTGAGGACATAGGGCGTTGTGTTTTATGGCTTCAGCTCTTCGTCGGATAGCTTCGGACGGTGAGCTGGAGTAGGGGTGGAAGAGGCCCTTACTAGGATTGCGAGGCGAGCCGGAGCTCTCGTGGGGTACAAACTTTTGTTCGGTGTTCACTTTTCTAATAACATTTATTTTGTTTCCACTGTTCGTATCGCCTTGTTGCTGCCGGATTTGCGACGAAAAGCTCTTCGGGTGGTAACCACTGATATTTGCAATCCATCTTGGCCGGATTCCGGAGCCATGGCGCTTAATGCCAATGTGAAGCACTCGCACACATCGTTGACAGCTGAGTTCCACGGCCATTTCTTCGAATGCGTGTTTATTATCAATACATCATTCACTCACTTTTTTGAAAGCCGTATCAAAACCCTTGCACGTGATGAAAACTCGGGCCGACTTTACTCCGGCGATATGAAAGTGAAGTGAGAATAATAAACTAACTCAACGGAGTGACTAGGAAGTACGGGGTATATTTATGATAGTTATACATTAAGATATCTAACTGGCGACCACCGAAAATCGACTTCAATTAACTACACGAAATTAGATGTAATGCAAAACGTTGAGATGGAAGTAAAGCCTCCGCGATGTATAAGATCAGTATATAAAATGCCCGGGGTTAAAAAATATCCTCGCAGGCACTCCAGTCGCCAGCCTTTCTGCACTTCCAGTATTTATCACCATAGACCCAATAATCCTCACCGGTGGTCTCGCACTTGCCTTTGTGAAACCACTTCGGTTCGAATTCCTCGCCGTTCGCCTCGCGTTCTCTACGCTTGGCCCTCTGCTTTTCCTCGACGCGATGTTTCTCAGTAGCCGCAAAGTCATATTCGCCGTCCTCCATGGCACGTTGATCTGGTCGCAGGCGGGTATCTGTTGGAGGCAGATATGGTCTCAATGTATCAGGTACTGCATTGAGTGTGACAACAAACGGTGTAAGGTTAAAGGGAATACCACTTGGTCGAGGATTCGCCTGCCAGACTAGGAATGCCTGTGAAGAATCGGAGCTATGTGTTTCTGTCTCTGGTGGCGCGACTGTTTCGTGGTAGCCAGGTGTATGTCGAGCATAGATCTTGTCATTCCATCGTCCACCAATACTCCATTTTGGAACACCATCTCGATCTAAAACTTTTCCGGACACCTGGTAGGCAGATGATGCTGTCCATCCACGCGGTTTGAAATCTAGATTGCAAACTTCGCCGGTTGTCCAGTTCTTAATAACCATTGGACCATAATTGTCCACCGTTGGGCTTCCAGTGACAATACCGATGACTGACGAGGTTACTTTTTTCCACGTATATAGCTCCTCGCCACCTGTAACGGGGCGCAGTCGTAGGAACCAAGTTCCTAATGGATTAATATCAAAGGATTTACCATAGAATTTCGACTTAACAGCCGACTCGCCCTAGACAGGATATCAGCACTAAACTTCTTAATACAGACGAAAGGAGTATTACGTAGTAATCCCATTTGGCGGACTCCGCATACGCGGCACCAATAGGTGGATGATGGCTGACTTGTTCAACAACAAAGCGGAAGCCTTTGTCTGGACGCACGTACTCAAAGGTTTCTCCAAGAAGTGGGTTGAATGGCTTTGCGACACGGCCAATCGTTGAAGCGTACTCACTGGCCGCAAAAGCGGCGACGTATAGCATGCGTTCCAAGGAGTCCGTTTTGTCGGCAGCAATATCAATGAGGTCCGTGTATTCCATATCCTCTGCCACACGCTGAAGTAGCGAAGTAGGTTCGTTGAAAGATACAGGGAGAGTCATTTTGGTCATATCTTTGCCAATCATAGATTTCAAAATACCCTAATGAACGGCAAGTCAGTAATCGGATGGGGTAGTGTGTTGAATTTCGCATTCTTACCCAAAGGGAGATTTTTGGTCTATCATCGCTATCCATTTTCAATCTTTTGCGTATGGGCTCTTCATAGCCATCGAACGATGGCTTGATTTCCAGTTGTTTCGCCGTTCGAATATCTGACTCGGCAACAGGCACCTCTTCCGATTTAGAAGGAATGACAACCTCAACCTCGCCGGCGTCAATCGCATCAAAGAACTCCTCATCTTCTTCCGACTCGCTATCGGACACGCCGCTGATCTCTTCAAATATGGTCTTTCTTCGAACCAGACCAACTTTACTTTGGCTAGGCCCTTCTTCTGAAAGCTCTTTGACAACGTCAACTGCATCTGATATTTTCACATGCGATGCTCCTAGAGCAGAGGTTCCAGATGCACTCTCTAGCGCCTCCTTCAAGGCTTTCTTGGTTCGTTTACGTTTGTCTTCAGATTCGCCCATTCTATTCTGAAGATCTTCATGCTCTTTCGCAACACGGGCCATACTGTCTTCCCACATTTTCCGCGCATCGGCCTCCCTTTCGAGCCGATATTGCCAGTAGGCATCGCGGTCGCGTGATATTTTAAGTAAGTCAAGCACAAGTGAGTTCAAGTTACTGATAGCTCCTTCGTATGTACTAAGCGCTTGGGAAACGGAAGGGTCTGCGATCGGCGTGTCCGGGTTTTTCTCCTTTTCAGCTTGAAGTGCAGAAGAGACTGTGCTCAGAAGGTCTAGCTGTAGTTTAACGGACTGCGCAGTGATGTTGAACGCATCCTTGTTGGCGGGTTTCATTTCTCGACTGCTGTCATAGTCTCCATAATCATCATCGTCCACGTCCACTTCTGCAGTCATAGCACCTTGACTAACAACGCGGTCAATGCTAGTCTGTTGATCAAGAGCAATCGAAATGCCGTCTTCGTCTACCCCACCAGTATCTGAAGCGCCTCTTGATGGCTGAAGGCTTGATTTCGACACGCTAGGCGTTAGGGTCAAGGAAGGAGGGGCGAGTGTTTTGCCATTTCCTTTGACACTAGTGAAACTAGCAGCATCGGCTTGATGTTCAGGAGCCTGTCCAAATTGGTCCATCTTTGCCTGCCGCAAAAATTCGGCATCTCTTGTTCGTCGCCGGTCATCCTCCTTGGCCTCATCTTTAGCCCATTGAATGGCATTGTTCAGTGCCCAAAACCATCTTTTTGCTTCCACAACGTGGTTGGCCTTCAAATGATATTTGACTGAAGATTTCCCCTGAATTTCAAAGCGAGTTTTATCTTGAGGGTCCATATTTAGTTTTGCAATACGCATGTTGATAGCACCACGGCAGGCTGATCCGGCATCGTCTATGATACTTCAGTTTGATATTAATTTAGTTTGGAGAGTCAGACAAACCTTGATGTTTGTAATAACTCAAAACTCCATCTTCGAGAACAAACCATCTTAGTTTATAGCCGCCTGTATAGTTTGTCCACTTTTTAAGGTATCCTTTCATTTCCCGAGCATCTTTCCCTCCAATAGAGATTTCGCCTCCACCAGGCCCAGAAGCGTGCCCTAGAATTGATTTCTCCTGAATCCCTCGCTGGGCGATCACAGCTGCTGGAGATTTCTTCAAGATACCTTTTGTTCGATCATCTTTGGTAACATCCTGCGGAAGTTTTCCTTTTTTATCTCGACGAAATGGGTCGGCGCCATTCATCAACAGAATTTGAATTAACTTGCAGTCTTTCTTCCTTGCTGCCTCATGAAGCAGTGTACCACCAGTGGATGATGTCGTCCGGTCCACAACGAGATCCAAATTATTTACATCAACGGTCCCCTGGATTCGCGGCTCGCCGAGCAATTTTTCCAGTTTGTCGTAGTCACCCTGCGAAACTAAACTCTGTATTTCTCGAGTCTTTGTATCAACAAATACGGACCGGCAGAGCTGAAGGTGTTGAAATATTTCAGGTGTACGGGCCAAATCAAGAGGTATCTGGCCGTGATAGTTTGTGAGGGCATCGTTGATATTCGGGCGCTCCAGCAGGTCCTTAACAATGGAAAGTCTGCCTAACTGTGCAGCAAGGTGGAGGGGAGTATTGCCATCTCTATCTCTCGCATTGATATCAATGTCACTATTAGAGAGAACATACTCCACAACTTGAGGTTCAGCACATTGTATCGCCAAATGCAAGATACTTGTTCCTAGCTCTGAGTTGCTGTGACCATGGGACTCGCGACAGTCTTTAATGGCTTTCGATATAGCAGTAGTGTCACCGTCGCGTAGGATTTCGAAGAGGCGAAATGTTCGGACCGACTGTTCAATTGTCAAACCACCACTTGGCGGATTTGACTTCATTTCGGCGCCTTCCTTCGAAGTTGGAGGATCTTCGGTAGCCTCGCGGGATAAATTATTGCTGCTTCGATTGCTCATCGTGTCGGCATCGCCTTTCCGTTTCGAAGGACGCAGGTAGCTCATGGAAGCGGAGAAGGAATGACGTGGATCGTTCACGGGAGAGGGGGACGTCGACGTGGTGGGAGAGCCAGGGTCTAGGTTCGATTGCTTATCATCCGTGCCGTCATCGCTTCTCGATTTATCGCGATGCAGGATGGACAGTGCGAGCGCACTCTTGGAGCGCTTATGCCTATGACACCAAGATGATGATGAAGCTGAGTAAGTGTCGAGCCATGGTTCATCAAAAAGCAAGCTGGGGATTGCGGGGGATAGGCTCCACGGCAGCGATACATACGAGCACTTCTCAGGGGACTGGGGACATCACTGGACTTACCCTCCGGCTTTATCCTCCATCTTCGCCTACTGCCAGTTGCGAGGTCCCTGTGTCGATGGTGGGATGCTCCTATGATAGGGGTCCGATGTTGACGGGGAGGCACACACACTTGGCGGTTTTGTCGGGCTAGCTGGCGAGCTTCGAACTGCCGTTCAGCAGGGAGAGAGACGTATTCGAGGTGGAGGAGGTCCTGTGAGGGACAGCGGACGTGATCCGAGGGCGGCGGGTGACTTGTTGGCGGGCTTCCTGGTTCTGGAGGGTGTTTGGGCGAGGACTTGGCAGCTCAAGCATTGGCGCAACAGGATCAACCAGCCAACCTCGCAGCACACCAAATGTTGCCATCGCCCGGCGAACTATCGATAAAACGGCCCCAAAGCGGCGAAGACGCCCTGCACCCAAGGACGATCCTGAAGTCCGATCAGCCCTATGCCCGCTGAGTTGCGGCCGCGTGGCAAAAATGCCCTCAACGGATTTAGGGCCGGCGATTCAACCTAATTGTTGAGAGTTGCGCGTCAAGAATTACGGAGTACATTATTATTTTATTATCACGAGCCGCTGGCTAGGCGCGTGCGCTGCGGACAGAGGGATTTTCACCGCGGCTAATCTCCCGGTGTTTAACTACGGCCTTTGCTCCCCGCTGACTAGAAGAATGACACTCCCAAGTTGCCTCCTTAAATCCTCTTTCTCCACGTCGTGTGTATCCTCCACTTCTCCCCATTGCTCTGTCTGCCACCGGACTTCCAGGCTCGAGACCTCGGCAGCCTTTTCAATCCCAAAATTTCTCTCGCTATCGGGCTGCAAGTGCCGAAAATATTCACTCCACTCGACAACAAGTCTGACTGCAACAAGCAGACTCTTGCTCGCTAGGACCGCTCTCTCTAGCCCCGCAAGTTCGTAAGCTGGCAGCCCAGCAATCCAACCGCGGATCACTTCCTTTGTAGTTTGTGGCTGTGAGACTGGGAGGATGCTGTCAGCCTCTAGGACAGGCTTGATCTCAACCCCCGGCCAAACTTTCGTGGACAGGAATGCAATTATAGGCTGTGCCGTGCGTATTTGCACCTCCCGTAGTGATTCTACAGACGTCTCATTTGATGTATCCCGCGCGACTTCATGGGGTTCGTTCTCGGGCGCCCAGCTCAACAGCGTGTCGGTGTCAAGGTACCTCATTAGGGTGCGAATGATCTCATTTCGCGCAGTATCATCGCCTCGAGAATCCTGCTGGACGATATCTTCTGCACGTGCGGCGAGTGATGTGAGAGGAATTAAATGCTGCTTCAGCGCCTGCTGTGCTGATACGAGCAGATCCCATTCCAGAGCGATTGCATGTGCGAGGTGCGGTTTTGAGCGAGGAATGATGAGGATATTTTTGGTGGGTGTGCGTATTGGTCGAGAATCTAACGAGACTTGGAACCCTTCTACAGCCGGCTTCGGTTAATATGTGGCGTTGCGTGACGAGGGAACGCCATACCAGGTACTTCTGTTACATGAACATCTTTCCAAAACCTCCGCCGTAGCACACCGGCTTTTCCATCCCCTCTCGCCACCCCAGCATTCTTATCCTGCCGTATTAACGCTGATTGTTTTTTTCGTCGTTCAATCCGCTCAGTGAACTCCGGAGACGGTATTGGAGCTTTGGGAGGAGGTCCATGGACATTTATCGGATGTGCTACCGCGGTGTTGGAGACGGAGTGGTGAACATAGCGCAGTCGGGAAGCATCCCGGAATCCTATGGGAACGAATGAATACCGCGACCAAATGGAAGATGACCTCTGCAGGGCTTTCATCGTCAAAAGTCAGGTTTGAAGCGCCTGAGCTTCAAGCATGATATGTCACCTGCGGTTGGTTGAGGATCGGATATCGGAAGAATATAAAAGCGAAAACTACACTCACGTGATTTAGGGATATTCCTAAAAAGGCAGGAATCTAGAAACATCGGAAGTTTGCCTGCTACATGCCAGGCGATAAGTAGCAGAGCAGGTGTCTGTATCGAATCGCTGGCTTCCATTTCAGCCATATGGAGGAGGGTGCTGCCTGCTTTGTGCCTGGCCATAGAGACACTCTCATTCTGTGTGTTCTGGGGAATGAAGTTAAAGGCATCTAAACCATGTGAGTGCTGACTTGATTCGTTGTGCGATATGCGCTCACCATGTGACAGCAACTCTCAACTACATGCTACTAATTTTCAGATAATATGCTTTGTGGTAATTTTCAAGGCTAGGAACGTGTGCCCCTGACTACGGGGGGTTAAGAACGAGTGAGCGTCGTCGAAATCGCGGTGAGCCGTCAAGCCACAGGCAAGGGAATTTTCTTGTGCATACTAAAGAGCGGTGACATTCTCTGCGCGTTTCGACATGTTTTATTGACACGAGCTAGGTAGCCACCCGTATCGTCCCCCCTCGTCGAGAGCGCCACGCTGTACGAACCCTTATTGCTCCTCCACTACTACTGTTTGCCCTTCGGACGCAGCGGGCACGCCGTTTTTCAGTCTCGGATCTTGCAGAGTTTAATATCTCGATGCGACCTCCCCTGTGTAGGGTGACGAGCTAGGATGCACGCGCCCTGCGCAGATCAAACTGCAAATCTCGCGTTTGGCGGGCGGGGGTGGTGCTGGACACACCCAGGCCGGTTCCAGATACGACCGACCGTTTGTGGGACGAGCGGCCACTTTTGTTTCATGTGGTCGTGCGTTGCGCACACGCAGGTCCGGGGCGGGGGGGGGCCGGGCCGGGGTTAGTTAGTTATATTGGTGATTGTGGCTGGCGCAGCGCGGCCTGCCTGCATTTAAGCTCGAGGCCAAAGACGGGGCCGGGAGCTTCTCACCACTAAGCACGCCCAGCGCCCCCGGGCTGGCTGCGACGTGCTGGGAGTCTGCATGTCCGCCACATCGACCCCCTCCCCCCGCCTCCCCCGGCCCGTTTGTGCGCGTGCTGCGAACGCCCGTCTCGGGGTTTCATAATGGAGATTATGATCGCTGGGTCAGGAACCGACGGCCGGGCCAATGAAAGCGTGCAGGCCACGCATCACCTCGTCGCTCGTCGCCTGCCGGGCGCCGACGGTGATACTCGCCCGATGCTACACTGTGCTGCCGTCGACTACTTGCTGATCCCTCCCCAGCAATGCTGCCATCGTTGGGCAGGGATTGCACATACCCCTCGCCCTATCGATCGTTCTCGAAACCGTTTTCTTCTCCAGGAGCTGCGGCAGTGGGCTACCGAGAACGCACGTGTGTCGTTGCCTGTGGCTTCGTGGAGGGCCTGGATCTTCCCCTTGCACCTGCGCCTGCACATGTCCATCTGTCCTGTCCCGTCAGTGCGTTAATCCATGCCCATGCTACCCCAGTGGAAATGATTGATCTACCTGCGTGGCCAGGTGGTGTGAAAAAAATAACAAGAAAAAAAAAAATACGAATAGTCACCTGTCTCGATTATTGCGATGATGGAGCTTCTCAACAAACCTTACGCCATCGGGGCGTCGCGACCACGCAGAACCACACAATTGGCCTACATAGTTAGCCGCGCGAGTGGAGGTATGGAGTCACGAAGGTTCTCAAATAATGCCACTACTGCAACCATGCGTGTGCTGTAACTACTTAACGGCCTCTAAGCCGTCTCGGAACATATTTTGGCTGCAGCTAGGGAGCCAAAGGCTAGCTGCGGCAGCATCTCCCCGGGCTTAGCTCTGATCAAAACAACTTGTCAGAACAGTACACCGTATGGACTAAATTTCGGGAATTCGTTCTTTTTTTGTATGACGAACCGACCCGGCAATCACGCAGAGACACGGGAATCCATGCCATGCGATCATTCCGCCTGTTGTAATATGTTTGACATGGTCACCCGGCAATTTCTCATGAGAATATTTTGGAAATTTGATGTCACTTCATGCGCCATTAATGATCAAAAGACACCTTGAGAGCCGCAGGCAATCAAGAAAAGTTAATCACTAGGCACCGCTCTAGACAGTGCAATACTGCTAGTAATCAGCAGATGGGGTACACACATACTAACTACGCAAAATATCATTTTCCTGACAATGCTTAATTGCGTTTTGCCTACTACAAACAATGCATGTCCCATATCTAGATCTATACATCGCACCACGTGCTTGAATGCAACGAAACTTGGCGCCAATCTATAGCCGATAGCTACCTAAACCCCGTATTGCCCGGCATTTTTCCCATCCTCCCTAGTTACCCATGAAAACTCCCTCAAAAAAAAATAATAAAAGAAATAATTTTCTACAGAAAGGAATCATCATGTAACAAAAATAAAATCTCGGATTTCAAAACTGCCTTTTTACGCCAGAAAAAAAAAAAAAAAAAAAAATTCCAAAAGAATTACCACACACCGGCAAGTGCGGTGGAGAAGCCAGAATGGAAGGAAGGTTTGATTTTCACATGCAGCTGCTGCGGGCTCTGCCACGACAGACAACAACACGTAACTACACCGGGTGTGTGTGTGGAAAACCATGCTGGAATACCACCATGTCTGGGCCGTCCTTCCATGGATTCCAGAGTCGTGGCTTTTATCGTATTTTTTTTTTTTTTTTTTTGGCCTGTGATAGTTAAGTCGCCGCGCGGCTGTGTTCCTACATATGCCGGTTGGTCCGTGTCCGTCCAGCAGCAGCAGCAGCAGCGGCCAGGCCCAGGCCTAGTTAGAGGGGGGCCAGGCCAGGCCAGCGCACGGGTCACACATTGCATTCTTCAACACACACACAAAAAAAGGTAAAGAAGGGAAGGGATAGAAGCGAGCAGTAGTCATGGTAGGAGTACAGTAGTAGTCAAAAGTGAACTTTTTTTTTTTTTTTTTCATCTTTTTGCACAAAAAAGAAAGAAGAAAAAAAGGGAGATGGCGCCACCTCCGAGAAATCCTGGGGGGGGGCGCACGGATACAGTTCATGTGCATGCATGCATGATTGAGGGAAGGAATAATGAGTGATGAGTATAGGGGATGCATAATGGATGGATGGGTGGGACTAGTGGAATGGTGGTGGTAGTGTGTGTGTAAGTATTTGAGAAAGATCGATATGTGAGGGTATTATTAAGAAAGAAGAAAAAAGGATTTGTTTATTTTTGTGTTTCCATTACCAAACCACATGAGCCATCTATTAGGAGGAAAGAGAGAGAGAAAAAAAAAACAAAGGATCTAAAAAGCAGGCGCAGCAGAAGGAAGAAAGGGAGATCTAAAATTTGTCATTAAAATGAGAAATAATAATAGAAGAAGAAAAAAAAGTAAGAAGAAAAACCTTTTTAGTCTTTTTTTTTTTTTTTGTTTGGAACACTCCCAGCCCTAATGCCTTTTTGAAAAAGAAACAAAAAAAACTCTATACCGGAAATCAAAAGCTATAGTGTTGTCAGAGGATGGGGAGGGGGGAAGAGAGCCTAAGAGAAGTCGCTGGGTCCGATGCTAAGAATGCTTCAGAAAAGCGAACACCAAAAAAAAAAAAAGCTCGGGGGCGGCAATAAAAGAACAACCAAAACCAAAACAGAAAAAATCGTAGTAGTATCTATAAACGACAATGATTGAAGAAATGGTAGCCAAAAAAAAAAAAAAAAAAAGTCTTCTTTTTTTTCGTTCAACATCATCCACGATATACCCAAGAAACCCAAGATAGATGAAACCAGAAAAAAAAAAAAGTAGCTTCTAGAAATATGTCAGAACGGAGGTCCCACGTCGCGCGCGCAGAGGGTGGGGGAGCTTTTCGCTCTCTCTATCTCCCTCCGTCCCCCTCTCTCTCTCGCAGATCGATTTTGTGGGGGGAGAAGGACGCGCGCGCAAAAGAACAGGCCAATACTACACCAAAAAAAGAAGAAGAAGAAGAAGAAAATTAAGAAGGGGGGGAGAGAGAGTAGGATGGGCGGAGCCGGGGAATCATCCCTGCGCAAAAAAAAAAGAAACGTATGCATCGGAGATATCTTGTCGGCCTTCTTCTCTTTGTTTTTCTTTTCTAGAATCAACAATTATTATCTCCGCCCCCCTCCCGGTGAAAATAGAATCAAATAAGTAATGGTATTAAAAAAAAAAGCAGGGAGATGCTGGCATAGAGGGAGGAGGATGAAGTCGAAAAAGTGGGTTAGGTTAGGTTGCTTGTCCGACTGGGACATTATTACTATCCATTCTCAGTACGGAGTAATCAGAGTCCAAGTCAGTCCATTGAGACAGTGGGGGCGGTCTTTCTCCCCAAGACTTTTTGTTTTGGTATGTTCTGCCGACGGGAGATTACCGTGACACAAAACAAGAAGGGAAGCATGGGGGGGAAGGAGGAGGCAAGGGCCAAGTCGAAAGTGTCTCGTGTTTTTTTTTTTTCGTGCTGGGCCACATGCGAGTCAGGAAGAGAAGAAAAAAAGGGGGGCGTGAAAAATTAAGATCAGATAACAAAAACTAGTGAGGAAACAGGAAGGACGGACGGACGGACGGAGGGTGTTGTTGGAAGGGCGCAGAGAAAGAAAGGGCGGGGTGGAGAACAGATGATGCGATCCAAGCCGGTGGAAAAGGTAAATCAGAATCCCTCGGGGCGGGAATTTTTGCGGCTATTTTTCGCATTATTTATTTGTAATTTGTGCATTTCTGGGTTGGCGAGAGGCATTTTGGTCGGTTAGTTGGTTAGTTGGTATTAGTGTGATTATTATTGTTCGGGCACTCCAGCAGCTGGGCCTTGGAGTACGGGTAGGCGGCGGGCAGCAGCTCGTAGTCGGGCTTCTCCTTCATGCGATCGGTGTCGCTGACATCGGCGCCCTCGCGCGAGCCCCATGTCGTCTGCAGACCGAATAGTCAGTTTTAAGCTGCCACAGACCAAAACACCCAAAGGCATGTGACGGGCGGGCCGGGGAGGGTGGGTTTGGTCGTGTAGAGTGGACAAGGAAAAAAAAAAAATAAAAAAAAAAAAATCCCCAAAAGCAAAGGCCGCACTCCGTGCTCCGAGGAGACTAGAGAAGCCAAAAGAACACGGCGGTTCCTGAAAAACTGGAGCTTGGGAGGCAAAAGCGCAAACACCAAAACGATTGTTTTTTTTGCAAGGAAAACCGGCCGCAGAAGGGCCCCCAAGGCAGTGGGGCCAGGATTCGGGGCTAGAACGGAGATATCATTGTACGAGAGAAAACAAGCGCGCGGCGAGCCACGCAAGGTCGCAGCGGACGAGAGTATTATGACACGCGAAGACAAAAAAAAAATAAAGAAGAAGAAGAATAATGAAAATCACTCGGGCCGGGACTTACCACGTTGAGGGTCAGGGCGGCGTAAACCTTGATGAGGCCGTGGAGGTACCCAAACAGGATGGAGACGGGCAGCAGCAGGAAATCGGCCGGGTAGCGCACGAAGTGGCCGAGCAGCTTGATGAACTTGCTGACCAGCATCCACAGCAGCAGCGCCTGCAGCGCGAGCGCGCGCGTGTCGGCCGACCACGTCTCGGCGCCCTTCCACAGCAGCAGCACGAGCGACAGGTCGCCCACGAAGGCCGGCGGCGAGAGCGTCGTCAGGAACACCGCGTACGTGCTCCACGGCTGGCGGCTAAAATTTGGGGGGAGCGCCACACGGGCCCGCCCGCTAAGTTAGCCTGGGTTACTTCTTAGGTGTTATTCTGTCTCAAACGGCATTTGTGCGGTGTGCGGTGGTGGAGCGTGGGGAGGAGAGAGGAAGGGGAAGAGCAGGCAGGCAGGCAGGCAGGCAGTAAGCGGGCGTGCGCCCAGGCACGTCCGAACGCGCGATTTGCAGGGATCGAGGGATCTTCACCCGAGCAAAAGCAAAAACCACCGGCTAGGAAAAACAAAAAACACAAAAAAAGAAGACGCGCAGAAAAGAAAAGCAAAGAAATACGGGCGCACTAGGGCATGCATGGCAATCCCAGATACCACGTAAGAGAAACAGCAGCAGCAGCAGCAGAACAAAACAGACACCGGCGACCCGCTCAGAAGGCTAGGAGGGAAATGACATCAAATAACATAACATAACAGAAAACACGGGCCACTTACAACCACACGACCTGGTCCTGGAACAGCGAGGTCAGGTTGCTGCGCCAGTTGCTGCGCGACCAGCGCACGCACTGCTTCAGGAACTTGGGGTTGTCCTCGAGCGTGGTCTGGATCTCGGCCTCGGGGTGGTACTGGAAGTACGTCTCCCAGCCGTGCGTGACCATCCAGCGCGAGAGGAAGTTGTCGTCGTCGGCGTTGAGCTCGTAGCGCCCGAACCACCACTCCTCGTGCGTGAAGCCGTGGGTGAAGGCGCGGTCCTGGAGGATGCGCGTCCGGTACGCCACCGTGCGCCCGGACAGGCACGGCATGCCGCCGTCCATGTGCGTCGTCGCCGCGCAGTCGAAGTTGCGCCGCTCCAGGTACAGCGCGCCCAGGAAGTCCCACAGCCGCTGTGCCGACAGCAGCGGCGCGCCCGCGCTGCTGCTGCTGCTGCTGCTGTTCGTACTGCGCCGCAGCCGCTGGCACGTCGCCACGCCGCCGTACGCCGGGTCGGCGTCGAACGGGGCCAGCACCCACTTGAGCTCGGTGGCGGGCCAGGTGACGTCGTCGTCGACGAAGATGGTGATCTCGGTGCGCACCTCGGGGATGGCGCGCACCATCTGGCGGCGCTTGTTGGGCTTGGGGATGCTGAGCAGCTGGATGCGCGGGCGCGCGGCCGGCATGGCGTCCAGCATGCGGCGCGCGGCGGCCACGTTGGCGTCAATGGTGACGAGGATGATCTGGTGCGGCTCGTTCAGCAGGATGGTGCGGATGGTCTCCTCCAGCTCGGCGCCGCAGCCCTGCAGCGTGGGGATGATGATGGTGGCATCTTGCGACGTCAGGGTGGGACTGTCCGGCGGCGGGATCGGGCGAAAGGTCCATACTGCTAGTAGGTTGACTATCAATCGGAGGTACCGGTAGACGCTGCATGTCGTTAGTCATTGGAACGGATGGCCAGGGGGGCAGCCAGGGGGGGGAGTGGCGAGGGCACGCACAACAGCAGCTTGAACGCCAGGAGATGGGGGATCTCATAGGCCATGACGGCAGTCTCCTAGGGCTTCGCACCGCCCAACGCCGAACAGAGAGCACGCGCACCAGCTCGGGCGGCAGACAACAATGGCACGGCACGGCCGGCACGGGGGTATATCAGTACGCGAGCCGGCGGGCGGGCAGCGGAGCAGGGGGGAGAGAGAGTCAGAGAGGCGGAAGCGAGGACGAGACAGGAAAGGGAAGGGAGGTGGAGAGAACGAGGGAGGGTATGTATGTAGCATTGACTTAGGGAGGGGAGCGAGAGGGCGAGAAAAGCGGCGGACAGTCAAGCGCTCTTAAACGGGACGAGCAGCAGCACGGCGGTCCAGGGTGGTGGGGAGGTCGAGGCGGGCGCGGACCATTCTCGCATCGTGAGTTGCAATATGAGCAGCAGCACGCAATATCGCATCGCAACTATTATGGGGGGGGGGGGGGGTTGCGGCGAACAACAACAACAAGAACAGCAGGGGGGGGGGGGGGTTTTGGTTTGGTTAGTTAGTTTGATCGCGCAGCGCAGCGGCAGCACACGCGCGAGTGGGATGTGGATGTGATGTCGTGCGTTACGAAAAGAAACTCTGGAAACTGGAAACGGGGCGGTTGGCTCGAGCGGTGGGCGGCGACGGCGGCGGCGGCAGCGGCAGCGGCAGCGGTAGTAGGAAGAGGAGGAGCCGCAGGAGGAGGAGCAGCAGCAGCGGCGGCGGCGGCGGCGGGAGCGGGCGTGGTTAGTGAAGCGTCGCTGGGCGGGGTGGGCTGTGTGGTGGTGGTGGAGCGGGAGCAGCAGCAGCAGCAGCAGCAGCAGCAGCAGTAAGCACACCGCAGGGCAGGGCAGCGCAGCACAGCACAGCAGACGTCGTGGGCCAGGCACGGCGTGCGTAGGTCTGTATCGCATGTATGTCTGTATTACTGTCCTGACCGTTTTTATTATTTTTTCTTCCCACGGGCCGGGATGCGGCCGGGCGAGAAGGCAAGCGGCCGCTGCAGCTTAGCGACACGGCGGCGCGCGCTGGCTGTCTGGCTGTCTGTATGGGGCCCTGCTGGCCTGGCTGGGCCTGGGCAGGCCATATCCCTGCGCCGCGAGCCCCCCGCTAGCCCGGCGACCGTTGCGCCTGGAGGTGCCATCCAGCCCTCGCGACCCCCTGAGCTTGCTGCTGCCGCCCACACGCGCCCCCCCCCCCCCCCCCCCCCCCCAGCCCGGCGGCGGCAAAACACACCCACCGCCCCCAAGCCCACGCCCAGCCTGCGGCTTTCCCAGCTGGCATCATCGGGCTCGGGGACCCAGCGCACTGCCGGCCGTAAACTCCTGTCGCATGGGGCCCAAAGGCGACACACACGCACTCGCAAACAAGCAAGCCAAACCAGATGCCAGCCGATCTTGCGTTGCGGCTAACGAATGGGTCCCCCCCTCCGCTAGGCTAGGTATCATCATCGCCATCATCATCCTCAACAACAACATCAATCAGCCCGACGCCGGCCCACTCTGCTGCCGCACCTCGTTCGCCGTACGCCGCCGATACATTATTCTCAGATCACCCGAGTCGGGAAGACGCAGGGCGGGACCGGGGGGGAGAGGGAGGGGGCCGTTTCAAACCAACGCGGACACACACACACACTCTCTCTCTCTCAACCTCACTCGCTCTCACGCCGGGCAACACGGCGCTATTCCGCGCGCACCGCGACTCCCGCACGGCTCTCGGCAAACGCGGGCGCGCGCGGCCCCAGCGAGTGGAGAGACCAGCAGTCGCAGCAACAGCAGCAGCAGCATCATCATCATCATCATTCGGACACAGCACCAACCGGGTCGACGATCAATCGTGGTTCTGTGATGGAGTGACGTTGGAGCAACAGCCTTTTTTTTTTTTACTTTTTGCCTTTGAACCGAACCCAAAAACGATTAAAAAAACCGGGCAGCCAGCGTTCCCGCTTGGCCTGGCCGGGCGGGTAACTAACGGATGTGCCAGACGTTGCAGAAACAAAAAACCTTTTTCTCGCCTAAACGATGCAGCGGAACGGCCTGTGTGGCCCCAACTCTCGTTCTGCGCGCAACGGCCTCACACAGAGGGGGGCGCGCGCGCGCGCTGCTGGATGGTCTGACCTATCCGCCCGCTCGCCCGCGCGACCGCGACCTTCCTCTTCTTTCTACGCTCGCCTCCAAAGGGGGGCCCCCCGCGAAACCCGCTTTCGGAAAACACCGGGCCAGCAGCCGTCGACCATCACACACACAAAAAAAAAAAAAAATTGGGGGCCCCAAAAATACTAATTACGCTGGCTGTGTTGAAGCGAGCCGTTATTGTTCGCGCGCGTTTCATAGAGCATGTATCGCGGGACGGTGGGGAGCGGCCGGAGGGATGCGTGCGCGCGTCTAAGCCTGGCAACCATGCCAACCCGCTCCGGCCCGACCGGAGAAAGCTGCTGCTGCTGCTGCTGCTGCTGCTGCACCACAACCATCACCGCCCGCCCACCTGCAGGCAGTAGTAGGAGGAGCAGGAGCAGGAAGGAGAGCTGCCACAGCAACTATGTGTGCGTCGTATCTCCGGGTACACATCCTGCGATATACTTGCGGGCTCCCAAGACCTACGCGAGCGGGCTGCCCGCCCTGACCTAAACTGAGCCCGAAAAAAAAAAAAAAAAAAAACTGACTCGGGAGGAGGTGTCCAATCCTCCCGCAGCGTTGCTTTCCGATCGCTGTCAGTAGTCACGTCCCAGGGGAAAAGGCGAACGTTTCACACGCGGGCCCGCCGCGATTGGGAAATGACGACGTAGCTTGGTTTAGACGGTGGGAGGCGGGCGGGCAGAGGGAGAAAGAGAGAGAGAGAGAGAGAGGGGCAGCAGCCCACCCCCCCCCCCCCCCCCCCCCCCA